ATACAAGTTTTTCAAAAGTATTCCATTTTAAGGAAATGTAGGGTATATTTATTGAGATCTACTTATCAAAAGACTGATATTAATTAACATTTATAGAGATTTAATGTTAAATGATATTACATTAAATTAATCATCCAAACAGAGAACAGTATGCACAGTTTTGAAGTGATTAAAATAAAGATTAATTTTAATTACTTAATTGAAAACTAACTGCATGATTATTTCATAAGATATTCTGATAATTTATTTAATTTATTACTATTTATAAACATAAGTCTTAATAGATATAATTAATAATTTTGTAAAATTAGTTTATAAATAGTAAAAGATATATTTAATAACAAAGATAATAATAAAAAAGATATGACAAGAATGAAAAAAATAAAGTTAATCTTAGAATATAATCTAAACTATATAACAAAGTTATAACAATATCATATTGTTTAATTTTAACACTACTCTCTATTCAAGATAATGTATCAATCACCTGTTAATTGATAAGATATTATAAAACTTTGAAAACATATTAAAAAAGTAGTATATTTTTGTAATTATTAAGATTTAAGAAGACAATTATATCTTCTCTAACAGTATTATATATGAATCTTAATTATTGATTAACTTGTAATTTTACATACATCAAATAATAAACAGTTATTATTTAATGTATCATCACTGTTGTCCCTTCAAATTGATTTTTCCAAAATTAATTAATATCTATTCAAAAATAATATCCCTTAAGCCTTTAAAAACTGATTAAATGGTTATATTTTACAATTAAATTGAGAAATTGCACCTAAATTGTAGAATTAAAAAGGAAATAATTATTGGTATTTGATTAACATAAATGATAATCTTAATAAAATTTATCTTCTCTATAACAACCACTTAAGATAAATTGAACGATTAATTATTTAAATATATAAAAAAGCATTAATATTAGTCACACTTAAATGAATGGGTATTTTCTCTTAAATTTCCAAAATAAGTATTTTACTAATATAAATTTTTCAATAACATTGTTAAAATTTAAAGTTTATAAAATCAATTTAATAAAAAAATACTGTTAATTAAATATGATTTGAGATAAATATTATTTTGTGAATATTGGAATATTCTGAGTCTCAAGAAATACGAAGATTTGAAAACTTAGAAAATGATAAATGCTGAAAGATTTAGTTGTAGAATCTACTTTATAAATCTTGTACAATTCACATTCTAAATATAAATTGAGAGAAAATGCTTAGTTATGATACAAAGACTTATGAAATTCTTGCATTCATACAACTAAATTTTCTATTTGATAATATTTAAAAATGGGCTAAATTAATTTCCATTTTAGTAATTCCTAAACTTCAGGATTGTTAAAGAAGAAAAAACTATTAAATAGAACTCTATCAACAAATATTGGACACAAGAAGTATATTAAAATAGATTTAAATTAAGGTTTAATATAAGTTAGTTTTTAAATTAATCAAGTGTTACTCCAATAATTCTCCTAAAAAAAAAGGAAACGATTTTTTATAAAAAACTTTCTTAAACCTTGAAAAATTGAAGTCTGGGTAAACCATAATATTAAATGTATCCAAATTTTAAATAATATTCTTTTACTGCAAAGGGGTGTTTAAAAAAGGATATCTTGTATTTTTAACCTACATTTTTATAAATCTATAATCTGAACAATACTTTTTTTTGATTTCCCATAGACGGATAGAGTTATCATAACTACCAGAAGCTAATGTATTTCCATCAGGAGAGAAACAGACTGATTAGACAATACTAGTATGACCATTTAATTTGGCTTTTTATTATCCTGTTTTGACATCCCATAGACGGATAGACTTATCATCACTACCAGAAGCTAATGTATTTCCATCAGGAGAGAAACAGACTGAGTAGACATAACTACTATGACCATCTAATTTGGCTTTTTATTATCCTGTTTTGACATCCCATAGACGGATAGACTTATCATCACTACCAGAAGCTAATGTATTTCCATCAGGAGAGAAACAGACTGATCTAACATAACTACTATGACCATCTAATTTGGCTTTTTATTATCCTGTTTTGACATCCCATAGACGGATAGACTTATCATCACTACCAGAAGCTAATGTATTTCCATCAGGAGAGAAACAGACTGATCTAACATAACTACTATGACCATCTAATTTGGCTTTTTATTATCCTGTTTTGACATCCCATAGACGGATAGACTTATCATCACTACCAGAAGCTAATGTATTTCCATCAGGAGAGAAACAGACTGAGTAGACATAACTACTATGACCATCTAATTTGGCTTTTTATTATCCTGTTTTGACATCCCATAGACGGATAGACTTATCATCACTACCAGAAGCTAATGTATTTCCATCAGGAGAGAAACAGACTGAGTTAATACAATTACTATGACCATCTAATTTGGCTTTTTATTATCCTGTTTTGACATCCCATAGACGGATAGACTTATCTTCACTACCAGAAGCTAATGTATTTCCATCAGGAGAGAAACAGACTGAGTTAACACAATTACTATGACCATCTAATTTGGCTTTTTATTATCCTGTTTTGACATCCCATAGACGGATAGACTTATCATCACTACCAGAAGCTAATGTATTTCCATCAGGAGAGAAACAAACTGACATAACATAATGCTCATGACCATCTAATTTGGCTTTTTATTATCCTGTTTTGACATCCCATAGACGGATAGACTTATCATCACTACCAGAAGCTAATGTATTTCCATCAGAAGAGAAACAAACATCATTACTATGACCATCTAATTAATATAAATCGTTTATTTTCAAATCTTACCAATTACATCCAAATAATTAAGCTCCATTTAAATTAATTCCATTCACATTCTTAAATTAAGACTTAGAAATATTACATATCGAAAAATTACCTCCAAATAAATTATTATTTTCTATTCTTATATTTTCAAAATTTTAGTTTGTTAGATCCACCTACATTTCAACCAATAAATTAATTGCATTAGATCCACTTATAATTAAATCTTTATCAATTTTTGTAAGAATTTCGAAAATTCAATTATTCTAACCTCTTGTTATATTTTTTTAATTAGATATTGCCTTGTTTCAGTATATGTTTCAGTGGAATAATTTACAGAATTAATACCATGTATTTTAATGATTTTGATTAAATGAGCAACTGAATCAATAGTTTATTCAAAGGCATAAATTTATTTTTGTTTTTCTAAAAGTGATTTGATTCCAATTTAATTATAATTTTGCGAATATTTTTACTTGAGATTTTTTAGAAACTCTAAGCAATCCTAATTTTGATTCTCCTCTTTTGACAATAATTCTATTATAATATTCATGATTTATGTATCAAAATTATTTGATTGAACTAAAACTTAATATAAATCAGCTGCAATAAAAAACTCTTATATAGATTTATGGGTAAATTAAAAATTAGCACCTTTTTATTAGACAAGTGAGCAACTTCGTATATCTTTTTTAAAAGCTCCGTTTTAATCATCATAATTAAAAAATTCTCTTAGTAATTGTTCTTCTGCTCTTTCATTTTAATATAACAGTCCTTGCTACTTAAATTAAACTTATGTCAGTTCATTCTTACTCATTTTTTTTGGAAATCTAATTGAGTATCAGTATCTATTGATTTTCCTAAGTTTCTCTATTTTTTGATTTATTTCAAGTGGTAATAATTGATAAACTCACAATAAAAGTCATAAATCGTAAGATTGTATTCTTTTAATGCATCATTGACAAATTAGATTATTTCTTCCTATTAAATTTTTATTTTCTTTAATATCTAATTTGGTAACTAAAGATTAGTTTCATATATTTTTTAAAGTTATTTATGCACTTCTTCAGATTCTTAAGAGATTTACAATTATTAAGGGATTGAATTGTCTTCTAAAATATTCCAAACTCCAAAGCAATGTAATGGTAATCAATAGTTTCCAAATTTTATAAATCTTTATGGGTAACTTTCAAGGATTCATCATAATCAACTTAAATTTTTGCTTCAGATTCTTTATTAACTTAATTTATTTACACCAACAAATGCCTTTTCTGTTGTGATTTATACATCTGAATTCTGAATTTACTTATGATGAATTCTTTCAAAATCTTTGAACAATTCTTCAAGAATGTTTATTTAATTTTATTAATCTCAGTTGCTTTAGGCAACACTTACACTATAATTTCCATCATATATGGGGTTTCCACTAATTTATTTAGATTTACCAAGGTCATCATATCTTCATACTTTTTCAAACTCCTTAATTTTTGTAAATTTATGCTCAAGCTTCTTATGGTAAATTATTTAATCCATCTCCATTCATATTTCTGTATGAGTATGTTGCCAAATAGATTATTCCTCCATTTTCTACCCAACCAGCCAAAGTTCGATCTCCCAAATCATTGTCTGTGGATGGTGTGTTAATTTAAACTCTAAAAAGATTATGCCATGGTTATAATGTAGTAGGTCTTGTCCATTTGAACCAGCCAGAAAATGCATATTCTTTAGGGAAGATTGTTTCGACTGTGGTCTTGAATGGATCTGAGTTAACTTATCTATCAATTTAGGAATCAATGATTCTTGTGGTCGAGAGAGGAACCTTTCCGCCTTTAAGTGGAGAGGTTTTATCAGCAAGGAATTTATTATAACTATCAACGGAATCAATAAAAGCACCAACTGATGTTGAGTAGAATACTTAAGTAAATTATCCATTGAAACCTGGATATCTATTTTAATCTTTTCCTCCAAAAATAAATTTAAGATATTTCAAATCTGGGTGTTTTACAGGGAATTCAGCTAATACTGGATCCAATTCACCAAATTTAACAATTGCAACAGCCTTTCCTGTATTTGAGTAAGAGAAATAGAAATGTGTCCAAATACCTTCAATCTCAGCAGGATAGTTAATATTTCTAATCACAGGATCATCTGTCTGGATATTAATGGTCGCGAAATGATAGTATCCTTAACCTTAAAAGATTGTTAAGATTCTGTCTCCCATTCTAATATTTTCATAATATTCATGTTATGTCAATCTTGCCATAAAATACCAAGAAGCATTCTTTCCATTAGGTAATTTGACAGGATATGCTGTTAAAAATCTTGCCCAAAATCCATATCCATATTCAGTAAATGAAACTTCAGATATGAATTCTTCGATCATTTAAGGACTATTTTGATTGTATGCACTTGGAAATTATTATTGACCAGTTTCATCTGTAATAGGTTATCGTTTCTTTTAATCTCTCTTTATTACTAAAGTTGATTATCCTTTTTCAAATCCAAAAATATCTTTAAGATGCTTAAAATAAGGAGTCTTTCTGAAAGTACCACTTCCCAAAACAAAGCTAACATAACCAATTTTACCATTAAATCCTGGATTTTGTTTATCTTTGCCAATGAATCTGTAGAAATAAGGAGTGTAGTAATGATTGACATTATTGTATTCAATTGTCTCAATGCCTCCTGTGAATTTCACTCCAAAAAATCCTTTTTTCTCATTTTTAGAGTATCCAAAGTAAACAAAAAACCATTCCAAATTTCTATCTCTGTGAACAATATTGCCACCCAGATTTGGATCACCAGCTCCATTCATATTCGTGTTTGTGTAAGTTGGGAAATGTAATATATCACCTTAAGCTGTACCAATCCAGAATGAAAGAGTTCTGTCACCTAAGAATTTATCAGTTGATGGTTTGCTTATTTGAACTTTGAAAACATTATGCCAAACTTCTTATTAAGTTTTTTCCCATCTGAACCAACCACTTATTGCATATTCATGTGGGAAACTTTAAGCTCCACCACCTAATTCATCATAAATTGGATTTTCATTGACTTTTCTTGAAATAGTATCTTCAACTAATTCATGTTGATATTATCCATCCAAATCATGAACTAGGATTATTGTTTTAGAGATGTGATTATGAAAATCATCTTCAGTATCAAGGAAGGCTCCATTTTTTACAGAGAAAACGATTTAACTGAGTAAACCATTAAACCCTGGATACCTATTGCTGTCTTTTCCACCTAAGACGAATCTCGCATAGATAGTAGATGGGTGATTGACATTGTGAATGATTGATCTTGGTTCTAAGTAGCCATATTTAATGAATGCAATAGCCTTTCTTTCCTTCGCACTATATGAGTAATAAATGTAAGTCCAAACACCTTCAATATCATTTGGAAAATCGATATTTTACATAACGTTTGGATTATTAGTTTTCTTATCGCATGTTGTGAATTGATAAAATCCTTGTCCTAACCAAATAGCTAAAGTTCTATCTCCCATAGCAATATTTCCATAGTTTGAGTTAGATGTCAATCTAGAGATGAAGTACTATGGAGCATTCTTTCCATCAAGTAATCTAACTGGATAAGCAGTTAAAAATCTCGCCCAAAATCCATAACCATATTCTGCTAAGTATTCTTAAGATTCTTTGGTTTCATCAATTTAAGGTTTATTATCATCAGTAGAACTTGTAATAGTTATGCCATTATCATAATCACCATCATCTTTTTCCTTAACTTGGTCATCTGGTTATTTTCCTAACAATTGTTTTGATCCAATTAATATATTGAAAGCATCGTTTTTAGCCCTGAACTCATTTCCTGGTCTAAATGAACCTTCTCCAATATTAAATGCAACCATAGCAATTTCTCCATTGAATCCTGGAAAATGTTTATCTATTCCAACAAAAATGTAAAATTTAGGAACAGTGAAATGTCTAATATTTTCATATTCTTAATGATCTTCTGAATCTGTCCATTTGATGTAAGCTTTAGCCTTTTATAATGGTCTAGAGTATCCAAAGTAAAGAAAGAACCATTGATTATTTTTTTTTTATGAGGAATGTTTTTAAAAAGATTCGCATTCCCATTAACCTCAAGGTCTGTTATAGTGTAAGTAGGTAAATGAATATTGCCTCCATCTGATTTTCTAACCCAAGCTGATAAGGTTCTAACTCCTAAATATATTAAATATATGTCAGTTGATGTAGTTTGAATCTAAACTCTGAAGATGGTATGCCAATCTTGTTAATTATCAGTTGGCATCCATTTGAACCATCCACTTATGCCATACTCATGAGGAAATTTGGGAGTTGAAGTGGTACCAATAATTTAATGTATTTCTCTGTCTTCAGATTTCCTTGAGATATGATTGGTTGTTACTCTAAATGTAACAATGTCAGGAATAATTTTTTTTGGTATTCTTTTCATGGACTATAATTTGGCTTACATATCTTCAAAATTATCAATGTAGACTCCTTTCTTAGTGCTGAAATATATTGCACTTAATAAACCATTAAATCCTGGGTTTCTCTTATTATCTGTACCACCAACAGTAAATCTAACAAATTTTGTTGTTGGATGGATAACTTAATGTTAAATTTTCTTAAAATCATTTCTCCAAATGTAATATAAGCAACTGCTTTTTTCTTTTCTGTACTATATGAATAGTAAATGTATGTCCAAATACTATGCAAATTTACTGGGTAATCAACATTCTTCACAATATTGGGTTGAATTTCTGGTTAATCACATGTTGCGAAATGATAGAACCCCTTACCTAACCATATAGCTAATAGCCTGTCTCCCATAATAAGATCAGCCGTATTCTTATTAGCAGACAATCTTGAAACAAAGTACCATGGTGCATTTTTACCTTTAGGCATGAACTTTGGATAAGCCAACATAAATCTAGCCCAATAACCATATCCATATTCGAGCAAGTCCTCTCCTTTCTCATCAACTTCTGTAATTTTAATAGGTTTATCCTCTGTAAAATCTGATGATTATTTTTTATTCAAAGTTTCCTCATCATCTTCAGAATCAGATGAACTAACTAATGCTGAAGCACTAACCGGTTCTTTTTCAAATTCAGAAGCACCTCCTTTGTTCAGGTGTGATAAACACTTATTATTAATTTTCTTTTAATACAGCACCATTCTGAAAACATGATTCAACTTTATTTTGCACTCTATCAGATTAAGAATTTATGATATTAATTTTAATCTAGATATTTGATTTAATAATTACCGACGATTTTTTAAATTAGTCTCTTATTTATTCTCTTTCACTTAAGATCTTATTAATTAATTCCCCAATTTTATCACAACATTAATCTGCATCTTTTTATGAGGAAGCAGCATCTAATAATGTTATTTAACGATCTAATTAATTTTGATCATATTCTCTCCATTAGTGGAAAAAGGAATCTCTTTCTTCCACAAATGCACAATAACCCTTTGTCCTATGATATTCTANGGTCTAGAGTATCCAAAGTAAAGAAAGAACCATTGATTATTTTTTTTTTATGAGGAATGTTTTTAAAAAGATTCGCATTCCCATTAACCTCAAGGTCTGTTATAGTGTAAGTAGGTAAATGAATATTGCCTCCATCTGATTTTCTAACCCAAGCTGATAAGGTTCTAACTCCTAAATATATTAAATATATGTCAGTTGATGTAGTTTGAATCTAAACTCTGAAGATGGTATGCCAATCTTGTTAATTATCAGTTGGCATCCATTTGAACCATCCACTTATGCCATACTCATGAGGAAATTTGGGAGTTGAAGTGGTACCAATAATTTAATGTATTTCTCTGTCTTCAGATTTCCTTGAGATATGATTGGTTGTTACTCTAAATGTAACAATGTCAGGAATAATTTTTTTTGGTATTCTTTTCATGGACTATAATTTGGCTTACATATCTTCAAAATTATCAATGTAGACTCCTTTCTTAGTGCTGAAATATATTGCACTTAATAAACCATTAAATCCTGGGTTTCTCTTATTATCTGTACCACCAACAGTAAATCTAACAAATTTTGTTGTTGGATGGATAACTTAATGTTAAATTTTCTTAAAATCATTTCTCCAAATGTAATATAAGCAACTGCTTTTTTCTTTTCTGTACTATATGAATAGTAAATGTATGTCCAAATACTATGCAAATTTACTGGGTAATCAACATTCTTCACAATATTGGGTTGAATTTCTGGTTAATCACATGTTGCGAAATGATAGAACCCCTTACCTAACCATATAGCTAATAGCCTGTCTCCCATAATAAGATCAGCCGTATTCTTATTAGCAGACAATCTTGAAACAAAGTACCATGGTGCATTTTTACCTTTAGGCATGAACTTTGGATAAGCCAACATAAATCTAGCCCAATAACCATATCCATATTCGAGCAAGTCCTCTCCTTTCTCATCAACTTCTGTAATTTTAATAGGTTTATCCTCTGTAAAATCTGATGATTATTTTTTATTCAAAGTTTCCTCATCATCTTCAGAATCAGATGAACTAACTAATGCTGAAGCACTAACCGGTTCTTTTTCAAATTCAGAAGCACCTCCTTTGTTCAGGTGTGATAAACACTTATTATTAATTTTCTTTTAATACAGCACCATTCTGAAAACATGATTCAACTTTATTTTGCACTCTATCAGATTAAGAATTTATGATATTAATTTTAATCTAGATATTTGATTTAATAATTACCGACGATTTTTTAAATTAGTCTCTTATTTATTCTCTTTCACTTAAGATCTTATTAATTAATTCCCCAATTTTATCACAACATTAATCTGCATCTTTTTATGAGGAAGCAGCATCTAATAATGTTATTTAACGATCTAATTAATTTTGATCATATTCTCTCCATTAGTGGAAAAAGGAATCTCTTTCTTCCACAAATGCACAATAACCCTTTGTCCTATGATATTCTAACAAAGCTAAAATATATAATTATGTATACTTTTCTTCTACCCTTCTGATTCTCTGTAATCATGCACAGCAATTTAAAGTTTTTGTAACTGATCAATATCATTCTCTATCTAATCAGGGTTAGAAAGAATTTCCTGCCAAGCTTCCATAGACTTGCTCACTTATTCCAGGCTTGGAGAACAATCTAGGCTTTCTGTATCCAAATTATACAATTCTTGAAGGGAATGTAATTTTATTACTCCTTCGAAGTCAAAAATATTGTTAAGCTAAAAATCTATTAAATCTATCGTTACCTTGTGGCAAGCATAACAAAAACAATACCTAAATCAATGAAGATTTCTTCATAATAATATAAAATTATAACTTATTTCTAAATCTAAAGACGAAATATAAGAATAGGGATTTAATACGTTTTTTTATGAATCGAGCTGTGATTTTAATTATTAATATCAGCAAACAGATTTTATAACATATTTAATGTGCCACTGAGGTCTAATAAAGAAACTTTTACTCAAATTAAAATACCAAAAAAAAATATCGACAATTAAAGTTATAAATTTATGACAGCATCTCTGAATTAATAATTAAATATTAAAAATTTATCAATTTTTCTCTATTGATTTTGTAATCCCGAAATGGTCTTAGATAATTGTTATTTCAATACTTAAATGACTGACCTACTCACCACTCGATAACCCAAAGATTATTAAAGGATTACAAGACAGCTATTTGAAATTAGGTAATTACTTCATTTATAAACTATAAGTTNGGTCTAGAGTATCCAAAGTAAAGAAAGAACCATTGATTATTTTTTTTTTATGAGGAATGTTTTTAAAAAGATTCGCATTCCCATTAACCTCAAGGTCTGTTATAGTGTAAGTAGGTAAATGAATATTGCCTCCATCTGATTTTCTAACCCAAGCTGATAAGGTTCTAACTCCTAAATATATTAAATATATGTCAGTTGATGTAGTTTGAATCTAAACTCTGAAGATGGTATGCCAATCTTGTTAATTATCAGTTGGCATCCATTTGAACCATCCACTTATGCCATACTCATGAGGAAATTTGGGAGTTGAAGTGGTACCAATAATTTAATGTATTTCTCTGTCTTCAGATTTCCTTGAGATATGATTGGTTGTTACTCTAAATGTAACAATGTCAGGAATAATTTTTTTTGGTATTCTTTTCATGGACTATAATTTGGCTTACATATCTTCAAAATTATCAATGTAGACTCCTTTCTTAGTGCTGAAATATATTGCACTTAATAAACCATTAAATCCTGGGTTTCTCTTATTATCTGTACCACCAACAGTAAATCTAACAAATTTTGTTGTTGGATGGATAACTTAATGTTAAATTTTCTTAAAATCATTTCTCCAAATGTAATATAAGCAACTGCTTTTTTCTTTTCTGTACTATATGAATAGTAAATGTATGTCCAAATACTATGCAAATTTACTGGGTAATCAACATTCTTCACAATATTGGGTTGAATTTCTGGTTAATCACATGTTGCGAAATGATAGAACCCCTTACCTAACCATATAGCTAATAGCCTGTCTCCCATAATAAGATCAGCCGTATTCTTATTAGCAGACAATCTTGAAACAAAGTACCATGGTGCATTTTTACCTTTAGGCATGAACTTTGGATAAGCCAACATAAATCTAGCCCAATAACCATATCCATATTCGAGCAAGTCCTCTCCTTTCTCATCAACTTCTGTAATTTTAATAGGTTTATCCTCTGTAAAATCTGATGATTATTTTTTATTCAAAGTTTCCTCATCATCTTCAGAATCAGATGAACTAACTAATGCTGAAGCACTAACCGGTTCTTTTTCAAATTCAGAAGCACCTCCTTTGTTCAGGTGTGATAAACACTTATTATTAATTTTCTTTTAATACAGCACCATTCTGAAAACATGATTCAACTTTATTTTGCACTCTATCAGATTAAGAATTTATGATATTAATTTTAATCTAGATATTTGATTTAATAATTACCGACGATTTTTTAAATTAGTCTCTTATTTATTCTCTTTCACTTAAGATCTTATTAATTAATTCCCCAATTTTATCACAACATTAATCTGCATCTTTTTATGAGGAAGCAGCATCTAATAATGTTATTTAACGATCTAATTAATTTTGATCATATTCTCTCCATTAGTGGAAAAAGGAATCTCTTTCTTCCACAAATGCACAATAACCCTTTGTCCTATGATATTCTAACAAAGCTAAAATATATAATTATGTATACTTTTCTTCTACCCTTCTGATTCTCTGTAATCATGCACAGCAATTTAAAGTTTTTGTAACTGATCAATATCATTCTCTATCTAATCAGGGTTAGAAAGAATTTCCTGCCAAGCTTCCATAGACTTGCTCACTTATTCCAGGCTTGGAGAACAATCTAGGCTTTCTGTATCCAAATTATACAATTCTTGAAGGGAATGTAATTTTATTACTCCTTCGAAGTCAAAAATATTGTTAAGCTAAAAATCTATTAAATCTATCGTTACCTTGTGGCAAGCATAACAAAAACAATACCTAAATCAATGAAGATTTCTTCATAATAATATAAAATTATAACTTATTTCTAAATCTAAAGACGAAATATAAGAATAGGGATTTAATACGTTTTTTTATGAATCGAGCTGTGATTTTAATTATTAATATCAGCAAACAGATTTTATAACATATTTAATGTGCCACTGAGGTCTAATAAAGAAACTTTTACTCAAATTAAAATACCAAAAAAAAATATCGACAATTAAAGTTATAAATTTATGACAGCATCTCTGAATTAATAATTAAATATTAAAAATTTATCAATTTTTCTCTATTGATTTTGTAATCCCGAAATGGTCTTAGATAATTGTTATTTCAATACTTAAATGACTGACCTACTCACCACTCGATAACCCAAAGATTATTAAAGGATTACAAGACAGCTATTTGAAATTAGGTAATTACTTCATTTATAAACTATAAGTTTTGTTTACAATTTAAAACCAAATATATTAATTAAAGGATTATAAATAACAATAACAATCTTATTTTATAAATAACTTTTGGCTTTTTATTTTTTCAGTCTATATTTATCATTTTATTCCATTTCAAATTTTATAATAATTTTGGACATACATTACATAAAATATATTTATGAAATTTTATTATTTGAATACTTATATAGGTTTCAAAATACTTATTATTATCAATTGCTGATGGATAAACTTTATTGGGTCCTATATTTCTTACAATAGTGAAGTTTGGATTATTTTAATATCCAACTCTTTTTGGAAAAATCCTTAAACTTATTACAGTGATTCTAATAAAAGCAGTCCTATATTGTTTTATACTAAGGATAGTTTGTAAATTGGTTAGATTCTAATTTTAAAATACATGAGATGTTTAATAAAGAAGGGATTATCCTTGAGACAAGATATCTGCTAATTATTATCCTACAGGAAATTGCAGAAAAATAACAACCAAGTAAACATAAATTTAATTAAAAATTAGAAACTAATTATCTTCTATTTCTTTAAATGTAGATGAAATTATTGAAAAAACTTCATTATAGCAAATTTGTATTTTACATTATTTTTTTATTAAACTAAAAACTGGTAACGATTAAAATCAGGATTAATTCTATCAAGTTTTCAACTTTTAATTTCACAAATAAGAGGGAAATATTTATCAAAGGTATAAAAAATGGAGCTTAAAACTGCTAATAGGAACTACACGACTACGATTGTTATGATAAACCTAAATTTTCAACCCTGAAAATGCAATTAAATCCTTTAAGACACCTAAATATGAAAAAGAATGGAATGATTATTTTAAGTAAAGGTTTTATAATTAAATAGACACTCAAAGAAACTCTATCCATAAAATTCCTCCTAAATACATAAATATGTTAATGATTTGAGACTATTGTATTGTACATGAATTAATACAAAAATAAAAGAGATTCAATAAAAAAAAGAATTATCTATAAGGATGGTTTTATTGATTGAGAAAATATTATATTGGTATTTTGACTTTGCTAAGTCCATTTAGATAAATCAATGATTATGCAATAAATAATAACTATGCAAGATGAAAGTGCACAAGCTCGTTACCCATTATGTCATAATAAATTTTAGGGTATACAACCAGACCCCACCTATTCTGAATATAGTCAAAACTGTCCTTCAGCCTTCCTTTTATTTATTGTAAATTTGCCATTTTATTTAGCTAGGTTCATTTATTTCTTTATACTTGAAATATTACTTATAGTTTTCTAACTCTAAACATAGATTAGAATAATTAAATCTTTGGATGAGAGAGGACTATGGTTAAAACAAAATTTCCCTTTGATTCTTATTGCAATTGTAAAAATCAGATAACAATGTAATTTTCTCTAACATATTTTAAATTCCTTAAATAACTTTTATGTATGTTACTTAGCCTCAATTTATATAACAGTTTTTAACCTATTATCTTAAAAATTAAAAAAAAATAATATTCAGAATTTTTAGATTCAGCATAACCATAAAGTATCCTTAACTTAGGGTTTATTAGTTTGAGATTTGTTGATTTGCATTAAATCATTAACACATTTTAATAATGAGCCAATTTAATAAAAATAATTTCAAACCTAAAATGGAATTTGAAAGATAAAGAAAATAACTTCAATAATCTCAACATAGAAATAATTAGTATATTAGAAAATTATGGGTAATAAAAATTAATGTGACTGGAGATAATCACTTAAATCAAGCGTAATCTACTTTTAGGCTTCTAATTTAAATTCTATATCTAATATCTTAGATTCATGTTTATAATCTAAAACTTAGACTTTCAGCTATCTGATAATAAATCCACAACCAGCATCATTCAGGTAATGAGAACCATAATTATTAAGTAATTATCCTCATAGTTCTCCAAAAGTCTCTGTAGAACTTCATAGGTAATTCATTTGGAATAATTGCATTATTATTGATTTTTTAGTTTCTGAGGATCTAAATAATCTGAATCCATCATATAGTCAGATTATTTTCTTGAGACAGATTTACCTTATCTAATTATCATGTCAGTGAAAATATTAAAATATGAATAAATTTTTTTAATTGTTGAGTTTAAATCCGCTCTAATAATTACAGCTAAGTTTCCAATTTCTATACTATTAGTTCTAATTTCGTTTTTGTTGTGTAGGTAAGATAAATATTAACTAAAATAATGATAAATTTTAGGTCTCTAGATCCTATCTTCTTTCCCAAATTAGTTTGTTGACCACTAGAGTCGTTAAAGAGGTTCAACTCTCTGCTTTGTGAAGCTCTAGAACCTATTTTGGAAGATCCATAATTTATTATCAGGATGACATCAGGCTTCTTGGAGGAGGGCCATGTTATGTTATCTAATAATTTATAATTTCTTCCATTACATAGACCTAGTGTTTCAGCTTATTAATTTAAGGTCCGAAGAATGAGTACTTTCAATTACGACTCTCTGATTTCATGCGACTACGTTCTGGATAATAAGATTATCTTATCATTTCAAAGTGTGAAGGTCACCTTCTTAGAGACTTCCTTGATTGGCTTTCAGATTAGAATTTTCCCATGGTTTGACCATAATTTAATTGTTAACTTTTATTTGATACGGGTTGATATCCCTATTTGTTTGTTTATTAAAATAGTGGAAGATTTTGATCAATTAAGTTAATCTTTGAGGATGAAATGGATGAAAAAAAAATTTGATTACTATGAAAGTATTATTATTCAAACAAATTTTGGATTGTATTTCTTATGGATTAGACCAAAAATATAATGTATACTTATGTTTTCGGATTTCTAGTTTCTTCTTTTTAATATTACTAATTCACAATATCAGTATGTATTTTCTTCTCTAAGCTTAAGTTAGTATCAACCATGATGTAATTTTTAAATAAGATTCTAATCTGAAATATTATGAGAGTAATAAAATTATATTTNATTTATGACTGGAGATAATCACTTAAATCAAGCGTAATCTACTTTTAGGCTTCTAATTTAAATTCTATATCTAATATCTTAGATTCATGTTTATAATCTAAAACTTAGACTTTCAGCTATCTGATAATAAATCCACAACCAGCATCATTCAGGTAATGAGAACCATAATTATTAAGTAATTATCCTCATAGTTCTCCAAAAGTCTCTGTAGAACTTCATAGGTAATTCATTTGGAATAATTGCATTATTATTGATTTTTTAGTTTCTGAGGATCTAAATAATCTGAATCCATCATATAGTCAGATTATTTTCTTGAGACAGATTTACCTTATCTAATTATCATGTCAGTGAAAATATTAAAATATGAATAAATTTTTTTAATTGTTGAGTTTAAATCCGCTCTAATAATTACAGCTAAGTTTCCAATTTCTATACTATTAGTTCTAATTTCGTTTTTGTTGTGTAGGTAAGATAAATATTAACTAAAATAATGATAAATTTTAGGTCTCTAGATCCTATCTTCTTTCCCAAATTAGTTTGTTGACCACTAGAGTCGTTAAAGAGGTTCAACTCTCTGCTTTGTGAAGCTCTAGAACCTATTTTGGAAGATCCATAATTTATTATCAGGATGACATCAGGCTTCTTGGAGGAGGGCCATGTTATGTTATCTAATAATTTATAATTTCTTCCATTACATAGACCTAGTGTTTCAGCTTATTAATTTAAGGTCCGAAGAATGAGTACTTTCAATTACGACTCTCTGATTTCATGCGACTACGTTCTGGATAATAAGATTATCTTATCATTTCAAAGTGTGAAGGTCACCTTCTTAGAGACTTCCTTGATTGGCTTTCAGATTAGAATTTTCCCATGGTTTGACCATAATTTAATTGTTAACTTTTATTTGATACGGGTTGATATCCCTATTTGTTTGTTTATTAAAATAGTGGAAGATTTTGATCAATTAAGTTAATCTTTGAGGATGAAATGGATGAAAAAAAAATTTGATTACTATGAAAGTATTATTATTCAAACAAATTTTGGATTGTATTTCTTATGGATTAGACCAAAAATATAATGTATACTTATGTTTTCGGATTTCTAGTTTCTTCTTTTTAATATTACTAATTCACAATATCAGTATGTATTTTCTTCTCTAAGCTTAAGTTAGTATCAACCATGATGTAATTTTTAAATAAGATTCTAATCTGAAATATTATGAGAGTAATAAAATTATATTTGTAAATTTGCCATTTTATTTAGCTAGGTTCATTTATTTCTTTATACTTGAAATATTACTTATAGTTTTCTAACTCTAAACATAGATTAGAATAATTAAATCTTTGGATGAGAGAGGACTATGGTTAAAACAAAATTTCCCTTTGATTCTTATTGCAATTGTAAAAATCAGATAACAATGTAATTTTCTCTAACATATTTTAAATTCCTTAAATAACTTTTATGTATGTTACTTAGCCTCAATTTATATAACAGTTTTTAACCTATTATCTTAAAAATTAAAAAAAAATAATATTCAGAATTTTTAGATTCAGCATAACCATAAAGTATCCTTAACTTAGGGTTTATTAGTTTGAGATTTGTTGATTTGCATTAAATCATTAACACATTTTAATAATGAGCCAATTTAATAAAAATAATTTCAAACCTAAAATGGAATTTGAAAGATAAAGAAAATAACTTCAATAATCTCAACATAGAAATAATTAGTATATTAGAAAATTATGGGTAATAAAAATTAATGATATAATAAGAGATTTTTGTACTAAAGAAACTTTCAGGTCAATTATGTCAACTAATCAAAAAAGAAACCTTTTTTCTCTTTATTAAAATGATTTGATTGAAAATAAACTTAATTCATTCTTTCTCATTATCCAATAATTAATATATTTTTCATCAAGTTATTTATAATGAAAAAGAATAAATTTTATTTCTGAATTATCAAAATAAAAGCTTATTGGATAAATTAAAAATTAACCAAGTATTATATAAGTTAGAAGTTAAATTAATAGAAATCTTTTCAAATAAACTTTCAACTTAATTAATTATACTGTCGCATTAAGTCGAAATTATACTTCATTGGACAAAAATAAATATTTTATTCAACTGATATTTAATTCTTGTTATTTGGAAAATTTACTCTCTTAGTTACACTTAAAGAATCTTATGTCTGTTATTTGATTAAATAATAGAAATTAATTTTCTAATTGAAATGGAGTTGTTAATAATTCATATTCAAGTAAAACAAATTGTAAAATTTACAGTAATTAAACTATCTATACTAATTATTTCAAGGTGTAATATAATTTTCATCAACAGTTAATCTTATATTACTAAAAAAAATTTTCTAGTTGAAATAATACAGTTAAAAAGACTAATGACTAAATTAAATTTTAATATCATTAAATTATCTTGCTAAAATATAGTAAAAAATAAAAATACGCATACGCTCAAGGTAATGATGTATTTTTAATAGTGTAATTATGAACTTAACTTGAAAAAAATTATATCAATAAATACATCATTATTGCCATTTTTTTCTCCAAAAAGTAATCTTCTGACTTCTCATAATATTTTAAAAAATTTGAATTTTTATCTTAGGTCATACTAAGCATAGTGATATATTTAATTTATTGAAATTAAGACTTTTGGATTAGGCATAATGAAATGGTAACTCTAAAACAAAAAATTTAATTACACTATAGTTAATAGGTTATGGAAATTATTAATTATAAATAATTATATATAATTAATAATTTATGAGAACTTTGGATTGGTTGCAGAACCTAAACAGGTTAAACAGAAATTTCATAAACAAAAATATGAGATACAAATTGTTTTCAACTTCAACCAAAAATCTTAATTTTTCATATTCAAACAAATTGAAAATTCTGGGATATTCATCTGAATTTTTGTATTTCTAAAGTGATCGATAAGTATATATAGATCGAAATTATGTACTTTTTTATAAACAGTCAAAAATATAGTGGGTATCTTTTTTCTATTTAAATTTTATATTACTATAGACCTCTTGAAATCTATCCAGTTTATTTATTTTAATTATAATTTAAATTAAAATGGTTGGGGTTTCCTTTATTAAAATTTTATTTATGCATCCTTTTTTGCTATATGAAGGTTGTAAATAAATCCCTGGAGCTGATTGTAGTAACAATGGATGGACTAATGCAAATAAAGTAATTGAATGCCAAGGAAAGCTTTATATTGGAGATTTCACAGGAGGTTATTAGATCTGGAAAATATTTCCTTGTCCACCAGAAAGGAAATTAATATTCTCGTTTACTATTGCTAAATTTGATTCTTGGGATTTAGAAGCTGTATCTATTTACAGAGATGATTTACTTGTTGGCTCAATTGCTTATTCTCCTTATCAAGGAGAATATATTTGTGCATTATCTTTTTTTCCAGATTTAACTGAGAAGAAAACTTTTTCATTTTAATCGCCGGTTGGAAAGAATAGTTTTAAGTTGCGATTAGAGGATAACTTTGAAGCAAATGATGATTGTAATGAATAGTTTATTTTAGAATCTTGGGGATTTAGAGATATAAAATTATAAATTTTGAATCCTTGTGTTGATTTCTATAGTGAATGCAACTTTTTAGGGGATATGTGGAGAATATGTGCTGGAAATTAGACTCTTTTTGCTAAATTTGTTCCTTTTAAAATAAAATCCATAAATATTTTGAAAGGGATAAGAGTTTAAATGAAAGACAAAAGATTTAAAGGAGGAATTCTATAGACGTATACTTAAAATCAGACATGTTTGGACGATTTTAATGTAATTTATTATCATAAACCATTTTTTAGTTTCCAAAATATGAAAAATAATCATGAATATCTTATGCCTATATTGATTATCATTAAAACAATATTATCATCTTCAATGATATCCATTTTTTTATTAATCTTAAAAAGATTATATTCCAAAGTTGAAATCATAATTATAGTTATTTTAAAACGTTTCGCAAAAATAAATGCTATATAAATATTAACAGTATAAATAAAATTGAGATTAAAAAATAAACAACTCAGTTAAGAATAAAATAAAATGTAAAATAATAAAAAATTAAACTAAAAATAATTTTCCACTCTACTTTCTCCATAAAGCAAACACCCATCATTATCATCACTTTCCCCTGTTCCCAAAAACATACTGATCGGAATAATCCATTATTTTTATTGCAAATTGCAATCTCATTTAAAAACCTTATTAAAGTTATCAGGACATTAAATTCAGGATGAAATCTATAATTCAATTTTAGTCAGAGTAATTCTTAAATTCAGAGAGATTAATTTCTTATCTTTTAGCTTAGTTTTTTCTTTTCGGAATAGACAAGCTAAAACTATAGATAAACTAATACAACAGGTATCATATACTTCAAAATTGAAAAGATTTCGTCTTTGAATTAGAAGTATACATAGATTTGATAAAATTACATTTAGAACATTTAAGAACCAAAAAAAAATATAAATTTCTAATTCATTTATTAAATAAGGAGTCAGAATGCAATTTTAAGTACTAAAAGTCCATTATAACTTACATTCATATTTTTCCAACAAAACTAAATTTCATCTAACTGTCCTTTGTTTTTAATGCAGTTGGTTTACCTTTACAATTGATATCATACTTCTCTTCTACCCTTTTAAAATTAGAAACAGAATTAGATTATAAGCCAACTCAATAAATTCTTGAATTTGCCAATAAAGAAAGTGGAGATGGCCATATCATTAGCTTAAGCAAAATCCAATTTCATTTTTTAAACAATAAATAAATTTAATCATAAAAAAAACAATTACGGTGTACAAATACTTCAAAATAACATAGAATAAGTTTAAATGAAAGAATTCTGATATAATATCATGTTTGAGTATTTAAATTTTAATTTATTAACATATAAAATTAAGAAATTGAGATAAATTTTAAATACATTATTATGGAAATTCAATATTTATTAGCTTCAATATTTTTAGTTGTGGGTATCCTAATATACTCATTGAAGTCAAAATTTGAAAAGTCAAGATAAAACTAAAAACCTTAAGAAGATAAAATAGACCTAGGAAAAAAGATAAATGGTTAAGAAAAATTAATTCCAATCTCTATATATTTTGGAACACAATAAGGCACTGCAGCTCGATTTGCCAAATAATTATCTGAAGAAGGAAAAGAACATGGATTTTTGACAACAGAAGTAGATCTTAATGAAGTTGAATTTGATAAAGAGATGAAAAAGGGAGAATTTGGAATTTTTTGCATGGCTACTCATGGGGAGGGTGACCCTACAGATAATGCAAAAAAATTTATAAGTTGGTTATAAGAGCCTTAACTATCTTTAAAAGATTTTAATTTTACTGTTTTTGGACTTGGTAATAGGCAATATGAACATTATAATAAAATTGGAAAACTTACAAACAATCTTCTTGAAAAGTAAAATGCTATTCGATGTTACAAGTATGGGGAAGGAGATGCCAATAGTACATTAGAAGATGACTTCATAGATTGGAAAAAAGACTTATGGAATGTTTTAAAGGGTCTGATTCATCCAACACCCTAAGGTAAATAAAAATAATTCAAATATAGGTTCAACATTTAAACTTGTAAAAAGTAATAAAGAAGAAATCAATTTTGATTAAACTCCTTAAGGGTAATTTGATTTTTAAACTAAATAGTTTTTAAAAGCAAAATGTAAATTATTTTATTAATTTAAGATTGCCAAGTTGTATCAATAACTTAATTAAGATAAAATCAATAAGATGGTTCAACACTATAAATAATTTTTGATACAGGTAGAGAAGGAATAGAATATAAAACAGCTATGAATTTAGGAGTTTATCCTGAAAATAATGATGAATAAATTCTGGAAATTGCTAATTATTTAGGTGAAAATCTCAACACAATCTATACATTGGAATAATTAGAAGAGACTAAAAAAGCAAAAATGCCATTTCCTTCTCCTTTAAGTGTTAAAAAGATTTTGAAGCACTTTTTAGATTTTAATGGATAATTAATGAAAAATACATTAACAAAGTTGGCTAAGATTTCAAGTGAANATCCAATTTCATTTTTTAAACAATAAATAAATTTAATCATAAAAAAAACAATTACGGTGTACAAATACTTCAAAATAACATAGAATAAGTTTAAATGAAAGAATTCTGATATAATATCATGTTTGAGTATTTAAATTTTAATTTATTAACATATAAAATTAAGAAATTGAGATAAATTTTAAATACATTATTATGGAAATTCAATATTTATTAGCTTCAATATTTTTAGTTGTGGGTATCCTAATATACTCATTGAAGTCAAAATTTGAAAAGTCAAGATAAAACTAAAAACCTTAAGAAGATAAAATAGACCTAGGAAAAAAGATAAATGGTTAAGAAAAATTAATTCCAATCTCTATATATTTTGGAACACAATAAGGCACTGCAGCTCGATTTGCCAAATAATTATCTGAAGAAGGAAAAGAACATGGATTTTTGACAACAGAAGTAGATCTTAATGAAGTTGAATTTGATAAAGAGATGAAAAAGGGAGAATTTGGAATTTTTTGCATGGCTACTCATGGGGAGGGTGACCCTACAGATAATGCAAAAAAATTTATAAGTTGGTTATAAGAGCCTTAACTATCTTTAAAAGATTTTAATTTTACTGTTTTTGGACTTGGTAATAGGCAATATGAACATTATAATAAAATTGGAAAACTTACAAACAATCTTCTTGAAAAGTAAAATGCTATTCGATGTTACAAGTATGGGGAAGGAGATGCCAATAGTACATTAGAAGATGACTTCATAGATTGGAAAAAAGACTTATGGAATGTTTTAAAGGGTCTGATTCATCCAACACCCTAAGGTAAATAAAAATAATTCAAATATAGGTTCAACATTTAAACTTGTAAAAAGTAATAAAGAAGAAATCAATTTTGATTAAACTCCTTAAGGGTAATTTGATTTTTAAACTAAATAGTTTTTAAAAGCAAAATGTAAATTATTTTATTAATTTAAGATTGCCAAGTTGTATCAATAACTTAATTAAGATAAAATCAATAAGATGGTTCAACACTATAAATAATTTTTGATACAGGTAGAGAAGGAATAGAATATAAAACAGCTATGAATTTAGGAGTTTATCCTGAAAATAATGATGAATAAATTCTGGAAATTGCTAATTATTTAGGTGAAAATCTCAACACAATCTATACATTGGAATAATTAGAAGAGACTAAAAAAGCAAAAATGCCATTTCCTTCTCCTTTAAGTGTTAAAAAGATTTTGAAGCACTTTTTAGATTTTAATGGATAATTAATGAAAAATACATTAACAAAGTTGGCTAAGATTTCAAGTGAAGATGAAAAAGTAAGGAACTATTTACTTCATTTAACAACAGAAGAGGGAAAAAAAGAATTTTAGTAAATGGTTGATGAGTAAAAAACAACAATTTTTCAATTAATTTAAAGAAACAATATCAAATTAAATTTAGCATAATTTATTGAATTATGTCCAAGAATAAGCCCCAGATTATTTACTATTGCATCATCAAATATAAAAAGCCCTCAACAATTAGAAATTGCTGATAGTTTATTAATTGATGATTTATCAGATGGTACTTAAAAAATAGGTTTATGTTCTTAATATTTCTTAAACATACAATAAAGACTCTTGCAAGGGGTAATATTTATAGTTATGTTAGGAAAGTGTGAAAGTTAGAGTTGATTTTAGAGAATCAAACTTTAAATTACCAGATGATCCAAATAAATCCATAATTATGATTGGACCAGGGACTGGAATAGCTCCTTTTATTGGATTTTTATAAGAGAGAGAAATCTTTTTATAAAACCAAGCTCAAAAATAAAATGAATATATTCTGTATTTTGGATGTAAACATGAAAACGGAGATTTCATTTATAAAGATTAACTTAGAGAATTTTAAAGAAGAAAAATTATTGATAAATTTTATACAGCATTCTCAAGAGATTAAGAAAAGAAGATTTATGTATAAGATTTGCTTAAGCATAATTCTGAAGAACTATTTAATTTAATAATAAATGATAAGGTAGTCATTTATATATGTGGGTAAGTTTTATAATTAATTTAGATCAACAAACATGGGAAATTCAGTTTAACACCTGATTAAAGAGATATTAATAAAATATAGCAATTGGTCAGAGCATGAAGCTGAAGAAAGAATAGAAAATATGTAGAAATAAAAATTTTTAATCAAAGAATTATGGTGATTTACATGAGTTATAAATAAAAAAGTTATTATTATTTTTAAAATCTAAATGAAAAAAAAGTAACTTGAAAGAGATGAACAGGGCAATTTAATTATGAATGAGCAAAATATTATCGAAATTTGCGAAAAAGAAGGTTTATATGAGTATCCAGAACTGAATTCTAAATTATATCTACATTTTAAGGGTAATTAAGAGTAATTAATTTTAAGCATTCAGAAAAATTGCAGGTTTGGACAATTTCATAAATGTTAAGACTTTGTGGTTAGAAAATAACTTTATTACAAGAATAGAGGGATTAGAAAATCTTTAATAACTAACACATTTATTTTTACAAAATAATCTAATTTAAAAAATTGAAGGATTACGAGAAAATTTAGAATTGATAACATTGAATCTATCTAATAATTGTATTAAAGTGGTTGAAAATTTGTAGAGGCTCTAAAAGCTTTCTAGTTTGGATTTATCAACAAACAAATTGAAATCAGTTTCTGATATATGGGAATTAGAATTAAATTAATCAATATCTAATTTAGACTTATCCAATAATATGCTCGAATTTGAAGGAGAACATGAAGATGATCCATTATTGTTAATATTTAAAAAAATGCCAAAATTAAAATGTCTATATTTATAGAGAAATAATTACATACGATCAATTCAAAATTATAGAAAAGTATTTAGAGCTATCTTATTTTAGTATTATCTTGCCAATTTACCAGAATTAACATATTTAGATACTTAACCTGTATTTCCTAATGAACGTAGAATAGTGGATGCATGGGGAAAATCGGGTAAAGAAGGGGAATAAATAGAAAGATAAAGTATATAATAATATGAATTATATAGAAATAAAAGATGAAGAAGATACTAAGAAGTAAGAATATCGTGAAGAGATAAAAAAATAATTACCTATTCACNTTTTATACAGCATTCTCAAGAGATTAAGAAAAGAAGATTTATGTATAAGATTTGCTTAAGCATAATTCTGAAGAACTATTTAATTTAATAATAAATGATAAGGTAGTCATTTATATATGTGGGTAAGTTTTATAATTAATTTAGATCAACAAACATGGGAAATTCAGTTTAACACCTGATTAAAGAGATATTAATAAAATATAGCAATTGGTCAGAGCATGAAGCTGAAGAAAGAATAGAAAATATGTAGAAATAAAAATTTTTAATCAAAGAATTATGGTGATTTACATGAGTTATAAATAAAAAAGTTATTATTATTTTTAAAATCTAAATGAAAAAAAAGTAACTTGAAAGAGATGAACAGGGCAATTTAATTATGAATGAGCAAAATATTATCGAAATTTGCGAAAAAGAAGGTTTATATGAGTATCCAGAACTGAATTCTAAATTATATCTACATTTTAAGGGTAATTAAGAGTAATTAATTTTAAGCATTCAGAAAAATTGCAGGTTTGGACAATTTCATAAATGTTAAGACTTTGTGGTTAGAAAATAACTTTATTACAAGAATAGAGGGATTAGAAAATCTTTAATAACTAACACATTTATTTTTACAAAATAATCTAATTTAAAAAATTGAAGGATTACGAGAAAATTTAGAATTGATAACATTGAATCTATCTAATAATTGTATTAAAGTGGTTGAAAATTTGTAGAGGCTCTAAAAGCTTTCTAGTTTGGATTTATCAACAAACAAATTGAAATCAGTTTCTGATATATGGGAATTAGAATTAAATTAATCAATATCTAATTTAGACTTATCCAATAATATGCTCGAATTTGAAGGAGAACATGAAGATGATCCATTATTGTTAATATTTAAAAAAATGCCAAAATTAAAATGTCTATATTTATAGAGAAATAATTACATACGATCAATTCAAAATTATAGAAAAGTATTTAGAGCTATCTTATTTTAGTATTATCTTGCCAATTTACCAGAATTAACATATTTAGATACTTAACCTGTATTTCCTAATGAACGTAGAATAGTGGATGCATGGGGAAAATCGGGTAAAGAAGGGGAATAAATAGAAAGATAAAGTATATAATAATATGAATTATATAGAAATAAAAGATGAAGAAGATACTAAGAAGTAAGAATATCGTGAAGAGATAAAAAAATAATTACCTATTCACTTGTAAAGCAAAATTAACTTTTTCCAAAAAAATATCAACGCTATAGAAACTGAAATATAAGAGATGTAAGCTAGAAAATAAAATCATATTGAATAAAATAGTCAAGAAATTGAAATTACTTTTTTAGATGCTTCTATTAATTAGAAATAATCTCAACTTAATGAAATGAATGAATTACTTGATAATATGAAAGTAAGATAAATACGATAAAATTCTATGACAGAATCACAATTAATTGAATAAAGAGGAGATTAATAGGAAAAAATTCAAATTTAACTTGATGAAATAGATTGAAATGTCTTTTTATAAGAAAGATTTAATTATTCATTCATATATTTTTTAATATTTTTTTGCAAAATCTTTCATTTTTGAATCTTATTTACGTAGCAATATTAATCTATAAAGAGCAGAACAAATTTTTTTATTATCTTATCGCAAATGATATTATTCAAATGTTGCAATTAAATCCTTATTTTACATACTAAACCATATAGATATATCTTTTATTTCAGCTAATTATTGTTTAATCCTCATTTGTAAGACATTACTAGATATTTATTTTTCTAAAAAACTTTATAATGTCTGAAATTCTAAAGTAAGTAGTTCAAAATATAAATCTTAACTTATGTTTTATAGTTTGTTAATATCAAAAATTGAATAAAATAATCCTAGTTTTATAATTATTTAAGTACCTTCAAAAAATGAAGCAATAAAAGAATCATAAAATACAGAATGGTAATTAACTGGGAGCTTCTAATTGAATATTAAAAAAAAATCTTTTATTTCATCCAATTATTGAAGCATAGACCATTCTGACTTTTACTAATAACTTTTTGCATCAGTCATTGATTTTAAATCTTAATGAAGAGGGGTAAATAAATTAGGAGATATAATTTCATTTATAAGAATTTTTGAAATACTTTTGCAAATTACTTTACCTTTAGTATTGAAATCACTGGTAAGATGATCTAAAGCTTCAAGTTTTAATTAATCCTTTAGATGCTAAAATTGTTATTACAGGAAATTAAGATTACAAATTCTCATCATCATTTCTATAACAAGATGAATTTATTATTAGGCTAATTATTTCTAATCAAGAGGTATGCTTTATTTACTTTTAATAACTGCAGGAAACCAATATGATATTAAATTTGTTTTTTGTTCAAGATTTTATTCCATCTATTCCAAATACATTAATATAGCAGTATAGAGTATATGTTCCATTTTGCTATTAATTGTTTTTTTGAAGAGATTATCATTCTTAAACTTAACCACTTATTGTAAAGCTTCTAAAGATTTAAATAAAATAGAGCAAAAGTCTTCTATACTCTTAGTTTATGTTTGCTGCATCAATTCTTTAAACTACAAACTTTCATCTAGAAATTTTTCTTTAGTAATTAATGATTATAAAATTTTTAATGTATTTTATTGAGATTATTGGAACCACATTTCTATTGATCGACCAATAATTTAGAGTGCTTTAGCATTTAAATTATTAGGTAAGAGTTGATCATCAATTAAAGCTAAAGTGAAACATATGGAAAAAGCACTTAATATAATCATAATAATACTTTCCATTTTTATCTTCTGGAATTAATCCTTTTTAAATACAGAGCTCAACTTATTGAAGTATTAAATATATTTCTGACAATGCACCAATCATAAAATGAAAGAAAAACAAATTCTAATTATTTCGATTATCAGGTAATAAATGTTATATACCTTTCTAAAAATAATCAATATATTGTTCTTTTAATTCAAGACATTCTTTACACATTACAGTTAACAGAATAGAAACTTAATTAAATGTTTTTTCAGATATTTGATTCTATTAAAACTGCTCTCTTTTAATAATCATACTATAATAATGATGACCTGTTTGTTCCATAATTTTGAGCATTAATTCATTTGTATTTTAGTATTCTGTAAACTCAAGTGAAATACTTGCAACTATGTAAAATAAATTCATGAAGGCAATTAGGAAAGACTAATCACTAGGTAATTAAGACCAAAAACTAGTTGTAAGTCCTAATAAATCTTTATATAATCTATCTGAATTCTTCTATTTTAGTGCAAATTACAATTATGATTAATTAATAATTTTTTCCTTATTAATAATATCCCATAGTTATTCAGTTAATTATTAAGTAATTACAACAGCATCCTTAATATCCAAGTTTTTTATTCTTAAGGCAGGTTATAGTATTTTTTGATAGACTAGAGAAAGTAAAGTAATGCTGACATGAGCAGGTGAAAGCTTTAGTGCATCAGATGCGAATTAATATATTAAAGGAACAAAATCCATATCAATAGTTGTTGGTTATATGATTGCAGATAGAATAAGCTCTAATAAACATTGATTCAATGGATAAGAGATTTCTTCTATTTGAGAATCAAAATTAATTTGAGCTATATCTTTCTCATCAATAATAATTTATTTTAGTAGATTATTAAAATATTTTTTTTATTAATCTAATTAAGAATTCTAAATATTAAATGCTTATAATAATAAACATTAGACCCAATATTAATTTAAAGTTGAAAACATTAATAACTTTTTTAGAATTATGTAATGCTTTTCATTATTTTTAATTTCATTGTACAATTAAGGTGTTTTTATTACCATTAAAGCATCTTTGATTAATGTAATAAAAATAGAACTGGTAACAGATTATTCTATGTTAGATTATATGGAATTTGAAAATAATTCCAATAGTTTCATTGAAGCTAAATTAATTTTGAATTTATTTTTTGTATGAGTTATTAGAAGTGGCCAATCTTAATTTTAACATTTATATCTGAGCATCATTAATAATGTAAATTAAAAGAATTCTTGTTATTGGAATTCCTTTGCCAAATCCCTAATGATTATATAAAATTATTATACATATTATATGGGATTTCATTATTAAATATACCAACTTAATCTTTAATTATAATTGGTAAAGATTTTGTATTACTATTAGAAGCATATATTTTTCTGATTTCAATGAGTTTATCTTTGTGAGATTATAATAAATCAGTTTCATTAATTGATCCATTTTCATTTTATTTTGATTATCCTGTTCCAGATGTATTGAGTTTTTTACCACTTTAATTTATAGATTAGGCTTATAATTGATTTTTCATTCTTTCCAAAGTCTATTATTCTGGTTGGACTGTATCAAAAAATTGTATTTATAACATTAATTGTTTGCCAATAATCTCAGCATGCCTTTTTTAATAATAATTAGTACTCTTTTTGTTGTATATAAAATTTTTTAAAGGAATCTATAATTTTAGCATTTTTTTTCTTTTCTGTGATAATTGCTGCTTCTATATTATTCTACATGGCAATTATAGCAGATTATGTGAATTGATCTATTTACTATTTTTCAACATTTTTTGCACTCACTAATTAATCTCTTTCTTTTTTTTATTAATCACACTAAATATATATTTATAGTCTACTTTTTACATTACAAGTTCTTTGTTTTATTTGATATCTAAATAAGCTTAAAAAATATCTTGTTCTATTTGATTAACATTTTCTGATAAAACTCCAAGAATATCACTAATTTTAGATGTTGAGATAATATTTTTGTCTATAAATTCTTTAATTGTTTTATTTTCAAATTCTCTACAAGTAACTAAATTTTTTAGGTTTAATTATACATTCTTTTCTTGTCAATTTAATTAATTATTCAGAGATTGATTTCAGAATAGCTTAGTAATCTTTTAAATATGAACTGAATTCTTTTAAAGTTGTTTTTTAATGAGACATTTATAGACTCAATTATTATTTTGTATACTATGTCATAAGTAAATATGTTACATCTATTTCTTAATACAATAATTTTTTTGAGCTCATTATTATATTATTAATATTACCCGTTTTAATGAAGTTTTTGATATTTGTTGTAATTGGTCTAGCTTTGGCAGTTCCACTTTCAGAAGATTTGGCTTAGTTGTCTCTTTTGTAAACACCTAAAGAGGAGGTGTTAGAACAATTAGGTGATTTATTGAGTGAATTAAGAAAAGAATAAACAATGGATGATACTTAACTTGCTCAAGTATATTATTTTGATATAATTTAGACTAATGCAAAATTAGAAGCTGATATTTTGATATCATAATCCTAATTAGAAGCTCAAGTGAACTAATTAAAAGCTACCAACACCTTAATTGGAGATTTGAGTGAAGAAATCTACTCAATTTCAAAAACTTGGGCCAATCTTAATTAATAATTAACAGATTTAGGGGCTAGAGATATCTAATTAAGAGATTCTTTAGCAAATGAAGGAGCTGCTTTTGAAGTAAATTAATTTATAAATAATTTTAGAACGAATCATCATAAGCAAGAAGATCAATTAATGGTCTTACATAAATCATATCAAAATTAACAGATGCTGTTTTATCTTAATAATCATTAATTGAAAAATAAGAAATTGTGAATGTAATGAAATAAGAATTGGGATAAAAGCATCCAGTTGCTTTACTAGTAGAAGTAACTTCAAAGTTTGATAAAGCCACAGTTTAAAATATTATCTTAAAATTGGAACACATTCAATCATAATAAGAATAATAATTGATACAATCAGAATAAAATTGGACTGTGTAATAATAAACATATTAAACTTTGCTCAATGAAATTTCAGAAGTTTCTAAAAAGTTGAGTTTTGATGCTTCCACTGCTAAGACTTCAATTGCCAAAAAATAAAATGAAAAAGTAACTGCAGAAAAAAGAAAGGCTTAACTTGAGACCACAATTCCATAAACTGAACAAGTCTTAACAAATCTAAAATAATAATAAGAGGCATATAATATGGCATATTCTGCTAGAAAACAAAAGAGGTATAAATATTTAATATAAAATATAGAACTCAAGAAGTTGAAACTTTAAAGAGTGCTTTTGAATTGTTAGAAAAAAAATTAAGATGAATACCATATGAATTACAATTTAAAATTATTATATCGTTATGATCTTGTTGATAATAATATTCAATTTAACATTATAGACAACAAGAGTGTTCCATAAAGAAGAAATCCTGAACTAGAACTAGCTTCTTAACAAATTTCACATTTTTTGGAATCTGGGTTCCAAGCATATGAATAAAGAGTGAATGGCAAACATTAAGTTTATGTTAAGGTTGTTGTATCTAAATCTATGCATTTATCTGTTTCCCATTTACAAAATGTAACTTATTTTGAATCAATTGAAAAAAATAACATACAAGACTCCTCTGGCAAAATAGTACAAGTTAATGGTTTGCAAGTATCACCCCAATAACAGGATGATGTATTACAAAGATCGATGGTGGCATAATCAGAACATTGAGTTATTGTTTTTGCTTCACAAGTTTTGGCTGTTGTATTTTACAAACACTGTTTTCCATCAGGAGTAACAAGCCAATTACATTCTTCGTAAGGTACTTTGTCACAACTTCCAATACTCATAGCAGATTCTTGTGTTCTATCCATACATTTCACAGTTCCAGCTGTATTGTCAATTGTATCAACATCAACTTAACATTTTATCAAATCATAACATTTCTCACCTTCTGCAGTTTTGAAAGTATAATCAGAACATTATGTAAACTCTTCGCATTTACTAGTTGTGTAATTCCAAGTGCAATTAAATGGATCAGGAACACCAAAGCAATCTTCTTAACTAAATCCAGAGCAAGGTTTGTTTGAGCATGTTGATTCATTTGGATCCCAAGTGCAATAATCACTCAAACAATCTGATTATTGTAATAGATTTTCGCATTAACATTAATAAACACTGGATAGACTTAATGTTGTGGCAGAATTTGCTATAATGAGCAAAGTGAAACCAATTAAATATATCTTCATGATAATTTTTTTTGTTTAAATAAAAATAAAGATTTTATTTGATATCAAACTCATATTTATAGGACAAAAATGTAGTTAAAAAACTCATTTTCTAAAAATAATTTCTGAAATTCTTAATTGCAAATACTGATACTATTTTTAACAATTTAAGTAGAGTAATTTAAAGAATATTCTATTGAAAAACTTGATGTACAAACAATTTTAGTAACTTAGTATATAATTTTATTATTAACATAAATAAGAATGGATAGTAGTCCAAGATGTCCTTTTGGATTTTAGACAGAACCAAGCAATGATTCTCCTGCGAAGAAAGTTAGTTTTAAGGAATTTCTTATTCAAAGATAGAGTGTTCATAAATCAACATTACCTGCAGTTGTCTAATAAAAAAATAAGAGATGGGAAAAACAATTAAGTTCTTTATTATCACCTGAAATCAGTTCTTTTAGATAAGTATAATCAAATTAACAAATACCTTTAAATGAAATAGTGAAAGTTGCTAGAATCACAAATACAAAAAATAACAATGAGTACAATTTAATATTATTGTAGCAAAGAACAAGAATTTAAGAAAATTAAATCAGAATCATTATCAATACCATTACTTAATATTCCAATGATGCCAACAAATGGATTTTTTAAATTTTAACCCTAACATCGTATGAGAAAAACTGGAATGTATAGTCTAAGAAATTGTAATGAATAATTAGAATAAATCAACAGAAAATAAAAGTCAAATGCTAACAATTTTTCTCTACCCTAATTAACACAAGAAGAGATAATTACATAATTTTTCCAAACGAAATTTTAAAAGTCAAATGACAATGATGTAATTCATGATTTATATATAATTTAGGAATTATAACATAAACCAATTGGATCTAGTGCAAGATTAGATTATGAGGCAAACATTCTTTTTACAAAAATTACTTCTGATTATACTTTATATTAAAAGTATAAAGGAAGACATATTAAACATCTAAAAGAAGTTTATCGTAGTTTATTAGGTGTAGGATATGACAAAGAAATAATGATGGATCCTGGAAGACTAAAAAGTATTCATTCCTAATTAAATATAAAAAATGATTAGTTTTTAAGATTTAAATACTTATTCATAAATTAGTTTCTCGAAATGGAAACTCCTTTAGATTTATTTTTTAAAGGTTGTCATAAGATAGAAAGTTTTAAACCTTTAGTTTTAAATAAGGTATATATATTTAAATTTATTAATAGCCTTTAGATTTCGAAATATATGGTTAAGATGTAGGAATTAAGAAAATTACAGAATCAATGTATGATAAAATTTTTAAAGATTATACACTTTCTCCATATTTTATATTGATAGATAAGGAAACTCAAGCTAAAAAATTCTCTCGTTTATTCGCATAATTGATTGATCATACAGATTCTCCAAATTATACTTTAGAGATATTAAGAGAAAGACATGTTTAATATAATTTAACTTTAGTTTAGTTTGCAAATTTTAAATTTTATCTTTCAATGACATTGTAATAATAATAAATAGGATTTAAACATATAAGATAATTATTAAGAAAAATGGATACATATAAATATGCAATTTTAAATAAAGAGAGTTTATAAGAAACAATTAATGCATTTGGATATAGAGAATTTATTGATGGATTAGTAAAATAATGTTAAACTGAACCAATGTTATATGAATTATTTAATAAACGTGGTAAGTATAGATTTACAGCTCATTGTGAAAACATGATTCATTTTTTTTTTCGAGACAATGTCAAATCAATTACAGATTAAGATATTGAATAAATACATAAATGTAATGCAATAATTTCAGAGAAAGTCTTTTAAAAAATTAAAGAACATACATTTTAGGCTTTAATGAAAATAACAAAGGATTCTCTAATAATTTCTGATTTTGAAGAAGATTGGGAAGAAATTAAACCATTTATACTGAACAGATCAAAAAAACAAATTGTAAAATAATTGGGAGGATAAACTTTTATTAATAACCTTGCTTCTACTTTGGCATTTGAAATGCAATAAAGACCTCAATTAAATAAGGTCTTTGAAGTAATATATATTAAAATAATTAATTATTATAGGATAATGATACTTGTGTAGCTTAGAATTTGAGATGTAAATTAAATTTAATGCTTTATGGAATTCATTTCTATAAGAAGACAGAGTTGGAAGTACTTCATAAGAGATTAAAAATAACAGATTAAGTTTATTTTGAATTTTAATAAGTAAAGATAAATCATTAATAATTTAGGCAACAAAACACATTCTTGAAAATTTTCCTAAATTGTAATGGTTAAATAGAGTATTGGAAGACTATAAAAAACATATTGTTTCTGATTTTTGATAATAACTTTAAAGCATATTTTATATTTGATTATAATGAATGTTTGTAATAATTATAATAATGTTTTCTGAAAAAGAACACTCAAAGTCAGTTAAAACTTGTTAATTCAGAGAATTTATAGAACTATTATCAACTGATAGAAAGCAATTCCCACCAATCTTAAATAAAAGAAAATCCCAGTAAACTCTTGGAAGCATTATACACCATCATAATGAAAGTTCACAACTAAAAGATATTCAATTAGCTTAAAATATAAGACATGTATAAAATAATAATATTATTGAATATGCCTCAAGCTTGTCGTAGTTAAGGTATGATAGCTATTTAAACTTAACATTAAGACACAGAAATGAATTCTAATAAATTTAAGCAAATTATAGATAGTCCTTCATATAAAACCTCAAATCATATAGTTTCTTATGAAAAAAGTAGCTTTAGTTAACATTTTCGTATAACATCTTAAAGATCAAGTCCACAGTAAAAAAAAGTGAATTTAATACGAAATCATTAATTGTTTGTTGATTTAGTTAAGGGAACAGAGAAAATAAAAAATGATGTTGGATGTCCACTTAGTCCTTAACTTTAAAAATCTTAACAATAGATTATTTCAGGATATTTAAAAGATTTAGCAAAGTAAATTGATTTAATAAATAAATAAGAAAAAGACGAGTAGTTTAAAAACCATAAGGGATTGATGCTAGATTAGATTTTGAAACTGAATTGATTTATGCAGCCTTAACTTAGGATTGTGATTTAGCAAAAAAATTTTAAAATAGATAAGGAAATCATGTAAAATAAATCTTTAGAAATATTTTGGCAACAGGATATGATCAATAAATTTATTTAGATTTAAATAGGATAAGAAGTATTCATTTGGGATTGAATTTAAAAAATTTTCATTTCTTTAGATTTAAATATCATTTTATGAATAGATTTATGTAAATGGGAATACCTGTAGAATAATTATTCAAATGTTGTGAAAGAATTGAAAATGTTAGACCTTATATTTTAAATGAAAAAATGGAATATGATGTTTATGGTGGTTAAGATGGTATTGAATTATGTGCAAATTAAATGTATGCCAAAATTTTTGCTGATATTACATTGGAATATTATTTTGTAGGTATAGATAGAGCAACTTAAGCATCTAAATTTGCAAAATTATTCTTTTAATTGATTTATCATATGGATTCTCCAAATTATACTAATGAAGTTTTAAGGGAGAGACATGTCAAATATGAATTAACTAATGTTTAACTTACAAATTTTAAATTTTATCTTGCTTTAACTCTATAAGAATTATAAGTTCCATTTAAATATGCTAGTGCATTACTTAGAAGAATGGATATTTATAAATATGCTGTTATCAATAAAAATAGTCTTTAAGATTATATATGTAATTATGGTTATAATTAATTTATTGATTAATTTGTAAGAAGTTGTTTAGAAGAACCTGTTTTATATGATTTGATATAAAGAAGAGGTAAAGCAAAATTTACAGGTCATTGTGAAAATATATTCCATTACTTTTTTAGATACAATGTAAAAGCAATTACTTTAGATGATCTCGAGGAAATTCATTATCACAAAACTATAATTACTGAAAAGATATTTATGAAATTAAAGGAAAAGGCTATGGCTGAAGTTGCAAAACTTACAAATGATCGTATTGTTTTAGAAGACTTTGATGAAGATTGGGATGAAATAAAACCTTTAATATTGAGTGATCCTAGAATGTCTTTCCTTAAAACAAAGGATAGAGATCTTTTGATAAATGAATTAGCATATAATTTAGAGAATGAATTTTATTCTAGATAATTGAATGTGATTTATGAGGTATTGATAATAAATAAATAATATTTTAGACTGAAGAAATTAATATGATGAGGAATATCAAAAGCAAATTAAATCTTTTAGTGTATACTATAAAGTTTTTTAAGAGGACAGACTTAGAAGTAATTCATAGAAGATTTAGAATCAGTGAAAGTTAATATTTCGATTTTTAATAAAGTTTTAAATCACTTTTAGAGAGAATTCCAGAACTTCATTATATTCATGGATTATTAGAAGAATATAAAAAATATATTGTTTCGGATTGATATCTTGATTTATTATTTTACAATTATATTTTTTATAATGCTTAAATTTAATTATTAAATCATAATAAAATATTAATGTGTGACTAATTTCATTAACTAAATGATAAATGGACTATATCTGAGAAATACAAAGCTTAAAATAGCAAAGATGATTATAAAAAGACAATTGTTGATATTTGTTCAATTAAAACTGTTGAAGAATTTGCATTTATAATGAAATAAACAATATATTCAAAATTAACAGATATATTTAGTGAACCATAAAAATAAAAATAGTATCATATTTTCATTAAATGATAGATTCAAAAATTTTTAAAATAATGCTATAGAAACATAAATTGATGCAATCTAATTTTTCAAAAATGGTATTAATCCTTGTTGGGAGGATCCTGAAAATGAAAAAGGAGGTGACATACAATTTGAAATTCCTATTACATCAATCGATATTTATAATGAACTTTATACTAACATAATATATGAGATTATAGGATAAAATAAGGAAGAGCTAAGACATGTAAGAATTAGGAAAAATCTAGGTAAATGGAGTCAGAATTTTAGATAAAATAAATGCTGACAATGGAATCAGAATTGAATTATGGTTAGATATTGATCCCATAGATAAAAATGAACAGGTATAAAACAATATTAAAAAAATTGATGATTGGATACTTTAATTAGCAGAATAGTATAATATTAAACAACTTAAATTAAAAACATAATCGCATAAGAAAAAATGATTGGGTTGTTTTTTAAGTATAATATAAATGGACTTATCAAATATATTTATAATATACTTTTTATTTAGACAATCAATTTATAAAACGACTAATTTCAACAGCCAAATTAGCGTCATCTTCAATAGGAGGCATATGACCAACACCAGGTCTTAAAATAAGTGTGCATTTTTCTTCACCTATCTCTTTTGCATTGCCTTCTGCATAAACCTTTGGTATTACTATATCCAATTCACCATGATAAATTAACACAGGTCCTTTAATTTAGGAAGCCTTGTTTATACCTCCAGATCTTAAAAATAGTAATAAAATTACGAGATATCAAACTTATTTAATGCCCAACAAACATCAGTATATTATGTTTATAAAAAAGTTTCATCCAATAATTATTAATATTCTTGTTCTTCTGGATATTTACCACTATTGAATAATACCTTATCAAAAATCATTCTCATAAATTCTCTATCCTTATCAGATAATTTTTATTATTATAATGCAACTTTTGGATGCTCTTTTACTTATTATTTTGTTTGACATCTAACTTATCCTTCTTCATCTTCTCTCATTAAGGCATAACCACAAACACTTCCTGATGCAATCAAAATGAGTTTTTAATATTTATTAGGATAATCAACTGCTAATTACATACTTACAATTCCTCCTAAAGACCATCCTGCTAAATAAACATGTTTTTCATAATACTCATCATTTTTATCTGATAATAATGATTTTAATAAGATATCCACATCATTAGATAAGTCAGTAATTTAATCAACATTGTAATTACCTTATGATCTTCCAAATCCTCTTAAATCCATACTAATACAACGAATTTTTGAATTAACTTATTATATTTATTGTATCAATCTTCTCCAATATTTACAAGATATTAGATTTCCATGAATCAAAACTAAAATGTTATCATAAGCATTATTATTGCTATGAGTATCTTCATAATATAACCAACTTTTTATATCCATTTCTCAAAAATTTATTAAAAAATTTATTTAATGAATATACTATTCAGAAATTGGATATTGTTTTCTTTTATAAAAAAATACGTATAATATTTTAAGTTATTTATAATATATAAAAATATTAATTTGAATACATATTATTATTTTAATTAAAATGATACTCATTGCAATGAGATACTAAAGACCATAGTTTCATGCAAGTCAAGTAGTAAAGAATGCTATCCAAAGAAGAAAAGGTATAAAAATATGATCTAATTTGAAATTAGATAGAAAGAATGCTATGCAAGACCATTTAGAAAGACTAGCAGATAAATTAGAATACAAGGCATTCCCCTATCATATAACTCATTATGATCCTGCCCATGAAGATTACATCCCTGCTTAGAGACAAGATTATAAATAGAGATTGACTGTTGACACTCACAATATGCTTGTTGATGGAGTCAAGAGAGATGTGGCTATGCAAAGATAAGTAGATGAAGCAATTAAGAATTTGGATAGACCTTATTTAAAAGGTAAACCAGGAGTAACAAAGAATATCACTGGAGGATTGAGAGATTATTTTCCTATTGAAATGCCTTATGCATAAACAGGCAATTTAGAAAATGAAGAGTTGGAATATGAAAATGTTTTCAGAAATGAAAAAAGATGGATTGCATAAACAATTGCACCAGTAGAAAAAACAGAAAGTGAAAAAAGACACTAAAAAGAATTGGAATCAAGACCAGTTACAAGAAAATTTCATCCAGATAAAGGTTCTAAATATGATGTTGAAACTCCTTATCATTTGAGATTCCCATATTTAGCAGATAGATTGGGACATCCTGAATTTTTAGCTAATCCTTTTTAAAGATTATTTAGATTAGAAAGTGATATGTATCATCCAAGCTATAATGATTAACCATTTGTATAACATCCATCTGCTGATCCTGATCCAACTTTAAATTTTGAAGAAGGAGAAGTGATTTATGAAAATACAAGATTACAAGAATGGTTGAAATTTGTTTGGTGGACTGGAACATTCAGTTTTGCTTGGATTTGTTGGGTATTACCATATAATATTGTTTACAAAACAAATCTAATGTTTGATCATTAAATTGATGCTTCATTCTATCCTTATCATTTATAATCTATTTATAATATGGATTATATGAGAATAAATGTTTTGGCAGCTACTGCAGCTTCTGCTTATTTATGGTATTTCCATCATATGTCCATGAATGACATTGGTAGAAATTATGTAACAAAAGTATAATACAGTAAAGACAAAGAATTAGTTTTTGTTACAAGAATGGGTTCATTTGGAGTTATTAGAGAAGATGTTTTCGAAGCCCATCATTTGGAAGTCTTACCTTACTATACTAAATCAGGTGTTTAAAATATGAGATAAAATGTAAATTTCTCAATTTATTCTTTTAGGATTTAGGTATGTATGAAATCTCTTGCTTAAATAAATAAGAACTTATGTATTTATACAAAGAGGAAGCTTTCTGGAATCCTAAATTGAAAACCTAATTCCTTAGCAATCATTCCTAATTGATTTCCAAATAATACTTCGGATTAAAAAGGTAGATGTCTTATTTTAATATAGAAATGAGGAAGAAGAATATTAAAAAACATTAACTGTGGGCGAATTGCCATTAAAAGATCTACAAGCTCCATGAAGTATATCTATGTCATCAAAAGTATTAAAACAAAATTTTATTATTCAAATATTAAATTGTACTAATTATATAATAAATCATTAATTCTTCAACCAGAAAAATAACATAATTTTAATTCCTCGAATAATTCAATATATTCTTATTTTGTAGCTTTCTTGAAAAATTATTCAATTTGCACTATTGAATATATTTAATTAATATTCAAAAATTTGCAAATAGTTTTAAAATGCGATGGAATACTTTATACATCACAAATTCTATTAATCAAAATGCACATCATAATAAGCAATCTTACATAGGGATAATTGTTATCATCTTAAGTTTCAAAAAATGATAAAGTATTTGTTAAAATATATCTATATGAACGCTTAATATCATCAAAATTATTTTTTTCTTTATTCTAAAAATATATATTATTATAATTTTACATCATTCAAATAATTTTCAATAAATTTGTATAAATCCTTCAAAAATCCCTCATTCTTATTTTAATCCAGTATCTTTTATAACTAAATGTAATCTTTCTATAATAACACTCGTTAATCAACATCAATATCAAATTTAATCTTACCAATCATTCTTTTATACTCTGCAGAGAGTAATGTAAATCTTTCCCATTCCTATGTAGGTATAGAGTAAAGATTCTTGCATTATTCTAAAGAAATCTGATATTCTCTCTTAAGAATTAATTAAGCCTTCTTCATTCCATAAATAGCAATTACAATTAAATATTTATTACACTATTTTAAATGTGATTGCAATTCTTCAATTAATTTTGTCATTAGAGAAAAGCGATACAGATAAAAATATATTTTATTCCAAATCTATTAGTCTTAAGGTCGATCAGAATTCAGAAATGGTAGTACACTTAATAATGTATCATTTTCAAAGGAAGAGTTATTTATTATGATTTCTTCAGTATCATATTTTGTTTTAGATAATGTTTATGTTTATGGTTAATAATTCACTTTGCTTATAATCTAATCTTAATTAAGGGATTTATAATTTGTATAATCTTCTGATTCAGGAGGATCAAAAGAGATTAAATTTAAACTATCTATTTAAGATGAATCTATGGTACTCTTATCAGAAAGTAAATTCTGGGATGTTTTAATTTACTAATCTTTAATCATTTTCTATTAAACGTAAGATAAAATATTACTGTAAAATTAGATGTTTATTAAATTTCAAAAGCTGTAGATTCATCTAAATTTATGTTTGATTTCTTTTCTCTCTTTTCAATTATTTTTTATGTTATAATTTTCAATGAATTCTATTTGTAAAACTATTCTTAAATAGAATAAAATTAATTATTTTTAAATTTTGAAAATAATTGCAAATAATCTATTCTTTTATTAACATCTATTGTTAACATTTATATCACTAATTTCTTTAAACTTTCTGAATAATTTGTTTAGGCAATAGACAAATTAATATCAGATGAAACCTCATTTAAATTTTTCATATTATATTTTGGCAAGTCATTACCGACCATCAAATAAAATATGACTCTTCCTAACAAAAATATATCTATTTTCTCATTATATGTTTGATTGTATATTAATTCTGGAACTTCATATTCTAGATCAGGATAAAATCCATATTCCATCATAACTGAATACTAATTTTCAACAATTAATATATTGTGAACATTAAAACACCTTCCTAAAAGTCCTTTTTAATGAATAGTAAATAAAGCCACCAGAAGGTCTTAAAATATTTTTAAAATCAGTTATTCCTTCAATTATTTAAGTTCTGATAGAAGAGTATATTCTTTATATGACTCAAATGCATAAAAACTTTAACTTCCAATTTTATTTAATTTTCGTAAATATTTGATTTCATCTTACTGTTACATATCATTTTTAAGAAATTCGTTTATGTGATTTCTGTTTTGGCATTCCTATTTTGGAAAGTAACAAAAGTAGGTCTTATCTTAAATTTTAACTAAATATATTTTAAAAGCTGTAGATTAGATTCTAGTTAAATGACCTTATTTCATTAATTCATTGTCAAAATTCATGAGAGTATCCTATTGATATAAATTAAAATTAATTATTCATGAATCCATTGCATTTCCATGGTCTTAAATTATTTAATATTGAATTTATGGAAAATAACAATATCATAATCTATCTGTCTTAAGAAAATAATAGCTTAAAAAAAATCTTAAAAAGAAAAACCATAAAAGACCTTATCTTCAATAATGAAAATTAATGTTATTTATTTCTTTAATTATCCCTGAATTCTATTGTTATCCATTACATTTGATTTCTATAAATCATTTATTGAAGATATTATTGAATCTATTACATTAAATCCTAGAAATCAATATACATCTATTCAAATACTAAAATAAACTGTTAAGATGAGATACTTCAATATTTTTAATGATATTAATTTATACTAAATTCGAAAAAACAATATAGGATAAGATTTACTCAGGTTCATAAAATTTAAAATAAGGATATGTATTTCAAACTATGATATTTAAAGATTAAAATAATATCCTAAAATTCATTTTGTATAAATTTATTTTTTGTCTAAATATTATTAAGAAAAAACCCTATTAAAAACAAAAAAAAAATCATTTATTAAATAATCTCTCAGATCTATTTTTTTTAATTTATTTTGGTTAGTCATTTTATCTTTTTATTTCTTCAAATAAATCCTCATCCTTACCATTTTCACAATAATTACAATTACAATCAACCGTACAAGTCTTTTATCTAATAAAACATTCGCAATATCTTTTTAGACATCTAGTCTTTTTACAATTACATCCCCAAACTTCTTTTGTTTCAAATAATTTCTCTTAAGTAACTTTTTTATTTCTATGAGCTTTTTTCTTAATGTATTCAACTGCATCATTTCTTTCATTCAGATATTCATCAGTATTTTAGCAATCTTCACATTTACATTATTCTACACATGCTTATCCATTATGAAAACATGAACAATACATTTTCAAACAATTAGTTTTTGTACAACTGCATGGTTGCCATTTAGTACTTTCTAATTTAGGACTCTCTTCTTTTATTAAAAATAAATCTATTTATCTATTAATAACTTAATGAAGTTGTTCATTATTCTCTATATTTGAATTCCTATTTACATTAAAAAATATGTTACAATTTTCTTAATTTTACAATTTTTGGAGATTGTTTATTTTCTAAATCAATTTCGCTAAACTCAGAACATTTACTCCATGCTAATAATAATCTCGGAGGTTTATTTTCTTCTGAGAGTTCGTGATTACTCATTAGAAAAAAATTTGTAATTATATTTTTATAAATAATTTATTAATTATTGAAATAAATAAAATAAAACAAATCTTAAACTTGATTAGTTATATAATAAATTAGTAGAACTATAATCAAATTCTAAATTATTATAAATTGAATTTGAATTAATAAATAAATGCTCTTTTAATTATAATTAGTTGTGGCTAATTTTTATAATTATTTTTCAATTTAATAAATGAAAATGTGTAAAATTAAAAAAATACATATTATACATCATTTTTTATAAACTCCATATAAATCTGTCACAGTTGTTTTAGTAATTTCAAAAGTCTTGATGAAATAATCAAACGTAAGGAACTAATTTTTTACATAATTTATTACTCCAAATTCTTTTGTTCTTTCAAATACTATATTTTTTGCTAATCCCCATTTCTCTTAAACCTAAGGTTCTTAAAATTTCTTATTGAATTCTTCATATTTTTGTTTAACATTATCAGTGATATCTATTTATCTATATATTCAATACATTGAGTAGTTTCACTATAAGGTTTATGATCAATTGAATGTTAGATTTTTTATTCAATTTCTTATGTACGATTGTTGTTCATTTCCGTAAATTATATAATCTAAATTAATATTGTTTATAATTAACCAAAATGAGCTTAAAATTAAGAAATCTTTTTATTCTGATTAACTCTGTTTATCTTTCATAGAATTTAAATTAAATTTCCATTTTTATTGAATACTCTATCATATTTATAATTAAACTAATAACAAATCTTAGATCCTACTAATTGTTAATCTTATTAGTTGTTCAAAAATTTCTTATTTTTTAAAAGGTTATATATTATTAATTATTTTTCTTTAATATCTTTTTTGAAGAATAATATTAAACATAACTGATATCTGATGAGAAAAATAGAAATATAGAAAGATAAAAAAAAAATTTGAGAAAAAAGGCTAAGTTGTAAAAGTAATTTGAAAACTTCTTTCACTTCCTCTAAAATGATTTCTAATTGAAGTTTGTATATTTTAGTAATTTTTAGAAATTATTATATCTAATTTATAAATATATAATTAATTCTGTATGATAATTATATTTAATTATAATTAATTATGGTTATTCATTTTGTAATTTTATGCACAAATATAAATTTAAAATATTGTTGAATTGAAAAATGTAAAATATCATTTATGGTAGAGTCCATGAAGATCTGTGAATGTGGTTTTAGTGATTTCAAAAGTCTTTACAAAATAATCAAGAGTAATATACTATTATAAATATTTTTAATTTATTACTCCAAATTCTTTAGTTCTTTCAAATACTATATTTTTTGCTAATCCCCATTTCTCTTAGACCTAAGGTTCTTAAAATTTCTTATTGAATTCTTCATATTTTTGTTTAACATTATCAGTGATATCTATTAATCTATATATTCAATACATTGAGTAGTTTCACTATAAGGTTTATGATCAATTGAAGGTTAGATATATGTAGCCTGTTCTTATTTACTATTGTTGCTCATCAAAATTTAGATATTATGTAATTTTATTTAAAACAATTTCAATTATTAAAGATGAGAATTTAAAATACAGGATCTTTTTCATTCTGATTATCTCTGATATGGTGATTCCCTTAAACTTTAGCTATGGCTATACTCTACTTAAGTCATAATTTGCTAGTTAATCTATGTTAAGAGTATAAATATATTTAAAGGATTATGTTATAATAATTTAGGAGTTGATAATATTTGAATTCAAACTAAAATTCAAAATTTAGTTTTATTAATGAATAGATTGTCTGTTTCTGATTTTGAAATTATTAAAAAATTAGGCTAAGGTTCCTATTCATCTGTGTACAAGGTGAAAAGAAAATCAGATGGTTAAGAATATGCAATGAAAAAAGTTTAAATGTCAGGATTGTCAAATAAGGAACTGAATAATGCTTTAAATGAAGTTAGAATTTTAGCTAGTTTAGAAAACCCATATATAATTGGGTATAGAGAAGCTTTTATAAGAGGAGACAATTTGTTTATAGTTTTGGAATATGCTGGAGGAGGAGATTTATAATAAAAATTAGAGTATATAAGAAAAAAAGGATAAGGGTTTTATGTTGATGAAGAGTTGATATGGGCTTATTCATTTGAGATGCTTTCAGGTTTAAATGAATTACATAGTAAGGGAATTTATCATAGAGACATTAAATGTGCAAATATATTTTTGACTCAAGATCATAAACATATTAAGTTAGGTGATCTTAATGTTGCTAAAGTAGTAAAAGCAAATTAATTTGCAAATACATATGCTGGAACTCCTTATTATGCAAGTCCAGAGGTTTGGATGGATTAACCATATGATTAAAAATGTGATGTCTGGTCTTTAGGATGTGTTATATATGAGATGGCATAATTATAACCACCATTTTTAGCAAATGATTTATTTTAATTGTAGAAGAAGATATCTAAAGGATAATATGAACCATTAAATTCAAGGTATAGTAAAGAATTAAATGAATTAATTGCAAAATGTTTATAAATAACATCTAAAAATAGAGCTTCTTGTGAAGAATTATTAAATTTAGCATAAATAAGAAATAGATAAAATTCAGTTTCAATATCTTATAGTAATTAAAAACTACTAGGAACTATTTGTTTAACAAAGAATTATAAAGAAATACGATTACCAAGACCTAGATATTAAACAGAAATGAATGAATCTAGTGTAGTTCTTAGTAAAGTTTAGACATCTAGAGGATATCGTGCAATATCAAATAATAGATCTGATGATTCTAACAGTCCAGCCAGTAGAAAGTTCAAAATAAAAAATAAATTATCAAATCATTAGAATTCTGTTGAAAGAAATAATTCTTAAAATGACTAGTAATCAAAAGAGAATATTAGAAATATCAATAATCTTTATCAATTATAACCAAATAATCATTAACATTATCCAAGTGCTCAAGAATACAAATATAACAATGGATCAAGATAAATTACACCAATATTAAGAAAATAATTATCTTCTCCTTTAAATTAAAAATCTCCATTAAAATCAGAAATTCAGTAAGATATATAATTGCCGAAATTAAAAAAAAAATAATTGATATTTTAAACTAAAGATCACTTAAAAAATATGAGAAAATTAATATGATAATTTTATCTTTTATATTATAAAGCTATGCCAAAATATAAGCAGGGTTATTTTTTTTTCATTAATTTAAATATCTATGAATGGTCATTATTTCAATGGTCTTGATGAGTATGAACTTGACAATGAAGAATCCATACGTCCTAAATGGAAAGAAACAAGGGAATCTAAGATTGGATTGGATTCCTAAAAGTTTTAACCCTTTCGCAAAGAATTTCTACATGTATAAGATTAAATTATGTGTTCTAAGACTATTAATGATAATCATAAGATGACAGAAGAAAGAATTGAAGCTTTTTATAGAGAAAAAGAAGTTATTATAAAAACATTTGAAAATTAAAAAGTTCCTCCTCCATTTTTAAGTTGGGCATCAGCCTGTTTCCCATCTCCTATATTAAAATCAATAGAATAATTATAATTTAAGAGTCCTACGATAATTCAATCTGTTGGTAATTTAATAATTTAATTATTTAATTTAAGTATTTCCAATAATTTTGGCTGGATATGATGTAATAGGAATTGCATAGACAGGATCAGGAAAGACTATTGCATATTTATTACCAGGATTAATTTAAATTACAAGTTAAAAAAAAGAAGAATAAAACAATACTTAAAAATAAAATGGACCATAAATGTTAATTTTAGTACCAACTAGAGAACTAGCTATCCAAATAGAATCAGAAATATAATTATTTACATAAAATTATCGGTTAAAAACACTTTGTGTTTATGGTGGAATCAATAATAGAAAAAATCAATTTTATAATTTAGGAAGATCTCCAAATATCTTAGTAGCTACTCCAGGAAGACTTTTAGACTTTTTAAGAGAAAGAGCTACTACTTTAGCTGATGTGAGTTATCTAGTAATTGATGAAGCAGATAGACTATTAGAAATGGGTTTTGAAGATACAATTAGAGATATTGCGCAATAAATTAGATTAGATAGGTAGACTGTATTTTTTTCAGCTACTTGGCCCAGGGCTGTAAAAGATTTAGCATTTGATTTTTGTTAATAGAGCCCAATTTATGTTTAAATTGGAAAATCTAATTTAACAATAAATAAAAATATTGATTAAGAAATTATTTGTCTATTTTCGAGAGACAAGCTATAAAAACTACTTGATATTCTAGATACTTTAAAAATATCAGATAAAGTTCTCATTTTTTCAGAATAGAAGCATAGGTGTGAATAATTGTCTATTGATATGGCTGATAGAGGATATTACACAATAGCTTTGCACGGTGATAAGACATAACCTTAGAGAGAAGAAATAATGAAGGCCTTTCGTAGTGGTTACACTCGTCTATTATGTGCAACAGATTTAGCATCTAGAGGATTAGATGTAACTGATATTACTGTTGTAATTAATTATGATTTTCCAAAATATTTTGATGATTACATTCATCGTATAGGAAGAACTGGAAGAGGAGAAAAGAAAGGAAAGTCTTTTAGTTTTTTGACATATGATAGAGATGAACCCAAGATGGCCAGGGAACTATTGAAATTGGCTTAAGTAGCTAATGTTAAATATGATGAATCTACTTTAAAAAATTTTGCAATTGGAATATGTAAGAATATTAAAAAATTTAGTTCCTTAAATGCGTAATGATTTTGAATTTGATAGATTTAAATAATAATAAAGAAATAATAATTAAAGAGGTAATGTTGGATTTTCAAAACATTCATAAGAATAATATCATATTGATCACTAGATATCTAAGTAAAAAAGTTATATAATTAAAATATAGATATCAATTAGACAATAGAAGTTCTGTAACTGAAAATAATTATTCAAAATTTTCAAGTTGTTATAATTAACAAGATGATGCATAAAATGGAGATAATAATTAGTAATAATATTAATTAATTAAATAGCAATTTTAGATTTAATGAGAATTACTAAGATTAAAGTTAATAATCAAATAGAGATTAATTTTAAGGTAGAAATTAATGGAAAGATTATGGAAATCAAAAGGATTATTAGTATGAGAATGAGGAACATAGATCCTAAAATTATTATCAAAAAGGGGATAAGAAATAATTTTATGGAAAATAAGAGAGAATAGATAATAGATAAATGAGATAAGAATAATCATTTGATTAGAATAATAAATTTAGTAATGATCAAAAAGATAGATTCTATGAAAATGATAAGTAATAGAGGTAGTTTAGATAATAAGGATAAGATTGGTCTTAAGGATTTGATGAATAACAAAGATAAATTGGTAAGGATAGTAGATAAGAATATGAAAAGGATAAATAATTTACATCAAATAGATAAGATAGACCAAAATGGCAATAATTTCAAGGGAATTAAGATGGAAATTATAGATAAGATAGATATGATAGATAAAATAAAAAATAATAATATGATGATCGAGAATATTAATAATAGGATGATGATATAAGGTTCTTGAATAATAGATAAGAAAAACCATATAGATAATGGGATAGATAAGATCCATCAAATAGAGATAATAGAAGAGTAAATATTCCTGACTAGGATAATGATGGATATGAAAACAGTCAATAATAATATCAATCTAAAATTCCCCATGAAAACCATTCATTTAGGTGGGAGAACTAAAAAAATCAGAAATAATAGGATTAGTGGAATAATAATAATAAAAGACAACCATAATAATAAACAAGATTTGCTGGAGTTTAAAGTAATTCTAGAAATTATGATAACTAAAGGGATGATTTTAAGAATTCTAGATATGAAGAATGCAAAAGACAATATACAAATTAGGTTGATGAAAGGAATATTTAAGAATGGAAGAATAAATAGCTAGAGAATAATGATATAAATAAAAATTAACAGGATTATGATAGACAAAATTTATTTAATAATAATTTTGGTTCCTAGGTAGAAGACAATAAAAGAAATTAAAAATATAATAATAGATCTTATATTTAAGAGAGACAAGAGGATGGTAGATCTCAACAATTTATAAATAATGATTCATTTAACCATCATAATTAAAATTAAGTAAGAAATTATTGGGATTAAAATGAAAAAAGAAGATTTGATAATTTTAGAGATACTAGATAGTCCAATAATTAATAATTTGATTAATACATTAATTAAAGAAAATAAAATGATAATAGATTATATAGAAATTAAATAGATTAAAATGGTAATGAGGATAATAAATTTAAATCACATAGAAATACTTAAAGTTTGGAAAGAAATGATTAAGTAAGATTTTATAATTCAAAACAAATTACTAGAAATACTGTTAAAAATGATGATTAAATAAATGTTGGCTAGTAATAAACATAAGTACCAAATAATATTTTGAGAAATAATAATAATAATAAAGAGTCATAAAACACTTAAGAAAGAATTATAGATAATTAATAAATTGAAAAATAGATTCAGAATTTAGATGAGAATAAGAAATAATCATCAAAAATTATTGATAAGCAATAAGGAATGGAAGAGATTAATGAACTTTAAGAATATAATTTTAATTATGATCCAAATAAATCATCATCTAATGATGGTGAAATTGAAGAAGATAATAATATTGATGATTATGATAAAATTGTATAAGATGACAATTAAAATGTTCATTAAAGTGTTAACAATGAAGCTCATAATATTGCGTTATAATAAATACCAAAAACAATTGATCAATTACCAATAGCAATCATACCATAACAATAAGAAATAAAGGATGATACCAAATAAATAACATGTAATATTAATGAAAAGGAAGAGGATAAAATAGAAGAAGATTCTGATAATGAATATGATTTTACAAGATTCAGTAGAACTCTTGAATTGGAAAGAAATTTATAATTTGAAGTTACTTAGTAGTAATAATTTTATTTATTAAAAGATAATAAGCTAATAATAATAGAGTAATTGCAAAAGAAGAAGAACTATAAATAGACTAGAAATAAGAATGATGAGTAAACTAGTGAATTATTATAAGAATATAATAAAATAAATATTGTGCCAATTTTAAATTTAAGGAATTATGTGTATTCTAAATATATAATCTTCTTAAACTATTTCAGTTATAATAATAATATATTATGGCATAATATATAATACTTATTATTATAATAAGAATTCAAACAATAAATAGGATTGAACTTTTAAAATTCTTTTTAGTATATTAAATTGCTTGTCAAAAATAATTATAGTATTTATTTGACTTTTTACGATTTTATAAGGTTGATGTATTGTTAATTGTCTAGTATTTATACTTCTTTGTTTTTAGTTTTGTAATTAAAAATAATAATTAATATAATTAAAATGGCTGAAGGATAATCTGACACGTTTTGGAAATCACTCTATATTTATTTCAATGAAATGGATTTTGAATCTCAATTGTTCGTGAAAAAGATATATAAAATCATTATTCTAACAGTGGCTGTAATTAAAATTTGGATATCCTTAGATTATTTCATTTATTATTGCATACTTCCTAGAGAGATTTTCGGTATGTGTATACTCTACAATTGGAGCAAGTGTTCTTTGCATATTAGTATACTTTAAATTGTATAATATATTAGGTATTAGCACCTGCTTGGCCTATGTGGAAAAAAAATTAACCTAATTGGTAACAAGCAAATTGGTAAAAACAAAAATGAATTTTAATATATATATTATAATAAAATTTAGTTTATTTTTTATGAAAGACAGCTTTCTTAGATTTAACTTAAGAATTAGATAGCTTTATTTAATTAACCTCTTTACTTAACATAATATGATTAAATTTTAATTTTTTTCTTTTAAACTATTACTTTATTATAATATTTGAAAAAGTTCAGAAGTTTCAATCTAAAATAACAAATGTATATTTAATATATGAATTTATATAGAAAATAAACATCTTTGAACATTTTATAGTTTATCTATATTTCAGAAATAAGATAATAACAATAATATAATCAATAATATGCGAACCTTAAGTAATTAATTCATAATTTTAAATATAATAAATTATAATGAAGGGTTAAATGATGATTTTTCTAATTGTTATTTTTTTGAATTAATATAAAATTTAAGAAAATCTTACTAAAATCCACGAAGGTTCCAACTTCAATAAAGCATCGAAATATATTACATTAGAATGAAATTAATTGAGTTTCAATAGAGATTCTAAGAAAGAGCATTCATAATTCATAAGAGCTAATTAAGATGGAATTCATTTTTTAAATTAAAAAAATTACAGAAACTTAGAGAATATTTTTCTTCTCTTGATGGTGATTTTTAAGCACTAGAAGATCCACAAATACTTTAAATAAAGTAAATTCAAGAGAAGAATTGGAAGAAATTAAGAGTATATTTTTAGTAGAAGTAAAAAATAAAATCGAATTGAAAAAGTACTTAAAAATAATGAGGGTGCAATTATAAAGGATTTATAATTAAGAAAGGGTCTGGGTAGACTCATTTCCTGTAAATGAAATTCTAGTTTTTTTTGAAGAACATAAATATTGAATAAATTTTATATTTATCAAAATAAACACAATATTGAGTTACCTTATTAGAGTTAAAAGATATAGGTTAATAATTTAATAGGTAATAAAAAAGCAACTATAAAATATAATAAATAAGAGCTAATTCATTGAGGAGGTGATTGAAATGATAAAGAATTAACAAAAGATGTGTAGACCTATCGTTAAATCAGTTTCAAAACAAAGTCAATTACCCATATCCTAAAAATGAATTTCCAAAAATATAAAAAAGTCAACCAAAATAAGGCAAAAATAAAAAACTACAATACAAATTTAGATAAATGAATTATAAGTTAAATTATATGGATAAGTGTTCATTATTTTTGTTGATGATTTTGGTGTTATAGGTGTGTAATTCTTGAAAAAAATCGTTTTTTAGATGGGTTTTGATTTTGTATTTGAAATAAATTTGGTCCTAGAAAGGATGAGTTATAATAGATTAGAGAATTTTTGAAAAGGATTTTAAAGTATTATATTGACGTAAGGATGGTATATTGGAAGTGAGTTGGTTATAGGATTTTGATAATTTTATGAAAATTATAAAAAATAAAATAATTAACTCTTGGTTTATTTGAAATTGAAATATTTAGACAAGAGAGAGTATATCAAAATTAATTTGTACTTTTGGTTGGAGTCTTATTTAGAATGAAGTATGAGAGTTGAATAATATATATAAATTAATGATTTTTCAATAACTAAAAATTACTTTACCTCCTATTGGTTCTTAAGAAATCGAGAAATCAATATAGAAAAGAATGGGAGATTGCTTAGAGACATAATTAGGATTTGAATATGAGCCTTTTACTTTTCAATATTTAGAATTACACCCCGATTTGGTTACTATTAAAAATCAAGTATACAAACTTATAGTTATATATGCAGAAAATCGAACATCATCCCATTGAGGATTAATAACATGTATAAACAGCATTGGGATGCTTTAGTAAAGAAAATAAGATACGCTTATTCTTAAGTGAAAACATCAATGTTTTGCAACGATTAGTGATTATAATGGTGATTGTAAATACTATAGCATTTTGTTTATATGACTATTAAATTAGAGATAGTGTTAATAATTTAAGTAACAGGAACATAGCTTCGATAATAATTGAAACAATATGCAATGTATTTTTTGGGATTGAGATAATTATTCAGTGTATTTGTTATGGAGCTATATTTGGGAAAGGAACATATCTAAGAAATATTTGGAGTTGTTTAAACTTTCTAACTTTCGTTTGTACATGGTCAATTTATTTTGATTAGTCAATTACATTCATTTAATTGTTAAGAGTTATTCGTTTATTAAGATTAGTGAGGCTTTTGCAAGAAATTCATTATTTTAGAGAACAAGTGGAAACATTTTTTTCATGTTTTTTAACTATTCATACAATAATAATTCCTTTAGTTATAGTGATTTTTGGATTTTCTGTAATTGGATTACATTTATTAAGAGGAGTAACAGGTTATAGATGTGCCAAAGATGGAATAATTGATTTGAATATTAGAAATCTTTGTGGAGAATGGGAATGTCCAGATGGGTATATATTTATATATCAATATTTAGTTATGAGTGCATAAATCAGTTTAATTCTGAAGATTTAAATTATTTAGACTTTTATTATGGGTATTATAATTTTGATACTATATATGATTCCTTTTTAAGTGGATTTATGTTTTTTAATGCAACAGGTTGGTCACCAACTGTTTTTTATTTTTGGAAAGCTGTAACTCCTCCAGCGACAGCAATATATTTTGTTTTTATGCTTTTCATTTTGTATTTCAATCATATATACTAGACATTATACTTTATCTGATTTATTATTGGCTACATTATACGAATCATTTCTTGTTAGTAGTGCAATAAAAAATAGTATAAAATCCAGTAAATCTGAACTATTTACTTAGAGAAGAAGGACAGTTACATTAATAAACAATTAAAACAAAGCTTAAATTAATTTTCATAAATTGCATATGATATCATAAATTTCATCATAAAATAGAGCAAATTTAGTAACTCCAGCAGAGATTTTACGTAATGAAACATTGAAAGAGAAAGATGAATCTTGTATTATTAATAGAATTAAATAATTTGATTAACTAATTATCATTGCATCTACTATTATATTATGTGCAGATTAAGTTGAAAAACGAAATCATCCAAAAGAATATTATGCAGATATGGTAATGAACTTCTTAATAATAATAATAACTCTTTTAAAATTAATTTTATTTAAGAAATCAAGAAGAAAATTATATTTAATAGTAGATGCACTCTTATCACTTGCATTAATTATCGTGATTGTATTGGAATTTTTAAATTTTGAAAGCAATGTGTTTATTATTATTAAGGCATTCAAAGCATTTAGAGTCATAAAATTAATATATAAATTAGAATACTTTGGAGTAATTAGATTATTACTTCGATGTTTAATAGAAACAATAATTAAAATTAGACATCTTATCATATTATGGGTTATTTTTGCATTTTTAATATCCATTATAGGATAAGAATTATTTGCTCATTATGTAAAAGGATCAAATGAAATTGAAATTCATTTTAATGGAATTGGAAATTCATTAATGGCTGTATTTAATATTTTTTATGCAGAAGAATGGCATGTAACAATGTATCAACATGCATTGTATAAGCCAGTATCATCTTTCATCTTTTTTTTAATTGTGTTCTTTTTATGTCATACTCTTTTTATGAGATTATTAAGAGCCTTATTTTTAAATGAATTTGGAAAGAAGTTAAATGAATTAGATTAGAAATATCCATAAACAGATTATTTATAAAGAGCTTGGTAATATATAAAAAATTCTTGTTTCTAATAAGAATCAATCTAATCTTCTTCTTAATCTTAGAATGAGGATGACTCAAAAGCTCCTCTTTAAGAAACAAATAATAATGGAATTTCAATTAAACCTAATATTAGTTAAAATAAAGGTTAAAATTATAAAAGAATAGTTGAACATAAAATATTTAGAATTTGCATTTTATTAGTTGTAACATTAAGTGCAGTGAAAAGTGCTGTTTAAAATCCTTTAACAGATCCTAAAAGTGAAGAAAAGGTAATAAATTGAATAAGTTTTAGATGATTCTTGATGTTATTCAATATATTACTACAGTAATCTTCATCATTGAATTGATTCTAAATTGTTTGGCCTATGGGATAGTAAAATTCATAAATCAATCATTTCTTAACATTTTATCTATAATAAATATTATTGTGAATCTAATCTCAATAGGATTAGGAAATCCTCCGTTATTTATTTTGACTTTATTTGATTCTCTAAGAGTACTAGCATTTTTAAAAACTGGTGCTGATTAATATCCTATATTAAAATAAGCACTCTAAGCCTTATTTAATGCTTTTACTAAGATGATTTAATTAGCTCTTTTTAGTCTCCTCATATTATTAATGTATGGTATTATAGGAATGTAACTATTAAATGATGAATTCTATTATTGTAGTCTTCCTGAAGGAAATTCATTAGAATTACATTTATAATCTAAGATTGATTGTTTTGATATAGGAGGTAATTGGATAAATAGAACTCTAAATTTTGATACTATATTTTAATCAATAAATATCTTATTTTGTGTTGCAACTTCAGAAGAATGGATTCCATTAATGACACCTGCATGGTAAGCTTCAGGAATTGGTCATTAACCACATCATGATACAAATAGATATTGGTCAATTTATTATTAACTATTTTTCTTTATTGGCAATACTTTAGTTTTAGGAATGTTTGTTACTTTAGTTGTTGAAACTTATATAAAAACAAGAGAAGAATCATGTATAAATATTATTATTTATAAATAGAAAATCTTCATTTATTGGATGACAAATAAAGAGAATGGTTTCAGATTAAGGAATAAATATTGCATTTAAAACCAAAGAAGAAATTTAGGCCTCCAACTATGTTTATTTTAAATTTGTTATACAGGTTATATTAATTTTTGTAGATTCCATTTTTAATAGTAATTTTAAGTAATATCATTGTACTAAGTCTATATTATGCAAGAATGGGACAAGAATATGAATAAGTTTTAGATAAAATCAATTAGATTTTTATCTTTATTCAATTATTTGAAATTTTAATAAGTTCAGTATAAGTAACAGATTACAAGTTTAAAATATATGAAATTTTTGGAATCATTTTAAGTGTTATTTCTAGCTTTTTAGATTATCATATACTTCATGTAGTATCAGTTGCATTTCAAGTTACAAGAATATACAAATTAACTTAACATTTTAAATCAATACAACATTTATTTCATGCCATATTTGCTGTTTTACCTAATACAGCTTCTATGCTTTTAATAATGTTGGTAGTCTTATATTGTTATACTATTGTTTCTTGTGATTTATTTGCTTATTTACGTCCTTAATAATCAATAAATGGATTTGATATGCATTTTAGAGATTTCTGGGGTGCTCTAATGACTCTAATTAAAGTATCATCTGGTGAGAAATGGTGGGTTGTAATGCAAGAAACAACATTACAATAATCACCAGCTGTTGCCTGTATAAATATTGAATCATATGATGAATTTTAAGAGATTGGATTTAATGGGTGTGGATCAAATCTTTCTTATTTATTTTTTATTTCATTTATACTTGTATTCTCTTTAATGATTTTGAATCTATTGGTTGCAAATATCATAGGAGCATATGAACAATATCATAAAAGTGAATAGAGTGCTATTTCTAAATATTAATTATTAGATGTTATGGAATTATGGTCATAATTTGATGAGGATGGTGAAGGATTTATAAGTTATAAACTATTTTGGAGATTATCATCTTAAATAGCTATAATATTTGGTTTAGAATAGTCAGATTTATTGGATGTCAATAACAAAAAGAAATTTTTAAAAGCTTTGAAGATTCCAATTTATGAATTAGTAGACTCAAATGTCCTTTGTTATAGATTTCATGATGTGATTGTGAGTTTAACTAGGATTTCTGTGACTATCAAATATGGAGTAGTTAATTTAGAACCTGAAGACAAAGATATACATCAAAAGGTATATGGTAATAAACATTCTCATGTAGAATCAAAGTTTAGAGAAACAACATTAAATAGTGGAGATATGGTATATAATTTATAATTATAACTAGGTGTCTATTATTTTTATTTAACAAAAGTTTAGAGAATGGAAATAAAGATCCCTTCTTAAAAATACTATTATTTTGGGTGGAATTGGAGATTATCGTAGTTTAATCAAAATAAAATCAAAAACACTAAGTGAAAAAATACATTAGTAGGCGAGTAATGATAATTGATATACGTATTTAAATTAAATATATTAATTTATTAAATATTTATATTTATTTTCTAATTCATATAATTTTTAAAGTATGTTAAATTCTATCTTACAATTTATTCAATCTAAATAATATGTTTTATTGATTGTAATTTATTATAAAATAATTTATTAAATATGAAATTTAAATAAATAAGATATATGTAGTTCTTTTGAATAAATAATAAATTTAGATAATAATTATTAAATATTAAGAGAATATAATAACATTTTATGAGCTTAAGGATGATGAGAAAAATAGTATATTGGAAATAATTTAAAATAATCTTGGAAAATATAATAATTATAATTTTTCTAAATTTGGACAAGACTATAATTTAAATAGAGAATATTCAAAATCTATCATTAAATGGAACATCATATTTATATAAGAATCTCATTATATGTAACCAAATTTTTAATTATTACAGAATCTAAAAGATATCAAATTCTGTTGTATGCTAATTTATTTTCAATTTTATTTTATTAGATATAGAATTATGGAAAATATTCGGATCAAAAAAAAGAATTATAAAAATACATGAAAAAATAATTAAATAAACAATAATGATTTTTCTTTTTGTATTTAACAAAATAATAATTGAACCCTAAGTTTAGATCTGCATCTAATTTGATTTTGTATATAGTTAAAATACTCAACTGCTTTAAATTCACTATATGATATTGACCAAGAATTCTATAATCTGAAAAAAAGAGAATTATTAGGCTATAAATTATCCATTGAAGAACCTGTTTTTAATAAAAAAAACTTTCAAAATCATAATAAATGTTTATTTAATTACTGGAGTAAATTTAGATTTTGAATTTAATATGTAGCTATTAAATATAATAATTAAAAATCAACCTGTATACCACTATTGCAATCCTTAATTGTTATTTTTCAGATAGAAATGATGAACTCATTTATCTTATATAAGAGTTAGACAATATATTTGATTATATTTTATATACTGTTTTAATTAGTTTAGTATTTGACATTATATTATATAATGTTATTGAGGTAAGAGAGAACTGAATAGGATTATACCATGAACAAATCCAAGAATGAGCCAATCCTTAATAGAAATAGTATCACTCAAGTATTAAACTATTTTACTAATGCTTAATTCAGGAGGACATTCTATTGATTTAGAAGGATTTATTACTCAAAGATTGTCTGAAGATAAACTGCTGATGGTCCCAGAAGAAATCAGTGCTCAAATACCTCCGAGAGTCTCCCTTGAAGTTCATACTATGTAAAATAAAGTGAAAAAACTTAAATCAATAAAGATGGCCAAATTGCCAACAAAAACTTAGTTCATTTTAGAGTTAAGTGAAAATAGTGATTATAGAGAATTACTTGGGTCTATTGAAGATTTAGAAAGGAATGAATTGAAAAAAGCCAAATAACGATTACTTAAAGTTATAGCTAATTCAAAAGAAAGAATAAAAGAAGCTTAAACAAAAATTGAATAAAAATAGTCTTCAATTATTTTTATTTAAGCATTTTACTACTTGAGTAAAGTTTAATAATCAGAAGGACTTATTGAAGAAGCAGTTGCAACATAGACTATGATTTTATAAAATTTTGACATTGCAGATCTTCACATTAAAGGATAATTATTGTTGAGTTTAGGAAATTTATATAGAATTCAGCTTAAATTTCAAGAAGCTGCTGACAGTTTCTATCAAGCCTTAATTCTATATGAGAGACTTAACTGGAAAGTACAATAAGCAGATTGTTTATTGTAATTAGGGATAGTATATGCACTTTTAAGTAGATATTTGATTGTTATTAAGATGATTATGAATCAGCTAAATTGATTACTTATGAAGCTTTAGAAATTTATAGGGATAATATCATAGAGAATAATATTAAAGTTGGTAAAGCATATTATGCTTTAGGAAAAATCTTTTATTATTCTAAAGCATTTGAAGTGGCCACTGAATATCTATTAAAGAGTTTAAAAATCCATTCTGATTAGTATATTATCATCTAAAATTAGTTATCATAATGATTATGATTTCAACTTTGTTTAAATCTATAATCTACTTGGAATTTTATATCAAGTTTAATAACAACTAGATATAGCCATAGATTATTATACTTTGGCTATTAGATGTTATAGAGGATCTTTTGATGCCCAATTAGGATAGATATTAAACAATATAGGAGTAGCATATCTTAGTTTAAAGAAATTTGAATTGGCTAGTGATTTTTTCAATAATGCTGATTAAGTTTACAGTATTTACTTTGAGTAAACTAACATATTAAGAAAACGAGTATAACTTAACCTAGAATCTATAAAAGTTAAATAATGATATTCACTTTATTTTTATTAATATTGTATGTTTAATCTAAGATATTTAAATGTTTTAGTTATATAATAGAATTTAAAGGATCCTCATCTTAAATATTTCTAAATGTCAATTAATGCCATTATATTTAAAGCTTTTTTCTTAAGAATTGTAAAAATTTAAAGGAGAAAACACTTAATTTTTTATATCTTCTCATTATATGGGTGGTACACTTATGTAAATTACATTACCATCAGATATATTTAAATGTCAATTTTTAAGTGCAAACATCTATTTCTACTGAATCCATCAGAAGTTTAAATCTTAATTTAATTGAATAGCAATTTTAATAGAATAAAAAGTGAATTGACATACAATATAAAATTTAGAAGTTATTATATATAGAGTACCACCATTAACAGCTGATATAAATTGGTCATTATTTTCACCTTTAAAAAGGAAATAAATAAGCCCTTCATATTATGTACTTGATATGTTATGAATAATTTATTGTTGTTATATAAAATATTATTAAATATTCTCACTTTCAGTACCAACCCCTTTCATCATCACATAGTTATTCCAATTTTATATATTGCTCTTATATAAGAGTTCCTTCAATAATATTAGGAATATATGGTAATTCTTTTTTTTTTTGTTTTAATTCAATCCATTCTATTTCTTAAAACCATGGATGAGCTTAAATTTCTTTGAAATCATTCGAGAAACCAATTCTTGTAGATGAATCTTACTACAACAATTTAGAAATGAGATCCTTGCATTCATTAGTAATAGTGGTTCCTTTTGGAAAATGCAATTCTCCTTAGCATATTAATTTAATTGCAATTTCTGTGTTTAGATGATAAAATGGAGAAATGCCAACTAGTAATTCGTAAAGTAATATTCCCATACTATACCAATCTGACATTCTAGTCAAATCTCCAAATTTCAAATATTCTGGAGATGCATATTCAACAGAAAAGTTAATATTTTATTATTTTTTATATTCTTAGTAAACTCTCAATTTGCCATATCCAAAATCAGTTAATTATATATATCCTTATTCATCTATTAAAATATTTTCTGGTTTTAAATCTCCATAAGTAATTCCTTTTTCATGTATACTTTATAAAGCCATACCAACTTAAGCAATAATATATTTTGCTTAATTCTCTGTAAAAGTACCAATATTCTATAAATGAGCAAAGAGATCTCCTCCTTTCACAAATTTAAAAAAAAAGTGAATTAAATCTGTTTATCTTATGCATAATTCTAATTATTCATTAAAGGGTTCAATTTCATAATTTTTAAGAAAGAATTCCATTAAATCAACATCTATATCAGATGATCTAATAGTTTTCAAGACCAGAACTTTTTATCGATCTGTTTTTAAACTTAATAAAAATAGTTTTGTTAAAGAACCCTAATTTATGATTGCATTTTTAGAGAAATCTTCTAATTTAACTCTAAATTTTAATTTATCATTTACAAAAAGTACTGTAATTTTATGATTAATATTCAAACTTTTTGTAGGTTAGTTTTACATGTTTATATATTACAATTAAAAATCATGAGGATATAGAAATAATAATTTTGATTTAGGATGCAATACCATTTATTTTTAAAGATCAGAAGTTTTTTAATGCAAACAAAATTATTGAAGATCTTCTTAATCAACTAAATATATTTTTAAACCATCCTTATTATTCAGTTTAAGTACTATAGATAAGTAATATAAAATTATATCTCTATTCTCTTGTGATTTATAATGATAATCAGTTTCTGAAGGTACATGCAAAATAAATTCAAAACTTGATCTGGAGACTGTTACACCAAATATCTTTTGAATTTATATCTTTCTTTTAATTGATTTTTTATCAATATTATATAAATTTTCACTTGTAACAACAATAGTTCTTTATTATTCTGTATTACGCTTATTAATTTTTCCAACATTTCTAGATATCAAAATTAATTCAGATTGACCTGCCTGCTTCTTAAAGAATTTTTCTTAATCAATATTTAGAATATCAGATATTTAAAGTTTTAATTCATTTAGGTATTGCTTCACAATTTGTTCTGAATGCATTAAAATATTATTAATTTTTATTATCGAATTAGATAATATATATTAATCATCTTCTTCCAATTGGACCAGCACTATATTGTCTTCTCATTCCAGATGGCATACCAGCAGCTCCTTTTTAATTACTCTGCTAAAGATTTCCTCTTGGAGACTATGCTCTTGGAGTAATCTATTATTATGGTTGATATGGAACATTGGAATATCTAAATTAAAAATCTATAAATTACTTTTGTTATCCGAGTAATCTCTATTCTTATTATTGTACTTTATTATACAATTATTAAGGAGTCTGAGCTTATTATGGTTTTGGTGGTTAAGCCATAGGAGGTTTTAATAGAGGAGGTTTATTCACTTATTATCCTTAAGGTTATTATTATTATTATTATTATTATTATTATTATTATTATTATTATTATTAAGGAGGTCTTTACACTTGTTGAGGAGGTTTTACCTCTTCTGGTTACTTTCTAGCAGGTTAAGGTGTTTAACTGATATCAGTATTGACTCTAATTCCAGATTACGAACTTGATCTTTTTATTTTGTTTTCATAATTTGCTTTAGGAAGATTGCCTTTCAATTATTTAAGGTTATATGGTAATTTAATGGTTTGTAAGAGTTTAGCTACTTTTTTGCCTCCGACTTCCTCTTCAACAAGTAATGAGCCACTATTTCTTATAACTATAGGATTTTTTAGAATGGCATCACAACTGGGTCTATTACGAGGAACGACCTATAACATCATTTTTATGACTTCAGATAAATCTTTGCTATATTTCCCTGGAATTGGATCATATACACCTGTTTGAATTCTTCTACTTAATGATTGGAGATCAGCTGCTCTAAATGGAGGTTACTAGGCTGCTAATTCATAGATGATGCAACCAATTGACCAAATATCACAAGGCCATGAATATTGTTCACCTTTCCAAACCTCTGGAGATGCATAATCTAATAAAATTAGGGGAATTATTATTATACATGGTGTTCCTGCTTATGTTCTAGCATTGGCTCCGTGTGTTACTTTACTGATGTTAAGATCACCAATTTTGTATATGTTTCCTTCTGGACCTTTACCAATGAAGACATTCGCCAATTTTAAATCTCGATGTAAAATATTGTTGTCATGGAGCATTTTGACTCCAATTGTTATTTGTGTTAACACTCTCCAGATTTCTGCTTCTTCAACTCCTCCTTTGACTTTTCCTTACTTCAATAAACTATTTAGGTCTCCGCCAGATGCAAATTCCATTATTACATACAGCGTTTTTCCTTCAGAATCAAGAAAGGAATCTTTGAATTCAACAATATAAGGAGAGTCAAGTGATGCCAATATACGAATTTCATTTAAGGCATTCTCTCTCTCTTTATAAGTCTACTGAGATATATTGACTTTTTTCATAGCATAATATTGTCCATCCGATTTCCGTTACACCTACATAAACATATCTTTCATACCTTATAAACTGAAGAGAAGGATCCTTCTCCTAGTTTTTCTAGCACATTGAAATCTTAAATGGTACTACCTTATCCTTATTATTACATTAATAAATAATGGAATTAAATTTTATGATATTTCCAATACCCAAAAACACTTATAGAGAAGGAGATCTCAAGGTTGCTTTATTGTCTTATCTCCTAGGAACTAATCAAAATTCCATTTTACGAAGATATATTTAAATTTATACCAACCTCTCCCAAAACCAAAATCTAGTTTCATAAAATAGATCCTTTTAAACCACCTGATGAAATACCCAACGTATATTAATTACCACTATATCTAGGATATAAGTGCTCTATCCATATATGATGATCAAGTTGACGAACTGCCAAGTTAAAGAATACCTCATATAACTTAAACAACAAACCTCAAACCTAAAACTCAAATGTAATTTCCATATTTAAATACAAAGACATGAATTAAGATTATCTATATCCCCTCGTGCCTCTTACAACAATGAATTCCCCCATACACTAACAAATAGAAGCTGTAAATATACAAAAGAAATTCCGTGTTTATATTTAAAATCCTATACAATGACTAAAAGAACTATCATCTATTTCCATGCCAATTGTGAAGATCTGAAGTCTTCTTACAATCTAATAGACTTCCTCAGACATAATATGAGAATGAACATTTTAGCTGTTGAATATCCAGGCTATGGAATTTATCAAGGTGAACCAAATGAAGAAGTTATTTTAAAAGATGCTGAATACATTTATAAGTATGTGGCCTTTCATTCCGGAATAGAGGAATAGAATATAATATTAATGGGAAGATCTATAGGAACTGGAGTTGCATGTCATGTAGCATCATTGTTTAAACCAGCTACTTTAGTTTTGATATCTCCATTTTTATCCTTATAAGAAATTGTTTCGGAGAAATATCCTTTTTTAAGGAAGATACTTAAAGAGAGATTTACTAATAAAGATAAAATATTAAAAGTCAAATCTCCTCTATACATTCTGCATGGACTTAAAGATTCAGTTGTTTCAGTAGATCAAGCTAAAAAACTTTATGGTAATTCTAATTTCTATAATTTGTAAATAGAATTATGTAGATGCCCATGTTTAATTAGAACACCACCTGAAATGACTCATACAAGATTTCAATTTGAATAAGATTTAGCCTTACCTCTTCTAGGATTCATGAGATAATTGAATATACTTTGAAATGTCCATATATTATAATATCTCTATTTGGGAATATAAATTAAGTTATGATTCGTATTTAGTAATTGCTCACTTAAATTTCAGAAACTGCTGAATCCAAAGGACAACCAATTGAGCAAATATTGTAGATTATGCCATATCTCAAATTAGAGAACATAAAACAAATTGGATTGGTTTAAAAACAATGGATGGGGATACAAAGACACAAAATTCATTTTAGAATTAGATGGAGCATTTAATTTAACAGGAAATAAATATAGGTTTTCTAATTAAAAAATGATGAAATTTAAAGAGTGGGCAGAAGCTAAAGTAGGCATAGATTTAAGTTTGAATTGCGAAGCATAAATTGAAATTCCTGCAGATCCTTCAATTATTAATGAATAATTTGTAAATGCAATTTAAGGGTTATTTAATGAGATTTCATTTAATAATGCTTAGAGAATATTGCATTCTCATGGACATACCATGTAAGAAGTAAAAAAAAAACTATATTAGTATTTTAGATCTATGAATTAAGACATGGCAAATTGTCTAGAATTGTAGATTGTGTTATTTTTATCAGTTCACATACATAAGCAGAAACTCTAGTTAAATTAGCTAGTGAACATAATGTAATGTTGTGTGTCTATGGTGGTGGTACTAATGTAATTTGGGCTTTGTAATATCCAAAAGAAGAAAAGAGAATGATTGTGTCTGTAGATATGTCAAGAATGAATCATGTTAGATAAGTGGATAGAAAGAATATGACTGCTATAGTAGAGACTGGAATTACAGGTAAGGATTTGGAAAAAGAGTTATCACGTTATGGAGTTGTTTGTGGTCATGAACCTGACTCTGTGGAGTTTTCTACACTTGGTGGTTGGATAAGTACTAGAGCATCATGAAAAAGAATAGATATGGAAATATTGAAGATATAGTACTTTCAATTAAAGTAGTAACACCAACTGGTAAATTATAATAAAGTTTGGATTAACCTAGAGTTAGCAGTGGACCTGATTTGAATTAAATTATTTTAGGTTCAGAGGGTACTTTAGGTATTATTACTGAAGCAATAATTAAAATTAAAGCATAACCAGAGGTAATTTTAATATTTAAATTTAAGGTATGTAAATATGAATCAATTTTATTCCATAATTTTGCTTTAGGTACTGAATTTATGTATCGATTATCCAGAAGTAAAGTATGGCCTGCATCAGTTAGATTAGTTGATAATAATTAATTTTAATTTGATATGGCTTTGAAAACTATGCCTCATAACAAGAGGGAAGAATTCATGGATAAAATAAAAAAATACTTTATAACTCAATTTATGTAATTTGATCCAGATTAAATGTGTTTGGTTACTGTTGTTTTTGAGGGGACAAAATAAGAAATTGAATTTTAAGAGAAGAAAGTGTTTGAATTAGCTAAATTTTTTAAAGGATTTAGAGCAGGAGCTGAAAATGGAGAGAGAGGATATTTCTTAACTTATATGATAGCATACTTAAGAGATTTTGCTATGCAATTTTAATTTATAGCAGAATCTTTTGAAACTTCAGTTGGATGGAAAAATGTACCTAGTGTTTGTGAAAATGTAATATGATTTGAATATAATTAGATATAAAGAAGAAATTGTAGAAGAATGTTAAAAAAGAGGAGTAGAGAAGGAACCTTTTGTTTCTTTTAGAATTTCTTAGGTCTATGATTCTGGTGAAAAAATTTATGTTTATTTTGGTTTTGGATATAAGGGAATTACAGATCCAGTTAAATGCTATTCTGAAATTGAAGATGCTGCAAGAGAGAAGATAATGAAAAATGGAGGATCTATTTCTCATCATCATGGTATTTATTGAAATTTATTAAAATTATTAGGTGTGGGTAAATTGAGAAAGTAATTTATGTAAAAGTAAATAGGAGACACAGGAGTTGAGATTTTAAAGAGAATTAAGTAACAAATTGATCCAAAAAATATATTTGGAAATCAGAATTTAATATGAAAAATGATATATCATTGTTTTATATGCATAAATATATATTTAAAACTAACAGTTAAAGAATTTGAATTCAATTAATTTAAATATAAATTTTTTAAGTCAATGAACAAGTCTGATACTATTCACAATTAGGAAAATATTGATCCAAACATCATTCGTAACTTATCTTCATAACAAAAGAAGATTCCTAGAAGTTCAGGATAAAAAACACCATGGAGTGCTAAGTATTATTCAATTATTATTTTTTAAAGTACTGGAGAAATAAGTCATTCTACCAATGATGATATAGAAATATCATGTTTTTAAGTAGGACCAGTCAAAACTACTCAATTATCACCTAATTAAGCTATCGTATGTTAATCAAGATTAGAGTAATATTTGACTTCGAATAATGTTCCTGATATACTTTCCTATTTAGATGAATTTGAAGATCTAGATTGGGTAAAATCTAATTATATTACTCATATTATTGAGATGATAGTAAAATAAGAGAAGGAATATTTGAAATAAAGGATTGTTGGATTAACAGCTATATTAACAAGTAAGAATTATCTACTCACACGATAAATTATTAAGATGATATTTAGTGTATCATCTAGAATTGGAGCATAAGAAGGCTATTATGCTTTATATGAAATAGATAATTTATTAGAATAAATGATCTAGAAAGAAGAATTATAATAATATCATTAAATATAATATTTTCCATTAATATTATATTGCTATGCTCACTAATTATTATATTGGGGTTTAGTTGCAGAATGTTGGGATTTATTGAAATTTAAGTTAAATAAAGAGATTAATGAATCAATCAAAGATGAATTTGAGAAAACTGCACAAAAGATTTGTGATATGCTTTTAAGATAATTAATTGAATTAAGCAATTCAAATAATCAATGGATGAAGGTATTCAATGAAGTATTGAATGAAGGTGTAATCAATTTACATCCATCTGATATCTTTTTCAATAAATTAATTGATTATGCTTTTAGAAAACAATAAGTCACAATGGCTGAATTATTATTTACTTTTATGAGAGACAATGCTAAAATTCAACCAACAATTGTTACAATTAATACAATGATTGATTAATATTTCAAGAATAATCAGAAAGACAAAGCTTGGAAAGCATTTGAGAATCTTAAAATATCATCTACAAAACCTGATAATTTCACTTATACTACATTAATAAATGGATTAAAGAATTCTGATAATATGGATCTTAGATTAGCATTTCAATTATTTGATGAGTATAAATAATTCAATTAACCTGATCAAATCATCTATAATTGTTTATTAGATGCTTGTATTAATGCTGGTGATTTAAATAGAGGATTTCTATTATTAAATGAGATGAAATAATCATAATCTATTTAATTAGATGAAATTACTTATAATACATTAATAAAAGGATGTGGAAGAAAGAAGAGATTAAATGAAGCTATTAATTTATTTGAAGAAATGAAATAAATAGGTATCAAACCAAATAGAATAAGTTTTAATTCATTACTTGATTCTTGTGTTAAATGTAATAAAATGAATATTGCTTGGAGATATTTTGAAGAAATGAGAAAATAATATGGTATTTTTCCAGACAATTTTACTTATAGTATTTTAGTTAATGGAATTAAGACTAATCATTCAAATAGAGATGAATTACTAAGAGCAATATCCTTATTAGAATAAATATAAGAAACTGGTCAATTTAAACCAGATGAGATTCTATATAATTCATTAATTGATGCTTGTGTTAAATTTAATGAAATTTAAAAAGGAATGTAATTATTCAAGGAAATGAAGAATAAATAAATAGAACCATCATCTGTTACATATGGTATTCTAATTAAAGCTTATGGTAAAATGAATGATTTGAATGGAGCTTTTAGAATGTTTGAAGAGATGAAATAAAAGAAAATACCAATTAATGATGTTACTTATGGATGTTTAGTAGATGCTTGTGTTAGAAATGATAGATTAGATTAAGCACTTTAATTTATTGAATAAATGAAATCATAAAATCTACCAATTAATACTGTTCTATATACAACTATTATAAAAGGATTTTGTAAGTTGAATTAAACAGAAGAGGCAATGAAATATTTCAATTTAATGAAATAAAATTAAAGGACATATCCAAATCTTATAACTTATAATTCACTTCTAGATGGATTAGTAAAAAATGGATTAATGAATTAAGCAGATAAATTATTCTAAGAATTAGTAGAATCAACAATCAAACCAGATCTAATTACATTCAGTACTTTATTAAAAGGACATTGTAGAAGAGGTAATATGAAGAGATTAAATGAAACTGTATAAACTATGTTAGTCTATCAGATCAATCCTGATGAATCATTATTACAATTAATTCTAGAATCTTGTTTAAATTAATAATAGTATCATAATGGTGTTTAAATATATGATTAATTCTAACATCAAATACCTTAATCAACTTAATTATTATTGATCATCATTAGATTACATAGTTAAGATAAGTAATTATCATCAGCATTACCATTATTAAATAGACTCTATTAATTGTTGGATGAAAGTAGAATACAACATCAATAATTAGAATCAACTATTAATTCCTTATTAATTAATCCACTTGATGAATAGACTNCCAGATAATTTTACTTATAGTATTTTAGTTAATGGAATTAAGACTAATCATTCAAATAGAGATGAATTACTAAGAGCAATATCCTTATTAGAATAAATATAAGAAACTGGTCAATTTAAACCAGATGAGATTCTATATAATTCATTAATTGATGCTTGTGTTAAATTTAATGAAATTTAAAAAGGAATGTAATTATTCAAGGAAATGAAGAATAAATAAATAGAACCATCATCTGTTACATATGGTATTCTAATTAAAGCTTATGGTAAAATGAATGATTTGAATGGAGCTTTTAGAATGTTTGAAGAGATGAAATAAAAGAAGATACCAATTAATGATGTTACTTATGGATGTTTAGTTGATGCTTGTGTAAGAAATGATAGATTAGATTAAGCACTTTAATTCATTGAATAAATGAAATCATAAAATCTACCAATTAACACTGTTCTATATACAACTATTATAAAAGGATTTTGTAAGTTGAATTAAACAGAAGAGGCAATGAAATATTTCAATTTAATGAAATAAAATTAAAGGACATATCCAAATCTTATAACTTATAATTCACTTCTAGATGGATTAGTAAAAAATGGATTAATGAATTAAGCAGATAAATTATTCTAAGAATTAGTAGAATCAACAATCAAACCAGATCTAATTACATTCAGTACTTTATTAAAAGGACATTGTAGAAGAGGTAATATGAAGAGATTAAATGAAACTGTATAAACTATGTTAGTCTATCAGATCAATCCTGATGAATCATTATTACAATTAATTCTAGAATCTTGTTTAAATTAATAATAGTATCATAATGGTGTTTAAATATATGATTAATTCTAACATCAAATACCTTAATCAACTTAATTATTATTGATCATCATTAGATTACATAGTTAAGATAAGTAATTATCATCAGCATTACCATTATTAAATAGACTCTATTAATTGTTGGATGAAAGTAGAATACAACATCAATAATTAGAATCAACTATTAATTCCTTATTAATTAATCCACTTGATGAATAGACTTATCCAATAATCACTAAAATCATCATCTAAGCATTAAAATCAGATATCAATGTGAATAATCTAGAAAATCTAGTATCTATAGACAACTCAGAATTAATGCTCTTATTATAGAATACCAATTAATTACCATGTACTAAATTATCATAAATCCTCAATTCATTGTCTAATTAAGATTAGTAATTATGTAGAACATACATTTCAAAGAATAATAAGAATGACTTGAAAGAACCTTTGAATGAGTAATTTGGTTAAGTATTTTTATCATGTAACAGTAACAACAACTATCAAAACAAGAAAACTAAACCATAAGAGAGATCATCCCCATTTAATAATGAAAATAAGGAGAATGTTTATCATCCTAAAAAACAATATAACAATTATGCCAAAAATGACTTGAATGAATACTTGAATAACAAGTCATATACCAAGAGAAGATGATTAATTAATTAATATTATATAATGAATAATGATTAACCATTTTAAGATGTCGATCAATTTCTTCATCCCCTTGCTGCATAATAATCTATACCTCATTTATAATAGGCTATTACATAAGATCAACTTTTAGCATAAAATGTTCGATTATTGCAACAATTATAAGAACAATAGAGAATGTTAAATCTATAGAGTCTCTTCAATAATAGTATGCTTATGAATCCATTGATTTAATAATAAGTCAATTAGGAAAGCAAAAAAATAAAGAAAATCAATAAAACAATTAAAACTATACCATCAACAACAAGTCTTAAGGATTGTGCTTAACCAATCTAAGAAATCAAAGGAAATGTTAAAAATGCTTATATCAAAAAAATAACTTCACTACTTAGTGTGGAAGGAGATCAGTTGATAGATGAAGACTTATAAGAAGATTTAGAATTAGAGAGTTATTCTGAAATGTAAGATAAAAGCAAATTGGCAGGTTTATTGGGATCAAATAATGATTTATTGAATAGTGAATCAAAAAATAAAAGATTAAGACAAAGTGCTAAGAATTCTAGACTTCGAAAAAAAGTTTATCTGAAATTACTTGAAAAGAAAGTAAAATAATTATATAAGTATTTTTAGGTTTCTGAATTGGATTAGTAAATTTAAGAATACAAAAAAACAACCAGATAATCATTTGAATATTTGACACAAATATTACAATCTCATCCTATTTTAAATAGTATGATTATTGGAAATTCAGCAGCCATTGATTAAGTGTTAGAATGTTCATCATCTGATTAAGCTTAATTAGTATTGGATTCATATTTAGTAATGATATAATTCTTATTTTTATAGATGAGATATGGAACTTGTGGGATTAAAAGAAGAGATTATGTTAAATATGCTGTTAAAAATATATAAAAGAATTTTCTTAAAGGCAATTATGGATTATAACTTATGAGTTGGAATTAATAAATTTAAAATTGTAAAGAGTATTTTATTTATCAAATTAGATGACACTGAATTTAATCAATATGTAGAAATTGTTAAAGAAGAGGCTAAACTTGAAGATGATAATCTTGTTTATAGTGTTTTACCTACTATTGATAAAATGCTTAACCATCGCAAAATGTCTTAATAGTATTAATAATTCTAACTCTAGATTATTACTCAAATTTAATTAGGATATCAAAAATTTAAAATAGAATCAATAAGAAATTGAAGAAACAATTAATCAGTTTACATAATCATTAACTCCCATCTAACATTTAGAATTCATAAAATAAGTAGAGAAAATGGTGACTTTTAATCGTTTTAATAAATGATCAATAATATATTATGTCTTATTCCAAACTTTCAAGAAATATCAAAAATATAAAGTAAATTCTGATATAATTTTTTATTTTTTATATTAATATATATATATCATACTACTTAAATACTTAAATTAATTATTTAATTTATTATTATAAGCAACTACAACTACAAATGACAATAATATATTATATTTAATAATAATTATATTGTTATTAATATCATTATTGTAAAGAAATATAAAAGAAAATAATTTAAAAGATGCATTAAATTTTGTCAAATTATTCAAATAATTATAAAATTAATTAAAATGTCTGCTGTGGGAATTCGTGGTGAAAGAGATCAAGGTTAAGATGTACGTACAAGTAATGTAACTGCTGTCATGGCAATTGCAAATGTTGTCAAGACAAGTCTTGGACCACAAGGACTTGATAAAATGCTTGTTGATGAGATTGGAGATGTTGTAATAACAAATGATGGAGCAACCATCTTAAAATAATTAGAAGTTGAACATCCAGCTGCTAAAGTCATTGTAGAGTTGAGTTAATTATAAGATAAAGAAGTAGGAGATGGTACCACATCGGTTGTTGTTTTAGCAGCTGAATTACTTCGCCGCGCTAATGAATTAATTAAAATTAAAGTTCATCCTACAACAATTATATCTGGATATAAATAAGCAGCCAGATAAGCAGTTAAATACATTCAATCACATTTGGTACATAAAATTACTGAAGATGACACTGAAATATTGATAAATGCTGCCAAAACATCTATGAATAGTAAATTAATTGGTCCAGAAAGTCACATCTTTGCTAAGTTAGCAGTAGATGCAGTTAGATTAATCAAAACCTAAGGTTTAGTGTCTGGTAAAGCTAAGTATCCAATTTAATCAATTAATGTTGTAAAAAGTCATGGTTAATCATCCAATTAATCTGAATTAGTAAAGGGATATGTTATTTAATTATAAAGAGCATCATAATAAATGGTAACAAAAGTTAAGAATGCTAAAATTGCCTGTTTAGATATTAATTTGAATAAATTTAAGATGCAAATGGGAGTTTAAATATTGGTGGATGATCCAAATAATTTAGAGAAAATCAGAAAGAAGGAAATGGATGTATTGAAGGAAAGAATTCAACTATTATTATCAGCAGGAGCAAATGTTATTTTAACTTCAAAAGGAATGGATGATTTGGCTAATAAATATTTAGTAGAAGCAGGTGCTATTGGTTTAAGAAGAGTTCCTAAAGATCATTTGAGAAGAATTGCCAAAGCTTCTGGTGCTAAAGTAGTTACAACATTTGCCAACGAGGAAACTGGAGAGTCATTTGATTCAACTTGTTTAGGAGAAGCTGAAGTAATATAAAAATACAATATTAATTTTAGGAAGTTTATGAAGAAGCTATAGGAGATAATGATTATATGTTTTTCAAAGGAATGAAAAAAGAATAATCAGCAAGTATTATTGTAAGAGGTGCAAATGAAATGATGACTGATGAAATTGAAAGATCATTACATGACTCTTTATGTGTTGTAAAGAGAACCTTAGAATCAGGATCTGTTGTTGCCGGAGGTGGAGCAGTAGAAATGGCTTTAAGCATTTATTTGGATGATTATTCTAGAAAATTAGATTCAAATGAGTAGATTGCCATAGCTGAATTTTCAGAAGCCTTGACTTAAATCCCAAAAATCTTAGCTACAAATGCAGCAAAGGATTCTATTGATTTAATCAGTAAATTGAGGGTTTTACACAGTAAATCACAATAATTAGAAGTTGATGAGAAGGGATATAAATTTAGTGGTTTAGATTTGATTAAAGGTGAAGTTAGACATAATCTTAGACATGGTGTACTTGAACCAACAGTTAGTAAAATAAAAGCTCTTAAGTATTATTAAATTATTATAATTCTATAGATTTGCAACAGAAGCTGCTATTACGATTTTGAGGATTGATGATATGATTAAGTTGGAACCAAAGAAAGAATAAATGCCAGGAAGACATTGAGTTATGAAAATGAAATATAATAAACAATAAGAAATATAGATAAGATTTTATGAAATTCTTTTTTTATAGTTTGATTCCGATTTTCATAAAATTTAACAAAATTAATATCCATGTCATCTGACTAATAAGGTGATTAGAAGCCTTTAATGTAACCATTTTCGGTCATGGAGCCTGAAGACAAGAAGGAATCAACCTATAGTAATTCTAAATTTGAAGGGTATTCATCATTTTATAAGATTCTTTTAGTAAATGCGTCGATCCTAGGTTGATGACATTCTGCATCACTAATTTTGTAATCAATGTTGGTATTTCTTAAATTGCTCCTTTTTATCCTGGATTGGCTGCAGATAAGGCTGGTCTGTCATATTCTTAAATAGGATTGGTGTTTAGTATCAATCCTTTAGGCTCTATTCTTTTTAGTTTTGTTATAGGAAGTTTTATATAAGTTTGGGGTAATCCATATAATTAATTTAGGCCGTAAAAAGTGCTTAATGATAGCTTTAGTAGTATAATCATCTGTTTAAATCCTTTTTGGATGCCTTAATTTTATGACAGACAATAAGGCCTTATTTTTTTCAATGTCTCTCATTTCCAGATTCTTCTAAGGTATGAGTAGATCTGTCTATTCAACTGTGACATTTGCTTATGTTCCAATATTTTGGCCAGGAGAATTTTAGAAAAAATTAGCAATTATGGAAACAATGACAGCGTAAATATAATTTATAAAATCTATATAGATTGGGATTATTGTTTGGTCCTATGATTGGTAGTGTTTTGAATTATGCATTCGGATATTCCATACCATTTTTCGTAATTGCCATATTTTTCCTTTGTGCTGAGATTCCTACTTATACATAGTTGCCCCCTGATAGTACTATGAAGAGTTTTGAAAAGAAAAAGAAACTACCAATTGGAAAAGCATTTACATCAATTAAGGTTATAGTAACTATAATGAATGTCATGTCTATTACTGCAGGTTATACTTACTTTAATCCATTCTTTGTTAATCATATGTAATCCTTTGGAATTTCTGAAAATATTGCTGCCTTCATTCTTACAATTCCTGCTATATTTTATATTGGTATGGTTAATATTATACCTAAAATTGGAAAATATGTTAAGAAGACTTTCATGATGTCTTTGGCTTTAATGATATGTTTTAGTGGTAATATGTTGGAAGCACCATTTTGGGGAGAAGGTAATACATTAGCAAGTGTTATTATTGGATTGATATTGGTTGGTGTTTCATAATCATTCTCAATGATTCCTAGTATTCCATAAATAAGTGAATTCTTAGCTCCTGTTGTGACAGATCCATAATTTAAGTATATTTTTGATATTAATAATTAGAAATAACTTAACTGATATGGCATCAGCCTTATTTATTATGTCAATGGGTTGTGGTTCATTAATTGGACCATTATTGGGAGGATCTATATATGATGGATTTGGTGGTAATGTAAATCTTGTTGAATCACCATCATAAGAATTAATAGATTAAGAAAGGGAAGCCTTTAGAGGAGCTATGATTTGTTTAGGATTATGGTAATTAGTAGCAGCAACATTGTTTTTCTTCTTTGGAGATGGATACAAAGGTTGGAGTGATTGTTGTAGAACTTGTTAAACAGGATAAAATCCATCTAAAGATGAAGGACAACAATTGACAAAACCATTAAATGATGACACATCAGACGATGTAATGAGTGATAACGACACATTATCTTCAGAGGCATCTGTAGGAAATGATAATGATTTGTTATAGGGACCCCCAAAAAAAACAATAACAATAAGAAAAGAAGCTTTATGATTTGTACATTTAAAATTATTATATATATATATCAATTTTTAACTTCTTCTATTGGCACAACTGATCCAAATCTGGAAACTTATTCCTTACCATTTAAAAGGTTATTCAAGAATCTATCTACATTTGCAGAAGTTACAGAACCTCTCATTTTGGAAAATAATTATTTCTTTGGACTTAAAGCCAAAACTGAAGGATAACTATTAAATATAAATATTATTATATACCCAGCTCCTGACATTCCAAATTATTCTTCTAATTCATATTAATCTCCTGCTTATGACCAAAAGTGAACTAATGGTTTAGATTTTAATGGTTTCACAGTTTCTTTATAGGTATTCAAATATCCATCTCTACATTCTTAATCACAATCATAGATATGTGGAACAAATAATAAAACACATATTCCAGTAGATTTCAAACAATTATCAGTAAATTATTATTAGTTAACCAATTATTCAAAGAAAAGAGGTTTTAATTTTCTATTAGTTTCTCGAGCATAATTAAGAAGAGTATTGTAATCTCTAGCTCCATCAAAACTTTCATAATCACCATCTACTTTCTCTCCTGCTCCAAAGAATCTGATAGTTGGAAATCCCTCAACCTTATACTTTGTCTTAGACTTTGATCCTTCTCCACTTGCATCAATTTTGGCTACTTTTATTTCACCTTTAAGAGATGTTGCCAATTTAGCCCATTCTGGTGCTAATTTCTTACTAAAATAATTATATTTTGATTTAATACCAATGACCACACCAAGGAGCATAAAATTCAACAAACCAAGCATCTTTACTATTGAGAATAGTTTCATCAAGATTATCATCTGTCAAAACAATAACATCACTTTCATCTATTTATGGCTCAGGTGTTTTTTCTCCTTATTTCTTTGGTACTTTTCCTACTCTCTTGAAGGCAAACTAATTTTAATTACAATTTAATCATACATCTCTGATTTAATCAAAAGCAAAATTGACAATTTCTTAGGCTACCCATTCTCCTGGATATTCGATTGCTTATCCATTTGAATACACTCTTAAAGTTGTACTAGCACCATTGGAAAGAGCTCCAACATTAATCATTCCCTTGAGAGCTTCAGCAGCCAAAGCAACTTAACTTCTTTATTCTGAACTTAATTGAGAATATTCCACTATGACCCAAAATGTTTTTTAATCTTAAACTTTTGATTTGAAATCATCTTAAGTAAATTCATGAACATCTGTTCCTAAGAAGTTGGCTATAGACAAAGCGATTAGTAATGCAAAGAATATTACTTTCATCAACGTATGATAAAATTATTATTCTAGAAAACTCTTTAAATTTTAAGAATATAAACTAAATGACGTGGTCTTTAAAATATCTTCTATTTTCATATTCTATAGATCAAATTATTGCTAATAATTAATATTCATTAACAAATTCATCAATTTACATAGTCTAACATTATATCACAAATATACAAAATTATAAATGTATTTTTTCATAGAATATTTTGAATTTATAAAACCTAAAATTTAATATATTTCAATATTTAATGAATTCTAAAAATTATTTACACTTAAAAGATCATTGATAAATAGTATATCAAAAGAAAGGATACTCTCAATATAAAATTCAATTGTATATTCATTGAAATTATGAAATTCTTGATTTTCATATAAAAAAAGATAAAATAATTTATAAAGAAATTCATGAATAAGATAAAAATATTATATAACTATTATGAATAGTTAGCAATTTAAATTATTATAGGATTCTCTCTATAAGCATATAAATTTAATATCATTTTTCCTTAAATATGTCAACTTCATGTAGATCTAAATCATAATTTATTAAGAATGATAATATAATAAAATTCATTTATTTAATTATTTAGTTTTAGTATTGAATTAAAGAATGAAGTCTTTATTAAAAAGAAGAAATAGTTATTTGTTATCATAATAAAATTAATAATTATTATAATGAATTATAGAATTGAAAAGGCTGACTTATATATTAGATAACATAGAATAATTGAATTATTTGAGGATTTGACTACAGCCATCTCATATGAATAACCAACAGACATAAAAAAGTTTTTGATTGAATAATTGCAGTTAAAATAGAAATTCGGTTTCAAAACAGGTTTATTCAAACCAGAAGAAATTGATAACATTTTCACAGTAAATTGATTTAAGCATTATTATTATTAGTTATTTGATTTAAAATAAGATGGATGGATTTCTAAAAAGTAAGCGATTGATGCATTCAAAGTTATGGCAGCTTCCCAATATCAACTTAAAGATGAATCTATATTTCCAGAAAAAGTAACAAAAAAGTAATTTGCAGAAATTATAGGAGAACATCTAGGTATAAAATGATCTATATAATATAAATATATATATTAAAATCATCTATTAATTAATTATTTCAACAAAGTTAAATAGAAATGAAAAATAAAAATAATTTAAGGCCAGTCTAGGAATAAAATATTTATTTAATAAAGTCAATATAGGATCAAAAATTAATAGGTTTCTCTAGAAATGATTATAGATTGGAATTTAATAAAATAGATCTTAATTGTGAGAAATAATTTAATTGGATTATATAAAGTGATGATTAAAATGAATAACATTATGAATTTAGATTTGGTGAATATGTCTTAATTCAAAATCTAGAAAGGAATATACCTATCAATTAAGATAAAGTACCTTTATTATTGTAATTTTTCAATGAGACTATTGACTCTTAAGTATTCAACAAATGTTCAAATAATTTAATAGGGAATTAACCATGTATATTAAAAAATAGTTATAACAATCTTTATTTGAACATTATCAATAGTGAATTAACATATAAACAATAACCATTTTATTTTTAAATAATACCTAAATAGAATTAAAGAAATTTGGCTATCCAAAGACCTCTTTGCAATTAAATATGTGATTATTAAATTAGAAATTACTTTACAGGATATTAATTATCTTATTCAAGTCAATTTTAGAATGATAAATATTTAACAATTAAAAGCTAACCAGTCATAAATTTAGAGAAATGGAGGATTTTTTAATTGGAATCTAATATTTATCATTTGTATAATTAAGCATAAAAATGCTATGTTTAGAATTTATCTATGGATAAATAATAAGAATCCAATTATATATTTTTAAGTCATAATTAGCCAAAAAATAATTGGAGAATTATATGTAAAATACATAGTTTATGATATTTTAGGTCCATATAATTAATAGCTATCATTTGGAACCCCATTTTTGATTCAAGACACTTCTAATGGATATTATATGAATATAGATATGTTTAATCCAAAAAACGATGAAAGCAACGAGTTTGTAGTTGTGTTAAAAAAGAATATTGAAACTACATCTTTATGGGTAGTGTATTATATGAAATGATTGATATAAAGTAATTTCTTTACTTCTATAATAAAATTATTAATAATGCATCTCATTGATATAGCTCTTTTCGTTATGATTGTGTGTGGCTTAATTGGAACTTTGTTTTTCTTAAGAGATCATGCTCCTGGAAAATAAAAATCAAAAATTGGATTAGGCTGCTCTAGCTTATTTATATTATATATCCTCACCAAAGAAATAAGTTAGTCAAATTGTATTGAGTATCTTATTCTATGTAGTCGTAATCATAGGATTAACTATATTAATGCTTGGGAAGTTTTATTACACTGCTAAAAATTCCCTCTAATTGTATTTCAATAACCAAAGACTCAATTCAGAAGTATCAGAGCATGGAATCAAAGTAAATGAACCAGATCATGAATTACCAGGTTATTTGCCACCAATTATGTCTGAGAATGAATCTAGATGCTCTAGTTAATAGAGTTAGCAAGAGCATAACAAACCTATTAGAATCAAATAAGGATAATAGTCTTTATAATTTGGAAGATAATAACAGTAGAAAGATATTCAGAAAATTGGTTTATAGTTGAGTTTTTTAGGAGACTTTAAACAATCTAATTTTTAGAAAAGTTAACTTGGATTAAATTCAATTAAACAAAGCTATATGCAAGTTCATCCTATTAATTGTAGTGTTTATTTCTAGTATATTAGAAACTGTAAATTTGGTGAAGTACTCAGAAGATGGTGAAATCAAAATAGGAATTCTGAAAACAATCAAATCTATAACATATGATTTGGCTGAAAAAGAATTAGAGTAGTTACAAAAAGAACCTGTAATTTCGAAAGCAGATTATCCAAAAATTTAGATTTTATATGAGAGTAGTTAACCAGAAATTTAAAGTTAAAACAATGAATTATAGAGTAGACAAAGTAAATAAAGCAATAATAATATGGTTTAACAATAAGCCCCATTTAAGGAAGTTAAAACAGAATAATCAATAATGCCATAATAATTAAAACCTGCATTCCATAAGAAAATTAGTTGGATCAAAATATTAAAACAGATAATTATTTTGATGGTTTTTTCTCTTAGTGTTTCTTAATTTCTTTAATAAGATCCTAAATCTCATATTTTAATGATTATCTATATAATTGGATATACTTTTTATTAGATATCACTTTTTTCATTATTTGTTGCAGAAGGATTAGAAATTACTATTCAATTAAGGGAGATTATAGCATGGTCATTATTAATTGTATTGCCTACCTTATTATCAATATTAATTATACAATTTCAAATAGATTGTTTTCAATTTATGGCTTGGTTATCTATCTTAATTGCAAGCTAAAAAATAAAATATGCATCAAGGTAATTAAAATTAATTATATTATTATAGAAATCCTGCTCTCTTCAATCCATTTATAATTATATTATGTTTAAGTGCATTATTTTGCTGATAAATATGAAAACTATAATTATTCATTAATCACGAATTTTTAATTCCAATCTCGTTAATCTCTAATCAAAATTTGTTAAAGCTATATTTACTGTTGTTTATAATTCTGAAAATTTTTGCATAATTGATTTGATGTTATCATTACTAAGCATAATTACCTGCATTAATTTTTAGAGATCTTAATGAGTAACACCATTTTATTATTGAACTTAATTAATTGGTTAAGTTTGATAATTTTATTAAACTTAATTTATTTTTTATTTGAATGTTTATTAAGCTTAAATTTCATTTTAAGAATCATTCTTTTCATCAGATTAAGGTGGAGAGGGTTATTATTAATATTGTTATGTATAATTGCATTATTCTAACTATTAATATTATTCTTAATTGCAAGAAACTATTCTTGGGACCAATTCATTTTATTAAGTTATTTTATAAGGTTCTGGTCTTTTTGGTTGTTCTATGTCTTCTTCATCATCTTCACTCTAATAATTCTCTCTTTGTACAAACACTTAAGCCTTTTATTTATTAGTTGATTCTTGTTATTTTTAAGTATTTTATAACTATGAACTGTTTTCTTAACCCTTAAAAAGATTCACTTTCTTCTCTTTTTTTGTTCTCTATAATACTTCATTAAAGATATCATTTATTAAGATTAATTTATGTTCTAAATATTGTTCTGATAGAAATTAAGCTATATTTATTGATGATTTATAGTTGAATTCTAATTGAAGCATTTTGAACACTTATTCTGTAAATCTCAAATCATTTTTGGAATATAACTCATATCCTTTATCAACTAAGGCTAACAAACAATCTTAAGCAATAGGTACATTTATAAAAGCTTGAATTGTATTCAATTAAAATGTAGTGGAGTATTCTCAAAAAAAATGTTGGATTGTTATCCTTAACATATTCAAATGCGAATTATTCTTTGTATTCAGCTTTCTTCATTGTTTTCTTAAAATTTTCATATTAATTTTATAGATCAGAGCTCATTTCAAAATTCAAATTAAATATATATTAACAAATTTTTATCAATAATTTTATGATATTTTATTCAATAAATATAATTATTGTATTCTTTTAAAAATGATTGTATTTTGATCTATTCAAAATAGAATCTATTTTACAAATCATAAAAAAATTATAATAGTATAATACTTATAAATAATTAATATCTTTTCTATAGTATTATAATTCTAATTTAATTTAAATAACCTTTAACTCATTAATTTTAAGTAATCAATTAACAAATTGTTTTATCTCTTTTTATATAAGATTACAATATTTTTTAATCTTCTAAATAATTTATCCTTATGTATTATCTAAGTAATTCTTTTTCATCCTAGAATTATACAATTTTTTAATAGGGAATTATAAACCAATGATGTTAATTTATAAAAAATATATAGCATTTTAAATTACTAAAATTAAAATTTCTAATAAATACAAATGTTTAAAATAATCTTAATTAATAACCATTGGTTTTTAGTCTATTAAAAGTAAAAAAATGTAGTATAGAATAAATTTTGATATCAATCTAAGTTTTTTTGTATTATTTTAATACTTATTATCGACTTTTATTAAAGGATGACTTATGACTTTTATTTATAATGATAAAATACTAAATAAATGGAAAAGAATGAAGGTTTGAAGGAAGAAGAAATAAAAATTGTGAAAGTGATTCGTTTAGATAAAACAGGTTGTCCTATTGTTAAGGGATAGAAGGGACACAAGATTACATTTTGTGATGAAGTGATAGTTGGGAAACCTATTCATAATATAATTTTTGTCGAATGTTATAAACAATTCAATTTGCCTCCAAGCGATATGGAAGTTGCTGATGAATGCTGCTTATTAATATGAAGAACTTTGATTTATTTTATGGGTTTGTTTTCTTTGAATTCAATTATAACATTCATTTTAAAGAGTCTTTAATGCACATGAGTGCTGAACATTTCTTAATTGTAAGTGAATTACTCAAAGTATCAAGGACCTCTTTTCGATGATTAAAAAGGGTAAATTTATATCCTTGAGAAAAATTATTAACAATTATGGAAAAAGTTTAAAGCCAAACTTAATTAACATCACATACCATGCTAAGTCCAATTATTAAAAAACTTAATTTCAGAACTGACAAAAGAGGGTTTCCAATTCTGAAAGGATCTAGGTGTCATGGGATAAGTTTTAAGGATTAGATTAAACAGGGGGAACTACAAACTGTAATATTAGTAGAGAGTTGGAAACAACTAAATTATGATAATAAATAAAATAAAAAAGCTACAGAATGCTGCATGATTTATTGATCAGTAATACCAAAATTGAATCATTATGAAAATCGAGTTATATAGTTATTTGTGTTATATCAATTTAATAAAAAAAATCAGTTTTTTCATCAAAATAGTGCTTCCAATTTATTAATAATTAATTAACTCATCGATTGTTATGCTTAGTAAATTCTGTCAATTACTGATGTTATAACATCTTATTGAATTTTTATTTGATATGGTTTGAATTGATTGATACACAGTTTATTACATTCTAGAATCAAGATGTCACCCATAAAGGAACATTCTATTGCTTTTAAAGGTTGTACAAATTTAACTATTCCTGATTCTGAGTCTTATTAAATTTAAGTGTGAATCAAATATCCTTAATTTACATCTATCATCAAATACTATATATTTATTATATACTAATTACATTTTATGAATTAGCTAATTGTATAAGCTCACAAGCCTAATAAATTTTGATTTCTTAATTAATTTAGTATTAATTTTCAACTCCTTTTTTCTTAAAATCTTTAACTAAACATTTGACTAAAATCCACAAATACACATATTTAAATTCTGAAAGTTTACTATTATCAACATATGGCTTCAAATCTTCCATTTTAACTACAGGTTGAGAATTTGTAAAGTTATCCCAATCAAAATTTTCTATAATATCCCAATTAACAAATAATCCTTCACTTAACCTTTTGTTTGTAACTTTTAAATTTGAAATTATAGATACGAGTTTATTTTTTAAATCTTAATATAATTATTTTAATTCTTTTAAATCTTCATTAATCATTAATAGAATTATCAACTCAAGAAGCTTTTTTGAGAAAACAATTTCTTCTTTTAAATTTATTATCTAAATTTAAAGATAATTGTTACATTGATAATTTACATGGATGGTATTTAGTAATTATTTTATTTTGCCACAAACCATATAGATAAATATAGATACAATAATGTGTTATGTTTTGACTAATATAAATGATATATATATTATAAATACTCTTAAAAGCTCAAGAAATTAATTTTTATATGGATTTTAGATTAAATTGCTTTTCTTATTACCAATATATTAATCCTTTTAATTATCATCCAATTCATTTTAGAATATATTTTAGAATTCTTGCTCCATATTCTTTGTATCATATATCCACTATTATGATTATTTCACTAATTTTATATTCTGTATGGTTTCATCAATAAATATTTAATCTTCACAAAAATAAGACATAATTGGATATACTAAAGGTAATTTAGTGAGGAATAGATAAATCGTAAATAATCCTACTTCATATCCAAGTATAAATGAGGTTTTTCTATTAAGTAATAGGCTATCTAAAATTGGCAAAATTAATTTATCTAAAATTAATTTCTCCAAAAGTGTTGATAAAAATGGGCATTCAGTTATGAGATCATTAAAAAACATAAGAATATCTTCAAGTTTATCTAATTAATCTTGTGAATCTATATTGAGAGATTCTAACATTTATTAGATTTGAAATATATATTTAATGTATACTTAAATGAAAGGTGAAGTTGTTAGATAAAGTTTAAATTATACCATAATTTTAGTTTAATTAAAAATAACTGATTCTGTTTGCTTTCCGCTTTTTGGGTCAGATGACACTATGATGAATATTCTACAATAATATACATTTTGATAAACTTAGTATTATATTTTAGATAGTATTCTTAACTAATTCATCAGGATAGTTAATAAACTTTTAAGCCTGCCATAATAATGGGAAGGTACAATATCGCTAATTAAAATAAAGATAAAAATTATCTCTATTAATCCTTATAGCAATAGTTTTTAAGAAATTCACATAATAATCAACAATTTCTGGATTATTAAAGTCATAATTATAGTTAATAAATTCATGTAATACTGGGTTGCTTAAGACATAATTCAAATTGAGTGGATTTTAGAGATTAGTGCTATAATGAAATAACATTGTACATAATCATAGATAACCTCTCAATAATAAAAATAGTTAATTGATGATTTGCAGACTTGAGTTTCTAGTAAAACAAGTTTAATATATTTTGTTCAGCAAAATAACTTAATAAATATTGACATCATACTCAAATATTTCTTCTTTTTAATGATCTCCAAAAAGAAAGTATTCAGATAATTCTTCTATGATTTACTTATACTTATGACTTTTTTCAGGCTTTTAGAGTTCCTTATGCAATTTCTTTACATCTTATATTACTTACATTAATTAAAATAAATTTGTATAAATGTATGAATAAATATCTCTATTTGATGGATGAAATAAAATAGCTCAAATTCAAAATTTGAAAATAATTGAAATATAGAGTTTTATATGATAGAAGATTTTGTTATTTGATTTGATTTGTTCTGATAAATATAAATAATAATATTATTATTGTTTGAAATGAAATAGATCAACAAATATTAAGTTTAATTAGATTAAAATTGATATATTAAAGATTCTTAATTTTCATTGATTTAATATGCTAAATTTTCATAAATATTTAAGTGTTCCTCGTATTGCATTAATAATGATGTATTTTTCTTTCTTTATTTATAATATAAAAATTATAATGTTCTTAATAAATTTATCTAAAAATCAAGAAATTAATATTAATTTAATGAATTAAAGTTATTCATTTTATTCTTATTATAGTTCTAAATGATCATAGTTGAATTTTTGATTACTTTATTTCAATTCTAACAATCATTCATTTAACAAGAAATTAAACTTATAGGAATATCCTAAGGATTTACTTACTTATGATGATAAAGAATTTATCATTAAATGATTATAATCTTAATTAAATATTTTTAAGAGACATTTTAATGTTCAAAGGTATTTCATTTATGTTTCCTCTTCCTACTGTGAATTTAACCAATAACAGAATCAAAACCTTAAGAAATTTAATAGAACTAAATGGAGGTATAATAGATTTGAATCCTCGAACTATTATGATTGTTGGCTCTGATGCTACATTAGAATCTTGCTAGAAATAAATACAAAAAATGAATTTAGACTTTGAATAGTATCGTATTCAGTTCATTAATGCAGATTGGATTTCTCAATCTCTTCAAGCAAAAAATCTGTTAGATTTTAAGAAATTTCAATTATTTTTAGAGATAGAACAACAACAAAAAAGAGTAAGTCCTTAAGCAACAGATACAAAGTTTGTATATGTAGAATCTTTAGCAAGAACTGTTCCAATAAAAGAAGATGAAGAAAATTAATTAGATATGGAAAGTGGAGAATATACTATTATTAAACCTGAATTGAAAGAAAAATATGAGAAGAAGAAATAAGAATTTAAAAGATTAATGATAAAGGAGCATAGATTTTTATTGGATTATGAATATGATAAAGATTTAGATAATTATCATCATCAAGTAGATGATGGTTATGAATTTTTATTAGACAATTTTCAAATTTTAAAAAAAGAAGAATTTGATATTCCTCAATAGAATAAATTTTATGGAGATGAAGATTGTTAAATTACAGAAGTTCGTAAACCTTAAATAGATTTTTTTTAAGGTTTGGATATGGGAAAAGCTATTATCAATTTAGATTAACCTTTAGTAAATGCTTAAATAAAAGAGACTAAATAATTTAATCCAGGATCTAAATAATAAATACAATTTTGGGAGAATAAAAAGGAATTTTTCATTTGTGATGCTGGATCTGCCTAGAAATGCTTTAATAATTAAATTATAGAAGAATTAGAAAAATTACTAAAAATTTATACAAATGAAAAAGATAAAGGAAGATGTATTGCTTATAGAAAAGCTATTGGTTATATAAAGTCATTAACATTTCCAATTAGATCAAGTGAAGATTTAAAGGAAATGCCAACAATTGGAGAAAAAATAAAGAAGAAAATAATAGAAATCATTTAAACTGGTTAATTATTAAAAGTATAAAAGTTATAAGGATAAGACAAGAATGTAGCAATAACATAATTAACTAGAGTTTGGGGGATTGGACCAACAACAGCTGCTACTTTTTATTTTAAAGGTATAAAAACATTAGATGATTTAAGAAAGAATCAACATTTATTAAATAAAAATTAATAAGTATGTCTACAATTAGTTGAAGAATTAGAATAACGTATTCCTAGAGATGAAGCAACAATAATTTATGAAATTGTAAAAAGGGAAATAGATGATTTAAGTGGAGTGCCTGGATTATATAAAGCTACAGCTTGTGGTTCATATAGAAGAGAGAAAGAAAGTTGTGGTGATATGGATATTTTAATTACAAGATGTGATGGAAAAAGTTGTGATGGTTTTTTAATGAATTTAATTTAACGATTAGAAGGAAAACTACTCACTCATCATCTTACATTACCTAAGAAGGGAGAACATGATAGTGAATCTTATATGGGGATTGGAAGAATTAATAATCATGCAATTCATCGTAGAATTGATTTAAAATTGTATCCTAAAGAACAGTATGGTTGTGCAGTTTTGTATTTTACTGGTTCTGATTAATATAACAGAAGTATGAGATTATGGGCATAAAAGATTGGATATAGTCTAAGTGATCATGGTCTCTATCCTACTTAAAGGGGTTCTCATAATAAAAAATTATGGAAAGGAGAAGTCATTGCTTGTGAAGAGGAAATTGATGTTTATAGAATTCTTGGATTATAATATAAACCACCTAAAGAGAGATCAGTATGATTTTTTATTTTGTTAATATATATTTACTCTCATTATAATATACATAAACTCAATAGAACTTTATCAATTTTACTGCAGAAAATCGTATTCTATATGTGAATTCAACCGATATAAAGTATTTGGTAACAATTAAAGATAAGAATTCTCAGATTCTTCTGACATACCAACATCAATTTTTTATTCCTCAAAAAATGTGTTGGTATCAATTACAGAATATGATTTTTCATAATTTATTGGGACCATTGCACTTTCACTTGATAAATCTTCAACTTTAACAAGAGGAGATTAAATTGTTTATTAGGTTTCTTTTTAAGAGATTACAGAAAAAACTGAAACAAGAGTCAAGAGAGTGAGACCTATTTTACCTAATCTCGAACAACGACCTAGTTATTAGAGAATAGATAATTAATCTCTTATTTTTGAGCTCTTATTTGTTAATTTTTAATGTTTTATTTGTAGCTCTTCCAATTATTTTCTCAATTCAGCATTATAATTTAATTCTTTTTAAGCCTAATTTTCTAATTGTTGTAAATATTATTTCTTTCTATCTCTAGAATTTTATGCACTAATTCTATTTCGTATCATTTATATAGTTTTTTTATCATTATCTCTTAATGGATCATCATCTTATTTCTTTCTCTTTATTTTCTTACTACTCTAAACTATTTCAGGTTCATCCTTATGTATTCTTTATTTTGCCTTCTCTCTTCTCATTGTACGCTTCATCTTCTCAACAAGTTTTTGGAAATCTTTAAAATTTATTAGAATTTTCTTCTTACTTTATGGGTTAGATTTTTGCATCTCCTTAAGTCCTTCTTATGATGTTTATAGAGTCTCACTCATATACTCAAAGAATTCTTGTTAACTAGTACTCATTTTGATAAAGATTTATATTAAAATATTGAATTAAAAACGATAAATTTTATTCGCTTAATACCCAAAATAACTGCAATACCGTAATTTAATGTTACTAAATTATTATTCCAATAAACTCCTGTCTACATAAAATATAATTCTCTCCCTTTAAATTATATAGTTGATTCCTTTATTTGTAATTAAGTGATATAGTAGTTTTAATACATAAAAAACACAATAAACAAATTGAGAATCAAATTTTTAATTGAATTATTGAGTAGAATCATTAGAAAACTTATATTTAAAGTAAAATTCACTGAATTTAACATAACATCTTTATAATGAAAAATAATTGTTATTAAAATTATTTTATTTTCTTATAAATACTTATTTTTATATAATTTTTTTTCATAATTCAAAAACCATCTTTAAGAAGAATAAATCTTTGTAATAATTAATTATATTTACAACAAGAATTTAACAAAAGATCTATTAGTTATTATTTTTATTTAAAATTTCATAACTTAACTAATATTTTAACAAATTCTCACTTTTTTCAAATAAAAGTATAAGATATATTAATATACCTATTTATTTTTTGAATTATGAATTTATATTTAGGTTTCTTTTGATGTGATCTTAACACCATTTTCAAATAGCAATATATTTAATTTAAATATTATAATTTAAATAGATACTTATATAAATTTTTACTTAATTTTATTTATAAGAAAATAACTTGAGCTCCTTAAAATTAACATAATAATATATTGGATTATGAGATTTTTTTAACGAAAATAATAAATTTTTTTTGTATTTGAAGTAATAGTGATTATTATTTTTGATCGTTTTTTAATATTTAATTATATAGATAATCAATGAAGACTCTAATACTTGTAGTATTAATTTGTTATAGTAGCTCTTAAATGTTAAGAGGGTCATCTAAGTCTTTAGTTGAAGAAGAACAAGGTAATTATGAATTTTGAATGACAGCAATATTTTAGAGTGAATAAGAAGATTAAAGCTTTTATGTTGGGAGGAATGATATTTCAGCAGAGACTCTTTAAGGCTAAGAGACAGTAGAAGTAGAAACAAGTTTGGCAGTGTTTAAAAGTGATGATAACCCAATGGTTTATATTGAAGAATCAATAGAATCAAGTATTTATATTAAAAAATAAATGCAAAGATTAAGATCAAAATTTTGAATAATAGGAATCATTGAAAATCGAGAAAGTTGATGATGAGATCTAGTATAATATTACAATAGATAATAAAGAGCATAAGAATTACCAGAAGCAACAAATGATTAAGCTAATTATGTCGATAAAGCAATAGTATTAGATCCAGAATAAGATTAATAAGCATCTTAGAACAGTTAAACTGATGTTGTTTTGAATATAGCTCCAAAGACAGAGTCATTAAATAGTTCTGATGCAAATAAAAAGCATATTTATGTTTACAATCGTATAATTTGACTCTTAGTAATTTAGCTTTGGCAAAGAAACCTTTTGTTGGCATAAAGTTTCCACCTATGCCTGTGACAAAGGATCATAATTATTTGTCAAACTCTGAAAGTCTGACTATAAAATTGCCTGCATGGTCTGAAGAAAGTAATCATAGAGTTGAAGATGATTTAGAATTCTTCCAATTTATTAGACGTATACAGCTTTAAATATAGTAGCATCTGATGTATCAGTTAATGAATATTGAAAGAACATTAATATATAATTCATTTTTTTCAAGTTGCAAAAATCTAAAAATATATTATAATAAATAATGTAATAAGAAGAGAAAAAGAAAGGGGATAGTGGAAAAATGGAAACTATAGTAAGAATACATTAAATCTGTAGAAAATTATGAATGGTTTCACCGATAAGGAATGGAATAATTTAGATAAAATAGAAAGAATTGAACTTACACTTGAAGATTTTGGGAGAATGAATGTTATATAAGCATTCAAAAATTTGAAATCTTTGACTCTTATAAATGTAGGGATTACAGTAATTGAAGTATGAATTGAGTTATTAAACAAAAGGGAATAGATGAATTGTCTAAGTTAGAAGAATTAAATTTGAATGAGAATTCAATTTCGAAATTGAGTGGATTAAAAGGGATTATTAATGTAAAATCAATATACATTTCACATAATGCAATTTAAAAAATTGAAGGATTAGAAAATCTTACAAAATTAGAAACTTTATGGCTTTGTGATAATAAAATTGAAGCAATTCAAAATTTAGAAAATTTAGTTAATTTAAGATAATTATGGTTGGCAGCTAATTAAATAAGTTACTTAAGAACATCTCTTGATAAATTAAAGAATTTACATGATTTGAATATTAGTGGAAATAAAATTTGTAGTTTTAAAGAAGCATTAAATTTAAATCGTTTACCAAATCTAAAAGTTTTAGCATTTTATGATCCTCATTTTGGTGATAATCCTATTTGTAACCTTTGCAATTATTAAACATATGTTTTATATCATTTAAGAAATATATACAAATTAGATACTTTAATTATTTCAGAAGAACAGAAATCTTTTGCTGAAGGAACATTTATGAAAAAGAAAATGTATTATAATATGAGAATAAAAACAATGTAAAGAACATTTTCAACTTTATGTAAATTATTGAAAAAAGGAAAGAAAATAAAAACAGATTCATTATGTGAAGATATTTCAAATTTGAATATAAAATTAGCATAAGAAGCAGATAAAGATAGATAATAATTATTAGAGATTAAACAAGAAGAATATGAGAATTAGAATGATATTTATGATAGTATAAAAAAGAAAGTTTATGAATATTGTAATCAGAGTATACATAAATTAATAACTGAATTGGAAACAGGTGGAAATATTAGATTAGAAGAAGGGAAAGCAAATGAGAAATGGTATGTTTCTTGTGTTGACCTTATCAATTCAAGATTTCATTCTGAAAATATGGCTTAATATGGAATTAAAGATATTCAAATTAAAAGAGTAGTTAGAATACACAATAAATTCATTAGAAATAAATTTGAAGAAAAAATGGAATCTCTTGTAGATGTATCCAATCAAAGTCATAAAAAGTCATTAGAATATCTATTTTATGGAGTAGATCCAAATTTTTAATCTGAAATTTATAATGTAATTGAGGAAGGATTCAGAGGTTTTTAAGTAAATAAATAATTTAAAATAAGGAATCAAAATCTATTGGATTAAGTGCTTATACACCTTTAGTAAATAGTATTTTAGGAGCAGATGCATCAAGAATTCAATATATTTTAAATGGATAGGAACATAAATAAAAATTGAATAAAAGATTTATTAAAAGAAGGTAATGTATATTAAATATGTCAGATTATAATAATAAAATTATAATGTAATACCTCCAGGAGTCTTACTTATTTGTAAAGTTCTTATGATTAAGTCTGTTCCAGATTTAAAATATCCATATTTCAATCCTGAATAACCATGGAGTGAGATGTTTTAAAAATAATCAATTGATGGAAGATAATATTAAGATGAATATACAGTTTATAGATTAATGGAGAATGATCCAAAACATAAATTATGGTTTGTTTTAGATAACAATTTAGTTTTACCAGAATACTTTGCAGAATTTGAATATGTAATGAAATCACCATTATAAAATAAAATTGCTGACTTTGGTTCTGCATTAGGTGTTTTAGAATAAGAAGATGATGATTTCATTACTCCTGCAAATTTAAATTTATAAAAGGTAGGCATAAATGATTTGTATAATTAATTGGCTGATGATTTAAATACTTATTAATTTGAAAATTTAGAAGAATATCCTACTTATGAACTTAAAGCATAAGATTTAGATAGATCAGAATGTGCTTCTTTAAAACCAGCTTTAATAAATTATTTTTAATATTGTCTTAGTAGATCAACTTTGTATGAATTAAATCCAAATCTAGTTGGCACACCAGACTTAAATGAAATTCTAAAGAACTAAACTTAATTTTTAAATTTAAGTAATTGTTGTGTATAAGATATTACTTTTGTAAAAGGATAATTTCATACTCTAATTTTAAGTTATAATAAAATAAGTACTATTAATGGTTTGAATGAATTACCAAATTTGGTTAGATTAGATTTATCACATAATGAAATAAGTAATCTAAATGGATTACAAAATTTGAAAAGTTTGGAAGTTTTAGATTTAACACATAATAATATTTAAGATATTGATTAGATTGCTTTACTTAAATATAATTAGTCATTAAAATATTTATGTGTTGTCTTTAATCCAATTAATGAATATAAAGAAACAAGAAAAGAAATAGTAATGGTTTTAAATAATCTATAATATTTGGATCATTTACCAGTAACTGATGAAGATAAAGAGAAAACTAATAATCAAAAGTAATTAATTACAACTGCCATGCTTCAATCTTTTAGTAAAGTCTAAATGGATTGGAAATAAAATATTCAATCAGTAATGATTACTCATTAGAAATTAAGTAGTATGAAAGGTTTGGAAGGTTTAGTTTAATTAAGACACTTAAATCTGGGACATAATAAAATAACATAAATTACTTCATTATAAGATTCAGTACTTTTGGAAGAATTAAATTTAGAAAAGAATTCAATTATACAAATTTAAGAATTAGATAATATGTAATATTTAAAGAAGTTGGAATTAGGAGGAAATAAAATATCAACAATAGAAGGTATTTAAAATTTGATTAATTTGATGCAATTATCATTGGAAGACAATGCTATACTTCATTTAAGAGAGTTTCCAGATCTTAAAAGTCTTATGGAAATATATTTAGGAAATAATAATATTACTAATTAAAAGGAAATTAATAATATCAAACATTTGCAAAAATTAATCATATTAGATCTTTCTGGAAATCCTTTTGCTAGAGACACTAATTATAGAGCTTACGTACTCTACATTATTCCAAAACTTAAGGTTTTAGATGGCATTTCTATTGAAATTTAGGAATAATAGATGGCTAAAAATTTATATACTGGTAGATTGACAGAAGAGATTCTGTATTCTAGATTATAAGGATAACCAGCTAATAAAATAACAGAATTGTGTTTATAAAATTGTGAATTAAGAGATTTTGAAGATGTATTTAATGTTTAATAATTTCCATAACTTGTTGAATTAGATTTGAGTCACAATTTATTTACTTCTACAAAAATGCTAGGATTTTTACCTTAATTAAAGATTTTAATTTTAGCATCAAATAAAATTGATACTCTTCTTTATCCAAATGATATTAATTAAAAAAAAGGATTAAATGGATGTTAATAATTATAAATTTTAGATATCTCTTAAAATTGTTTAAAAGAATTTAATGGATTATAATATTGTTTACTTAAAGAATTAAAAATTATGAAATGTGAAAAAAATGAAATTATTAGAGTTGATTTTTTAGAGAATTTAAAATAATTAAAGGAATTAGATTTAAATTAAAATAAAGTAAGATAATTTGATCCTTAATCATTTGCTGGATCCAATCCTATTAGATGTTTGAAAATAGATGGTAATGGACTTAAGAATTTTTAGAATATTTAAAAATTATATAAATTATTGGTATCTGTAAATTCATTAAATTTAGCATTTATTTGCTAATTCAAATAGAATTAATGATCTACCAGACATTGAGCATTTAGTTCCATTAACATAACTTAAAGAATTAGAATTAGTTGGAAATTCTTTAAGTAGAAGACCTGGTTATAGATAGATGATACTTAGAAAATTGCCAACAATTTTATATCTGGATGGCAGAGTATATAAATTATTCTATTTCTTCTCTAGGAAGTTACATAAGAAGAAAGAGAGAGACTAGAATTAGTTGATCGATAAGCTGTTCTTCCAACTATGTAAATTTAATAATAGCCCAATACAAAAGTTCCTGTTAAATTAAGTTCAATCAATTTTGATGGAATCTTTAGTAAATGAAAATATCAATAATTTCTATTTTAAGAATTATTAAACATTATTATTATTTATCCAAAATAATAAATGTAAATTAATTAAAACTATCTTTGAATATCTTTTTGTTATTATTACTATATTTCTATTCGTATTTGAAGATTAATTAAAATTAATATCATTATAATTAAATCTATATTTACAACAAAATCAAATTAATTAATTCAGTATTTTCTTACTTATATATAATTTAAAGAGCATCTTTGAATTTAATTTTTAATGCAATACCAAACAGGAAAATTCATGGATTTTAATTAATAGTAGTGACAAATTAAGAATGGATGAGTTGAAACAAATAGAATAAGAATAATACTACATTAGTTACAGTAAGTATTATAAATGTTCTAATTCATGTTATTTATAAATCTAATAAAATTTATAAAAATATTTATTTGTATTTGAAAGAAAAAAGAGAGAGAGTACTAATATATTGATTTACAATTTTAGATGGAAGTTTTAAAAGTTGAATTTTTTGAAAAAGGATAGGTTATTGAAGAATTGTAGATTCAAAATTAGAATTTGATGGATGATATATCATAATTACGAATTGCTTTATGAGATAAGATGAAAAATCAAGATAAAGAGATATATAGATCCAAGAAATATAGATTAGAAAAGGATGATTTATTGAGATAAATTTAAGAGTTAAATGATTTAGTTTAACATTTGAGAAAGGATAATGATAATTTGAATATGAGTTAAAAAAATATAAATTTATTCGTTATATTTGGATTAATAGAGTCAATAACAAGAACAGAGAATCTAATGGGAAGTAGAAAATGAGCAATTGAAAGCTGAAATTAAAAAATTAGATAATCTATTATTTGCCATTGAATTGAAAAATTATAAACATGAGAGAAAGAAAATTTAGAATGAAATCAAATAGAATGGGATAGAAATAAATAAATAATGAGAGGATTTAAGCAAGTAATAGTAGAAAATAGTTAAATTGCACTAATATAAGGAAAATCATCATTAAATGAAATATTAGTTTAAAGAATTTAGATAGATTTATAGAAATAATAAAGTAAGACAATGAAAACTTGAAATTGAAATTGAAGAGATAATATGAAAAGGAATAAAGTGAGATAAAGATGAAATTTGAAATTGATAGAGTTTAATTTTTATTTAAATTTTAAGTTAGATAAGATTTAATTTCAGTAAGAAATTAAGAGGTTGAAAAGTTAAATGAATTATATAAATGTAAGTAAATTTCTTGAGTTTTTAAAAACTTAATTTAATTTTCATATATTTTTGAATTCTCTTTTTTTGAATAAATATTTTAATTATAAAAGTGCTAGAATTTTATAAGTATATCTTTAATAAAATCAATTTATCTTATTCTAATTAATCTCTCAAAAACTTATTATTCATAAATTTTATTGATATTTTACATATCCATATTATTTTAATTAATTCCAAACGTATTTTTAATATTGAGGGTCTCAAAATATGATATAATATTAATTATAGATTTAATCAAAAGCTTTTTGTATTATTTATTTTTAATCTTTTAAATAATGACAAACTTATTTATAATAGTATTCTTATCATCTGAAATTTAAAATATATATATTTGATTTATCAATTCTCACTTGATGTTGACATATAATTTCTTAACTTATTCTGGTAATTCTTTAAAGAATGGATGTTCACAAGCAGCTTTGGCTGTGATTCTTTAATCTGGGTTGGTTTTAAGCATTTTGATCAATAAATCTAAACCATCTGGATCAAGTCTTGGACAAAACTTAGCCAAATTATCAGGTTGATATTGTTCAAAGTTTTCAGGTTTCCAATTTGGAAGATCGTTCAATTTTGGATATTCCTAAATTAGAAAAAGAAATTTACAATTGGTGTTGGAGTTCCCAAGACTCTGAATATTTTTTTTAATTAATCTGTTTCATTACTTCCTGCAAAAAGAGGTTTAAGATTTGACATTTCTGCAAAGATACAACCTACACTCCATATATCTATTGATGTATTATAGTTTTTAGAGCCCAACAAAACATCTGGTGGTCTATACCATAAAGTGACAACTTCATGAGTGAAACTTTTGACAGGTATTCCACTAGCTCTAGCAAGTCCAAAATCAGCAAGTTTAAGTATTCCATCTTTTGAAACCAAAAGATTTTAAGGTTTAAGATCACGGTGTAATATTTTTTATTAATGACATGCTTATATTCCTCTTAAGAGCTAATAGAGAAAACTCTTGACAATGACGGGTTCCATGCCTTTCTCTTTAGGGAATTGAGCAAAGAATTTCTTTAGATCCATTTCAACATACTCAAAGACCAGTACAAGCTTCTTATTTGAATGCACAACTTCCATTAATCTAGATAGTGTAAATATTACTTCACAATATTTGGATGATTTAACTCTTTTAGAAGAGATATCTCTCTAATTGCTGTACTTGGAATACCTTCTTCTTCTGATTCTAGTCTAATTTTCTTTAATGCCACATAATCATTTGTGTTTCTGTCTAAATGCAAATAATATAATGATTTATACCTAATGCCTTGTACACAATTCCGTAAGTACCTTCTCCAAGTTTCTCTTTCTTCTCGTATTTCTCCAATTTATTAGATTTCATAATATTAAAATATTAATGTACGATTTTTATTTTCATTTTCAATCAAACAAACCACCCATATCAACATCTTCTTCTGGTTCTTCAACTTTCTTGACTTCTTTAACTGGCTCTGCCTTTTTGGTCTCAGCAACAACAGGAGTTGATGTTGTTTAAGCTTATGGACCACTATTTGCACTTCCACTGCTACCATGTAACAAATCACCAATTCTTTTGCCCTTAAGTGCTTTCTCAAAAACTTTAGTCCAAATTGGTTCAACTCTCAAATTTGAAGCCTTAATAATCTTAGCTAATTTAGTGGAATCAATCTTATTATCACATTTTCAAGTACATCTTAATTGTCTTCATATAAAATGAGAGCTGCGTATGTACATGCAGCTTCAGATGTAGCTTAATCTGCAATTGGTCTAGTGTCTTTTGCTGCTTTGGCCATTTGATTTTTTAAAATATTAATTAAAAAAAGATATACAAATTAATGCTCTTCTCAATCTCACCTTAACCTCCATTTCAAATTCATCATAGAAAACAAACTACTTTTCAAGTTATCAATATGGTTGATCATCCAATCCTTTTTAGATTCAAAAATGATAATCTTCTAAGAATAATGCCTTCTTATGGTATGATTGCTCCCAACGAAAGGAAATTAATTTCTGTTACCAATAAAACTAGTCAATTTGATATTGATGTTTTATTAGAAGCTATTAATTATGTTGAAGAATATCTTGATATGCTTGAGTATTCCAACCCACAATTATGGGTTGAAAAATAACCTGGTGTATTATCAACTCAAATATGTTCTATAAGAATGAACATCAATACAGATTCATCTAGCACCTAGTAATCAGATAAAAAACAAACTTTTGAAGAAGTTATGAAATAAGAACCTATGCAATTACAAAGATCATAACACACTTTTAGTCGGTTATAAGAATAAATTGTTCATAAAAATAGTCTTGATGGTTAAGAAAGTAGAACTTCAAATATATTTAATAATAATCCAAGTATAAGTCCCATACTGTAGGATGCAAGCAGATTAAGTGCTAATATGAGTAGAGATGTAAAATAACCGACCTTTTTTACAGAAGCTTATGAGATACCTCAAGAGCCTATTGAAAAATTCTAAGATAAAATGGATCCTGAATAAAGTTATAATAATGAACCTTATGAATCTGGTAATTTTAGATGCAATGATGAAGAACGATCAAATCATGAAGTATCAGGAATACGATCTTAAACTTCTATTATGAAAGTTGAATAAGCGTAATTAATTTCTACTTTAAAATAAAAAGAACAATAGATTCTCAAGTAAATTGATTAAATCAAGACAAGCAAAGATTAGTTGAATGATGAATTAGAAAAATTAAAATTTAAAGCAATGTTCAAAAATAAAGATAACAATAAATGTAAGACAATTATAATTATTTATAGAGGATTAATAAATATTAATTGGACATCTATTAATCGTTAGTGTTATATGTCTAATTTTAGGAGCATTGTTAAAAAAGATTTAATAACTTTTTTNGAGCTGCGTATGTACATGCAGCTTCAGATGTAGCTTAATCTGCAATTGGTCTAGTGTCTTTTGCTGCTTTGGCCATTTGATTTTTTAAAATATTAATTAAAAAAAGATATACAAATTAATGCTCTTCTCAATCTCACCTTAACCTCCATTTCAAATTCATCATAGAAAACAAACTACTTTTCAAGTTATCAATATGGTTGATCATCCAATCCTTTTTAGATTCAAAAATGATAATCTTCTAAGAATAATGCCTTCTTATGGTATGATTGCTCCCAACGAAAGGAAATTAATTTCTGTTACCAATAAAACTAGTCAATTTGATATTGATGTTTTATTAGAAGCTATTAATTATGTTGAAGAATATCTTGATATGCTTGAGTATTCCAACCCACAATTATGGGTTGAAAAATAACCTGGTGTATTATCAACTCAAATATGTTCTATAAGAATGAACATCAATACAGATTCATCTAGCACCTAGTAATCAGATAAAAAACAAACTTTTGAAGAAGTTATGAAATAAGAACCTATGCAATTACAAAGATCATAACACACTTTTAGTCGGTTATAAGAATAAATTGTTCATAAAAATAGTCTTGATGGTTAAGAAAGTAGAACTTCAAATATATTTAATAATAATCCAAGTATAAGTCCCATACTGTAGGATGCAAGCAGATTAAGTGCTAATATGAGTAGAGATGTAAAATAACCGACCTTTTTTACAGAAGCTTATGAGATACCTCAAGAGCCTATTGAAAAATTCTAAGATAAAATGGATCCTGAATAAAGTTATAATAATGAACCTTATGAATCTGGTAATTTTAGATGCAATGATGAAGAACGATCAAATCATGAAGTATCAGGAATACGATCTTAAACTTCTATTATGAAAGTTGAATAAGCGTAATTAATTTCTACTTTAAAATAAAAAGAACAATAGATTCTCAAGTAAATTGATTAAATCAAGACAAGCAAAGATTAGTTGAATGATGAATTAGAAAAATTAAAATTTAAAGCAATGTTCAAAAATAAAGATAACAATAAATGTAAGACAATTATAATTATTTATAGAGGATTAATAAATATTAATTGGACATCTATTAATCGTTAGTGTTATATGTCTAATTTTAGGAGCATTGTTAAAAAAGATTTAATAACTTTTTTGATACTAAATGAACAATAATCACTATATCAATACATTCCTTCCATTCCTCCCATGCCTCCCATATTTGGGGCTCCTCCTGCTTTTTCATCCTTTTTTCCTTCAACAATCATACATCTAAAATAGAATTATAATTTTACTCTGTTGTTGTCATTAAACTGGCTACTGAAGCAGCATCAACAAGTGCAGTTCTTACAACTTTTGTTGGATCAATGATACCAGCCTTTATCATATTGACATATTATGATTTTGAAGCATCATATCCGAATTCTTCATCTTTTCCTTCTAACAATTTTCCAACAACAACAGCTCCTTCTTCACCAGCATTTTCAACAATGGTTCTGCATGGTAATTCAATAGCCTTTTTAACAATTTGAATTCCAATGTTCTAATCAAAATTATCTCCCTTAAGTTTATCCAAAACTCTTGTTGCATACAATAAAGCACATCCACCACCTTAATATTTATTTAATATTTATACCTACAACAATGCCCTCATCAATAGCAGCTCTAGTTGCATTAAGTGCATCAGTGATTCTGTCTTTAATTTCTCCAACTTCAACTTCTGAAGCACCACCAACTTTGATGACTCCAACTCCACCTTATAATTTAGCCAATCTCTCTTTGAGTTTATCTTTATCATATTCAGAATTTGATTCTGTGATTTAAGCCTTGATGATTTCACATCTTTCACTGATACTATCTTTTGATCCAATACCATCCATAATAATAGTATCATCTTTGGTGATAATAACTGATTTGCATTATCCAAGAACAGTGTGATCTGACTTTTCCAATGTCAATCCAACATCTTCTGTGACTACTGTGGCTCCAGTTAAAACAGCAATATCATTTAAGATTGCTTTTCTGTTATCCTAAAATAATGAAATAAATTAATACTCCAAAAGCAGGGGCTTTGACAGCACATACTTTAAGACCTCCTCTTAATTTATTTAAAACCAATTAAGCTAAAGCTTCTGATTCAACATCATCAGCAATAAGTAAAAGTGGTTTATTTTCTCTTACAACATGTTCCAAAATTTAGAGAATTGATTAAATATTTGAGATCTTCTTATCAGTGATCAAAACATATGGTTTTTCGAATTCTGTCTTTTAAGTCTTTGGATCTGTAGCGAAATAAGGACTAATGTATCCTCTGTCGAATTTCATACCCTCCACAAATTCAATTTCATGGTTAAGGGTTTTACCATCAGATACTGTGATGGTTCCATGTTCTCCTACTTTATCCATAAGTTCTGCAATCAATTTTCCAATTTCAACATCTCCATTAGCAGAGATTGTAGCTACACTTTCAATCATTTCCTTTGATTTAACTGGTTTTGATCTGTTTTTCAAATCCTTAACAACTGCATCACATGCCAAATTGATACCTCTTCTTAAGTCCATAGGCTAAAAAGGATATATATATAAATTATTACATTAAGTCCAGCTGCGACACTCTTGACTCCCTCTTTGAAGATAGCTCTAGCCAAAACTGTGGCTGTTGTTGTGCCATCACCAGCTTCATCATTAGCTTTAGATGCCACTGACTTTACTAATTAAGCTCCAATATTTTCGAATCTGTTAGAGAATTCAATTGCTTTTGCTACTGTAACTCCATCCTTTGTAATTTTTGGACCACCAAATTGTTAATCAATAACAACATTTCTTCCTTTTGGTCCAAGAGTTGTTTGAACTGCATCAGCTAATTTGTCACAACCACGTAACATTTATTGTCTGCATTCTTATCCAAAACTTAATTCTTTTCCTGCAAAGAAAACTGGAGTAGATACAAGTGATTTTCCCAATACAATATTGCCAAAGAGCTTTCTAGATGAAGAAATCATTAACAATTTATAGACAAATAATTTATTAGTGAAAATTACCCACAATTAAATTAAATAGTCTCTGAATAGTATATTCTAGAAATTCTAGATTAAATTTATTTATTTTTATATACTCAATATCTTTTTTAACCTCGTTGTTGTTTCTTCTCTTACCTCTATTCTTATTATTCTTTATTTACAATTTCCTCTTTTGGGACATAAATATCATAAGGACTAGCTTTTGAGTTTAAATTCTTTTTTCCTTATTGTTGTTTATTATTATTTTATTTCTGTTGATATTATTATGTTTATTAGATTTCTTATTTCTCTTCATATTCTAATTGATTTTTCGGCTTGTTAGTTCCAACATATCCACCATCTCTATTTCTCTCCTTTTATAGAACCTTCTTCTAATCATTATTACCTTAAGGTCTATCATCCCGATCATAATCTTCCCTTCTATAAGCATCATCATTCCTTGAATATTCTTGATTTTTATTTTTATTTCTATTATCTTATTTTTATTAATTATTATTGTTATAATTTTTTCTTTAAAAATCATTATTGTTGTTTTGATAGTGATTATCCTTAACAAATACTTTAATAGACTTTTCTTAATAAGGTCGATTATCATTATTATTATTATTATTATTATTATTATTATTATTATTATTATTATTATTATTATTATTATTATTATTATTATTTCTATTTCCATTATCTCTTTTAAATTACTCATCCTCTTCATCACTAAATCCTTATTCATTATGTTTTTGTTTATATTATTATTACTATTTATTTGGATTTTTAAGAATTTTTATTTATTTATCATTATTATTATCTAAATTCTAATAACTCATACTATGTCCTGAATTGATCTATGAATTTTATGATTTCTTTAAAGGTTTTGCATATCTAATGAAATGATCATTAGGAACATAATCATCCTCCTCATCTTCATCACTACTTTTGTATTCTTTTTCAGGTCTTTATAAAGCTTCTTGATAATCATATGTATCATCAGGTTCATCATTATAAAGTTTAGCTGTTATTTCAGCCATTTCAATCCTATCTTTTAATGGTTAATCAAATGTCATTTTTTATTTCTTTTTTGATACTATTTCAATTAATTTTTCTTCTGCTTGAACTGGTTCATCCTAATTTTGTTCTTCTTCAACTTCACATTCTTGCTATTCAATATCTTATTTCTCCATTGCTTCTAATATATCAAGTGGAAGTGTTGATTAAGTAGGATCAAAGTTTTCAAAAACATCAAAATTTTCAGGTTCATCATTATTGGCTTTACCTTTAAGTCTTTCTCTCTCTTCCATTACTGTAGTCATTAGAAGAGTAACTTCTTCAATATCCTCTTTTGGCAGATTAATTTAATTCCAAGGTGTATTCATTAATAATTCAATCATATTAAAACCGTTTTCATAAAGAGCTTCAAATAGAATCCATTCTTTATTTTGATTTTAATTACCCTTTTTTGATTTAAACTTTCTTTTCATGATACCAAAATTCTATATTAAATAATTCATATGTTCTTAAGATTATTTAATCTATTTTGTCACAATCAATTCTTCAAGATATTTCATATAAATAACAAAGAAATCAATAAATCTTTATACAGCTTGTTTAAGGAAGTGATGTAAATGTTATAAAAATTATGGTTTCCAAACACCTGAGATTTATGTGGTTCCTCTACTATATCCTTTAGCCAGAATCAATTCATAAAAAATCTATTCAAAACATGATATGATTTCTGTTTTAAATAGATATTGTTTTTATGGGAAATATTTTGCCCAAACTATTACTGTTTCAATAGAATCTAAAATTAATGTGAGTAATTCCATTTTTTATTAAACATCACTAATAATTATTTCATTTTCATTTGCTGATTTATTATTTATTTAAAATATTTCTTCATAAATCTTAACAAGAACATTTTTCATAAAGGAATCTATTGTAGATTTGTAATCATCTTAGTATGCTTAGTAATTGAACACAAATTAACAAATTTTCTTAACACCATCTAAGTTTATAAAATAATTATTATTACTCTCATTTTAGTCTGCATATATTGTGCAGATATCAGTCAATTTCATGACATCAAAGATCCATTTTTAATATACTAAATCATATACACCAATTTGTTCATATAAAATTGAATCTTCATTTTATAAATCTATTAATCTTAAATAGATAGCAAAGACACATTTAAATATCTCTTTGATTAGTACTCCATAGTATCCTGTGAAATGTAAGGGTTCTTTAAGAAAGTGTTTTCTTGGTGCGTATCTCAAGAAAAGGTCCAAAGAATTTTGGAGATTTAAATTGTAAGAGAGTGTAGCCCAAAATTTATTAGGTGGATATTCAAGTAGAGTCTTATAATCCCCTAGTATTTTTTAAGCTAATTTGATATTGCCATTATTCTATTTTTATAATAAATAAGACTTACATCATAGTCATCACCAAGAAGGGAAAAGAAATGAGATTGATCACTCTCATTTATGTCTTGAGATAGGACTTTTTTGGTTTATTTTTGAGTATGCTTCTGTTTTTTAGACATAAATTAAAATATTAAAGAATTTACGATGATGAATTCCTCAGCTGATAAAACACCATTGTTTAAATTTATCATAATTGGAGAAAGCGGTATTAATTAAATGAATCTTTGAGGTGTCGGGAAGTCATGTTTGCTATTAAGGTATACAAAAGACGAATTTGTCTCTGAATACAATGTTACAATCGGTGTGGAATTCTCTTCTAAAACAGTGGAAGTGGATTCTAATACAAAAATTAAGTTACAAATATGGGATACAGCTGGATAAGAGTCTTTCAGATCAATAGTAAGATCCTTTTATAGGAATGTTACAGCAGTATTTTTAGTCTATAATATTACAAAGTATAATTATAATATATATGACATAGACGAGATACATTAGAGAAATTGGATGGATGGTTAAAAGAGGCAAAGGAGAATGCTTCACCAAATATCGTGACTGTTTTGGTTGGTGCTTAAAATGATTTGGAGGATCAGTACAATTCTATATCATTTTTAGACGCCAAGTCTCATATGATGAAGGAAAGTCATTCATAGATGAGAAGGGAATTAATTTATTTTTTGAGACGAGTGCTAAAAACAATTAAAATGTTGAATTGGTATTGAGTGAATTCTATTATATGCATTCACCGAAGCAGCCAAATTGGTTTTCTTAAACTATATAAATGAAACAGTGCGTAAAAATGAAAACAAAGTCTCTATTGCATTATCCGAATCCCATGATAATCCATAGCAGTAGCTACAACCATAGAAGAAAAAGAAAAAAGATGACTCAGGGTGTTGTTGAAAAAAAGTGTAAAACCAACAATACATATTAATACATATATCTATGTTTAATTTCACATTTTATGCATTCTCATTTCCAAAACCTAATATTTTTTTTAGGTTTTTCAAAATTTGTTCAATCAAAATTCTAATCTATTCCATTTCATTTTTTATTTAGATTTTGTTTATATATATTTATTCTCCTATCTTCTTATTAAATAAAATACAATTTTTTATTTTGAATGACTCAATATGAAGACATAGATTTAATTGAATTCTGGATTAGTTCCTTTCATTTTAATAAGATTAACAAAAATATATAATAATATAGAACTAAAAATTGTTTTTATTCAGATTTTCACCAAAAAGCATTAATAAATTATTTAATTATTAGCAGTTTTGAGAGTGATTAACAGTTCTAAGCCTATATAGATTATAATTAGACCAGAAGAATAAACTATTAAAAATTTTAATTATACATTTAAATTGTTTATTTATCAGAAAGTAATAGAATGATAAAATAAAACTATAAAAATTTACAGTTTATAGTAATAATAATGAAAAACCCTATAGAATTTCCTTAATATCTTCTTATAAGATTATAATTTCTTTAATGAATTTTAGGGCATCAAGTTTGTTCTAAAGAAATATTTTTTTAAGACTATTACAGTTTAACAGCGAGTCTTTGTCAAAAGGATAATATAATGTTATCCCATTTTCAATTAAACTAAGCTAATTTTATTCATTAAATAAAGCAAAAACATCTATTCTTTAAATGTATATATAACTAATTCTATACAAATTATAAAATGTTGTAAATATATAGGACATAACAAGAATTTAAAGAACAATATAGTATAGAAGCAAGCATCCTCATTAAAAATCTACACTCAGGTTATATAGTCATCATTATTAGTATTTTCTTCTATGATCTTACTATTATTTTAATCTTTTTTCTTACTAGCTTTTTCATTTCTTAGGAAGAATATTAATAATTAAATTTTAGCCAACACACAAAAATAAGAATGTGACGAATTTTTCAATATCTTTTTTTATTTTCATCTCAAAATTATGCTAAATACTATATAAACAACAAACTTGGCTATACAAAGAAAAGGATCACTGTTATAATTAGAAATAAAAGTTGTTCATCTTTTTACTTTATAATACTATTAAAAAATAATATAATATCATTATCTAAAGTTCCTTAAAAGAAATATATTAAATATTCTGAAATTTTAATTTGATTTTAAATTTTTTTTGATTGATTTTTCTATAAATTCGAAGCTATAAGTAAATAATAAAAAAAGTAATGTTTAAAATATTCATATTAATAATAATTAATTCAAGAAAGAGATTTAGCTTTTGGATAAGTTTAATTCAGAGTTCAAATATGAAATTTTTATGATTTATCTTTTTATTGATTCTCTTTAGAATACAATTTAATATTCCTTATTATTTTAGTCTTAGTTTTTACAAGTTTAATAAAATTCATCATCCATATTGATGATGATCATGAGTATTCTAAAAATGAATATACATTTAAGATAATAAATTAGTAAAAATATAAAATCAAGTATGAATGTTTTCATGTCTCTATAATAATTAGACTAATTACCAAGGGATTTCATAAAAAGAAAAATCATGATCAACTTAGAATGTATAAACTAATATTGATAAAACTAGAAACTAAATATAAGGTAATTGATGAAGCAGTTCAGCTGTTAGAATGGAAGATCACACCTTCTGAAGTTGAATGCCATATCTTTTGGAAAGATACTTATGTAACTGATGAAGAATATCGTCGTTTATTACCATACTAGAGAATTAATCATTTTCCTGGATCTTATATGTTAGGGAAAAAGAATGAACTATGTCGTAATTTAAATAGAATGAGGAAAATGTTTCCTGACGATTATGATTTCTTTCCAAGAACATGGCAATTACCTTATTAAAGTGAAGAGGTCAGACAAAAATAGGGAAAAGCTATCTTTATTGTTAAACCAGAAGCAAATTGTTAAGGCAGAGGAATATTTCTTACCAAAAAATTAGATCCATTTCTTGATAAGCACTATGTAGTATAAGAATATCTAAGTAATCCATATTTAATAGATGGATTGAAATTTGATCTAAGGTATAAATTTATTAAAATATTAGAATATATGTACTCCTAAAATCTATCTATCCATTGAAAATATTTATGTATCAAGAGGGTCTTGCAAGGTTTTCAACTAAAAAATATGTAAAACCTTAAAAGAAAAATCTAGGAAGTGTTACAATGCATCTAACAAATTATGCTATTAATAAAAGAAGTAAAGATTTCGTATTCAATAATGATACTAATAAAGATGATGTTGGACATAAAAGATCACTGTCATCTGTATTGAAAGTAATAATATGAAGTATCCAAAGTATTTACAAGATCAAGGTCATGATATAAATTAATTACTAAATCAAATAAAAAAAGTGATTGTTAAGACTATATAAAGTGTATAAGGAGATTTGACTCATCTATATAGATCATAATAACATAATACCGATGGCATTGAATAGTGTTTTGAATTATTTGGATTTGATATTCTCTTAGACTCTTCCCTTAAACCTTGGTTACTCGAAGTTAATCACACTCCATCATTTTCGACAGATACACCATTAGATAAAATTATTAAAAGAAATCTGATTAGGGATACCTTAATACTTCTGGATGTCAAAAATAAACCCAAAAAAATATACTTAGATTAAAAAAGAGCTCCTGTTTATTAGAGACCAATCAAAATGAGTTTAGAGGAAAAAGAGAAATAATAAATCAAAATGAGTCTTTATGAAGACAAACATTTAAATGGTTACATCAAAATCTATCCTGATGAAGTACATTTATATCTATTAACAGGAAGATTAAAGATTATTATGAATAATTTATGCCTCCTAAACTTAAGGAAAGAGATAGTATGATCAATTAATAGCTTGAATAATTTAAGAATGTAGAAAGAGCATTAAAAAACTATATTGAGGTTAAACCTTCAAAATCAAAAAATGCTAAAAGGCTATCTACAAACTAGTCTTTAAGTGATTTGGATGGTTAATCTTTGTAATAATTAACAGGAAGAAATACTGTAATTCCTTAGACTAGAGCTGTTTCTTAATAACGTCCTTTTAGTAGCATTACAACAATAAATAGAACAATTAGTGCTGTAAGAAAGCCTGTCTTATCAAATTAATACTAAAATTTAAATACATCTTAAAATTAAAAAAGATTAGTTTACCCTTCGCCTGTAGAATTTCACCCAAAACCTGTTTATAAAATGATTCCTATTAAAAACTTTAGTTTCTAGAAAATTGAGAATAATCAGAAAAATGAATGAATCACGTTAATGTACTTTATATTTATAAGTTATTAATAAAATTATAAATAATTAGAAGAATTTTAAGAAATTAAGATAATTCTGTATTCAAATAAACTATATTTACTAATCATTTATTAAATCTGCTTAATAAATGGATGAATAAAATGATTATGATTTAATGTCCATATATTATTAGTTAAGTGATAATAGACTTTAGTGAATATAGAGCATTAATTAATTGGATATGTTAATTAAATGAAGAGTTAATTATTTAACTCACTTTTATAAATACTAAAAAAATTTAAAGGTTTTAATTAATAAATAAAGCCTCATGATAGTTTAATTAATTCATAACTTATTTGATTAGCTTTATTAAATCTATTATTATATAATATATGAAATTTACTTAAATTGTTATCAAAAACCCAATATATAATTATAAAAATATTCTAATTATATATATATAATATTATTTATACATTCAGTAATCTAAAAAAATATTTTCTAAATATAATTATATAAAATATATATAATTTATTATCATGATGATGAATTGTTATATGGCAAGAGCAAAACAAAATCCAAAAATAGAGAGACAAATAAACCATTAGCATGCTCCTCCAGATTCCTTTTAAGGATCACTTAGTGGTTAAATAATCTTTATATTATTAGATTCTAGTATTTGTAATGTTGATGATACATGTAGAGAACAACAAGCTATTGAGATTAAGCAAGTAACTTTATAGAATTTCTAATCAAATAATGTAGAAATTGTTTTACCAAAAAAGAAAGAAAAAATATTTAGTTCAAAATTGAAAACATGTTGTGTTGATTAATAATATGTAGAAAATTTTAAAGTATGTAAAATGACACCTGGAATTTCAGAACATAAAATAAAAAACCCATTTTAAAGTACTTAATAACCAATTAGAAAGTTGAGTGATATACAAAGTGTTACTGATAGGGAATCATAATCCAGATAAAGTAGTTAAAGAGATTTAAATTCATAAAAAGAATCAAAATAAAATATCAATGTTATTAAATAAATCTCTGTTGCTAATAAAATTGATAGATCTAAAGTTGCTGCTAGTTATAGTTAATTAGCTTCAAAATTATATACTGCTGATTAATCTCCTTAAATTATACATAATCCATAAAAATTATAAGAAAAAGCTTTGATTGTTCATTAATCATTAAATAAACTCAACACTGCTCAAAATCATCTAATATCTTCTCCTGTCAATTTTAATACATCACCTAAATCTTCTAAATAAAAATATATATTGTCTGAATAAAGTGAGTGTTTTTAAGATTTACTTAAAGACAAAAAATAGCCTTAATAATCAACATAATAAACCTAAACATAATAAGATTAATCTCATAGATAAATTGAAAAAATCTTATCTGAAAATGAGATTTTATTTAAATAACTTAATAATGGGAAGTAATAAATATTTACTGAAGGAATTAAAAGTGAAGCTAATATTATCAGATAACCAATTATTGCATTTAAGAAACATAATACAATCATTAATTTTAAACATATAATTTAGAGCATGCTTAATAATGATGTATCTAAATTCTAATCATTAATGAAAGGTATTTATTATTATTTAAAATAGACAGTAAATTTTAGTATTTAAATTAACATGATATCTTAGGTAATACTATTTTAATAACTATAACAAAATTGTATGGATTCCATAAGAAATATGATGAATTATTAAAAGAAGTATTAAAAATGAATCCAGATCCATTTATTAAAAATAAATTAACAGGATGGTCAGCTATGGATGAATCACTTTCTTAAAGATCAATATATGCAACAGCTTTATTATTTTAACAATGCTATAGAAATAAAAGAAATGAATTTTTAAATTAATTTCATTAATTGTCAACTGTATTACAATAAGTACCCAATTTTCAATTAGATATGAATTGGAATTTTGATAGTCCTTTACCTTTTATTAAATTATTAGCTCCTAATGATACCATTAAATTATACAAATATAAATAATAATTAAGATTAGATAGTACACTTGTAGGTTTTTCTAAACTCTAATGCAAACGTAGAAACATGTCTTTGTTGTTTAAATAAAATAAATTACTTTAAATTAATAGATCCAATCAATATTATACAGATCCTTTAGAAGAATTAGATACAGAAGAGAAAAAATTAATTATTTATGATATTTTACATAGTGAACCAGTTAGTGGAGCATTAGATATAACAAGTTGTACAATAAAATAATGTGTAGATTGGAGAGGTAGAAAAGTAATTGAATAAGTAGGATAATATTCTTGTGAGAAGTATTTATATTTATTAGATAGAGATTTGATATAAAGATTACATATAAAAGTTCTTATTTGAAGAAAAGTAATGATACTTAAATTAAATTTACAGTTGAGAGAGAATTTTATGAAGAATGGATATTAAATGATGTTTTACCTAATACAGATTTATTATTAAATTAGAAACCTAAAGAATAGAATGAAACTAGAACAATATCCTTATGGATTTGTAAAAATCATTCACTTCAATTTAAAGATTTTGCTAATATTGTATCTCTATTGGCAAAAGGTAATCATTTAATGGAAAAATTAAATGGGTTATTTTAAAGACCAGAAATGTAAGAGATTATTGAATTGAATGGATTTCCAATTAAAGTATAAATTCCATTTTAATTTTCAATACATGCTACTATTTAATGTTGCAATTTTGTATCTCTTGAAAATGCAGATGAATTATTTAATATTCCAAATATTAAATATATGCCAAGAAAAGAGGCATAAAAAATACTTCAAACTAAAAAAAAAAGATTATTATTGGCAAATCTATATTTATGATTATAATTAAATTATAAACATTATTCATTTTTCTTATGAATTTTAAATTCTACATTATTATAATTACTAATTTAATATTTAACGTATGCATAAAACCTATCAATTTGACTCAAATCAAAAACCAAAAATTAAAGACTTATGTTTGGAAGATAAAAAGAAAATTGGAAAATTAATTAAAAGATTGGCACAAGAAAGGGAAGAAAAAGAAATACTGTTAAAAAAATTAGCAGAGATGCAATAATCTGAATAAAAATAATAAAGATTATAAACTGAAATTGAAAAACTTGATGAAGAAATTTCACAATTATAAGATTAAGAGATGCTATCATAATATTAAACTCCTTAATTATAAACTTAAAGCAAATAAAAGCTATTATATAAATTTGAAAATGATGATGAAAATATTCATTAAAGTCCAAACTTTAAAGTTCTTAATCAAATTAATTAAGATTAAAGTTCCTCCTTTATCATACCTATTACATAAAGAGATTCTCCAATTAAAATTGATCAATAAATATAAACTTCTATTGTTCAATAACCTATTTTACAATAATCAATTGTATAATAAAAAAAGTCATCTAAAAAGAAGAAAGAAATACTAATGAAAAAGATACAAGAATTTGAAAAAATAGTAAACAGATTGAATTTTTCAAATGAATAAGTATTAAATTTAATTTATATAGAGTATTGAATTAACTACCAATAGAAAATCTGAAGATTAGAATTCTCAATTAAATAATACTAGTTATCTTCAAAATGTGTTTTAGAAATTATTAAATATTGAATAATAATCACTCCCAACTTAATAAACTGTTAGATCTGAATAATAGAGTGAAATACAATAAACATAATTATAGTAATAACCAAAATAATATAATGAAGATGATCTCATCATTTAATTATTAAATTCAGATACATCATCTTATAAACCTTAAAATTAAAATGTTGTAAATGCTTCCTCAAATGTTTCTATTTAATAAAAAAAGTAATAACATAGTAGGAACAATTCAACTATTATATAAAATGAGAATAAATAGAATAAATAAAAAATAACATTTGATCAAATTCCATCTCCTATTGTATAAGATGCATATTGCAAGAATGTTGTATAAAAATATAACTCTTTATTGCAAGAATTAAACAGATAGTAATGAATTTACTTGAACAGTAATTATAATTCACAATTAATAAATAACAATATATATTTTCTTAATATTTATAGATTATCTTATTAAATTTATAATTTTATATTAAATATAATATGTATCTTTATGATTTTATATACTTGATTAATTTATTTATATACTTAAAAATGATTATTTTTGTTATTAAAATATAATTCTAATATTTCTAATTCAAAATTATTTTAAAATGTTCATATATATATGCTATATTTATAAATAAAAATAGGTAGATAATGAATATTAATTATAATGCTTTGTCAATAATTGCAGCATCCCATATTTATTATATAAAATTTAAATATTTAGATATTAATTTATTAATGGTTAACCTCCGTCTCTAAAAAAGATTGGCATCTACTTAATTAAAGGTTGGTGTGAATAGAGTTTGGTTAGATCCAAATGAAGCTAGTGAAATCAGTCTTGCAAATTCAAGAATGTCAATTAGAAAATTGATTAAGGATGGCCTCATAATGAGAAGATTGAGAACAATTCATTCAAGAGCAAGAGCTAGAAGATACCTTGAGGCTAAGAGAAGAGGTGAGTGATTGATATTGATTAAATTTAATTAGGCAGACATACAGGTACTGGTAAGAGAAGAGGTACAAGAGAGGCTAGAATGCCAACAAAAGTACTTTGGATTCGTAGATAAAGAGTTTTGAGAAGATTGTTGAGAAAATATAGAGCTGCTAAAAAAATTGATAGATAATAGTAAAATAATTATGTATAATAATACATAGATATCATGAATTTTATTTGGCTTCAAAGGGTAATCAATATAAAAACAAGAAAGTACTTATTGAAGCTATCCATGAAACTAAATAAGAAAAGGTTAGAGTTGATAAGATTGAGAAAGAATAAAATGATAGAAGAGAGAAGAATAAGGCTTAAAGAGTAAAGAAAACTTAAAACAAGTTAGCAGCTGAATGATTTTTAAAACAAATAAACAGTATAATAATAAACATATGCATTATTCTTATTTAAGTTTGATTTCTATTTTTTTATATTAAAAAAGATTTAAAATTTTTTAGGTGAATGGTATGTTAAGCAATTTAATTTAGGCTGATAACAAAGTATAACCTGCTGCATAATAAGCTAAAGGAAAGAAAGGAAAAAAGAATTAAGGAGATGATTAACCAAAAGAAGTTGTTGCTACATTAGGACCAAATGTTGCTGGAAATGAATTAGTTTTTGGAGTTGCTCATATTCTCTCAACTTGGAATGATACTTTCATTCATATTACAGATTTGACAGGAAGAGAAACACTTGCAAGAGTCACAGGAGGAATGAAAGTCAAATCAGACAGAGAAGAATCATCACCATATGCAGCAATGCAAGCAGCTAAGGATGTTTATGAGAAGTTAAAGACACTTAAAATTAATGCTTTACATATTAAATTGAGAGCAAGAGGAGGTATATCTATTTATATCAATTGCACTCAGGTGTTGATACCAGATAACCAGGACCAGGAGCTTAAGCTGCTCTTAGAGCTCTTGCTCGTTTGGGATTGAAAATTGGAAGAATTGAAGATGTTACTCCAATTCCAACAGATTCAACTAGAAGACCAGGAGGTAGAAGAGGAAGAAGATTATGAAAAGTAAAATTACATTACATTATTCAAATACATTAACAATCACTTTTTTAAAGCATGTATGTTTTCAGGGAATTGGCAATGTCTCAATAAATTTTAATATCTTATTGGGTCTGTCAAATCTTATGGTTGATGTTCTAGAATGAAGATTTTCACTTCTTAAAAGTATGTTTCCATAGATCCATCTTATTTTATTATTAATTCATGTAACAATTTCTAAAATAGAAATAAATCTCTTTACACTAAATAAATAATTGTCCACTATTAATTTATTTTTTTGCATTTAATCATTTATTTCTTCTCTATATGCTGTTCCTTCTTAAATATAATTGAATTCCAAACTGTATTATAATATTTCTTTCTGAAGATAATTATTCCTTTTTAAGTAATCATAAATATATTTTTCATAAATGCTATTTGTGTTATATGAAAGTGAAATCCATCTTTAATTGGGTCCCTTTAAATCAATAATTAATTATTAATTCTTAATATCCAATTGATCATGTATTATTTCCATTTGAGAATCTTTTTTGACTAAAAGTAAATAAGGGGCTTAATCACTTAGTCTATCATGATAGAGATTTGCATAAATAATATTATTTGTGGAAGATAATTTAAAGGCTCTTGCATATAATCTTAATTAATTTGATGAAGAAAAGGAAAATTAATTAGAAATTTTTTGAAGTGATTCTTCAATGATTTTTTCTTCTTCTCTTGTTTTATTTAGATATTCTGATAATCCATAAGACTTTTTAATTTTACTTAAAGTTCTTAATTTACATAAATATGCTTTGGCTTAATCATCATTTGCTTTTTCTTTAATCTAAACTATATATAAATCCTATTACATTAGAAATCATTGGCTTGCAAATTACTTATGTCTTTTAAGTCATAGTATCAACCAATTTCTAAAAATCTAATAAATTTCTTTTGATTGCAAATAAATAATTGTTCCTGATGATGAAAAAAATAATACATTTATTCAAATTTTGGATTAAACATCAAATTAGGCTGATAATTACTCTCAACTTTATATGCATATTAACCATCTAATTCATCATAATCTTCTATTTATTATGGGGTTTGAATGGACTCTATTGGGAATGTTTAAACTTTTGGTTATTACATTATTAGATGTTATTTTAATTAATGTAAAATTAGAATACTTAATAGTAGAACTAAACTAATATGATGAAATAGAAACTATTAAAAATATTATAGGAAAAGACCAATAAGCCAATTACTTAGTAGAAACAACATTCAAATATAGATCATTATTCATTGTAAAGGAAATTGTCTTAGCAATCTCATAAATTGCCTATTGAAATGAATAAATCTGCAAGAGAGATATGGTTATTTGAAATATTAAATAATTAAAATCTCACATAAAAAGTATCAGTAGATTGATGAAAGTTAAGGTCTAGTAATTGAAGTAAATTTAGGCAAGAACAATCAAATTAATTAAAAATTATCAAAATAAAGAGATAAAATGGAATAAAAAAAGAGATGCTTTATAAAACGAGGTAGATTTACTACGACAATTATTATATTAATATTGATTACATTTGACTATGGCATATTGGTTATTAATAAAATAAATTTTAATTATGAATGAGTATCTGACATATACAGATTGGAAGATATTTAATAATAATACAAAAAATAAGATCACTCAAAATAACTTTTCAAAAATATAGTTTCTTATAGATCATATTATTCTAGTACTGTTACATCAGCATCTAAAATTACACATCAAATTGTATTGGTTGTATATAACCTTTTTTTGAATAGATACTATATCCTTTTAATGCTCCAGCCTATTATTATTGTATAAACACTGGCTATTAGAAATATTAATTCTTAGGTCTTTAAACAAGTAAAAGTGGAGATTCTGATCTATCCTTTTTAGGACTTTATGGTGTTGTTACTTCACAACTTCTTTCATGAATAGTTTTCAAAGTGAAATTATCCTTTCTAAATTAACAAATAGCTTCTGATAACTTTAATCCCAGATTGCATCTAACAGTCACACTAATCTTTTTTTCAGGAGTAGCTGATCTTAATTGATTCAAAACTAATATTGTAAATTTGAATATCATACATTTTATATCATCTCTCAATATTTTTGCTTTAATATCTTCTTCATATAATCTTTCTCCATTACTTCCTAACTCTTATTATGATGTAGGTCTTGATCTTGGAGTATTAAGAAAAAAGTTCTTATTAATTTCTATTTTACGTTTTGAAAAAAAAATTACCTATTTTGAGTTCTTTATATAACAATGGATTAGCTTACTCTTTCACTTTAGTTATCTCCCTCTATTCTGGAAGTTCATTACATTTCTTTACTGAATTGTCTGTTGTTTGAGTTTTTTGGATACTACAATCTGAATTAGGTGAAGTAGCTGAAGTAGAAGAAGTGTTGCTTTTTTTTAATGAAGACATTGAGGAAACCAAAATGAACACATCACTTGCACTTTTAGAAGGATCACTTAATAGTCTTTTCAATGGATTCCATTTAGAGTTAAATTATTCCAATATTGGTTCTGTAAACACAGGTGTTACTTTGGTTATAAATTCTAAGAAGGATTCTTTTAGTAATGTTATTTCTTAAATCAATTCCATCAATTTAAAATAATTAATGAATTAAAGAAAATTTTTATGCTATCCTAAATTAATAATATATAAAGATGTTTCAAATAGTAATCAATTAACAATAAAAATGAATCTTTTGATTCACTAAAAGTTAGAAATGATTAAAATAAAATTAAAATTAAGAATTATTATTATATAATAAAATAATTGAACTATTAGATGTAATGAGACAAGATATTATTATTAGTAATTAGATCAATTTACAACAAATTATAATAGTTATTACTAATATTAATAACTTCATCAAACAAATTGATTAAAATCTGTCATAGCAATAAGAGCAACTTCTCTTTCAATATTTTTCTTATTTTTTTTATGTGATTTTTGTTTCTTCTATTTTTTTTATTTCTTATTCTTAATATTTGATGATTAATGAATTAAAGTTTATGAAGAAGCTGTTGCACAAAGACCACTGTACATTTTTGAACGACCTAATTTACAACTTGCTCCTACAGGTCCTGTCAAGAATGCTTATTTAGCACCAGTATATTTCTAGAAAGATTTAAAATTAATTTATTTACTTCATCAAAATAACAAACTATATATTCTGAAGCATTATCTTCAGCCTTTCCACAACCAAAAGCACTAGCTCTAGCTGTGAGTAATTATTTAGCATTTTCAGTATCTTTGAACCACTTTTCCATAACTTAATTAGTTCTCATTTATTAATTTAAGTGTCTTTTAAAATAGAGCACTCCATAATTTTAAAACTATATATGAAATATAATAATACTTATCCACAAGTGGAAGCTTTAAGTGGACATTTTTCAACACATGTTTAAGCCATTTTTGCATAACCATTACTCCAATGTAAAACATTCATATTTGATGCTGATTAAGATCCTTCAAAACTAATTTAACCAGTTGCAACTTGATTTCTAATTTAATTAAGTGAGTGAGCAAGCTAATTAGCTAATCCTGAATTGATTCCTTTATTATGTACATTGCAATATTAATTCTATGCATTTACAATCAAAAGTGTCAGAAACGATAAAATTATTCTCATATATTTTAATTTATGAAAATAGCTAATTTGATATCAAAGCTTCATAAATCCATCTATTAATTTAGTGATATCAATACTAAATTAGCTAGCATAATATTCACTAATGTTGCATTACAGAGTAACTTTGATTAGAAATTTCCTGGAGCCAAATAAATATTTCATTTTAATGAGTAATAGAAGGAATCAATAGTGAAGACTAAAAAAAATTAATAAGAAATTATCTGTATATGATATTGTAATGATAAGAGTTCAATGATTCTAATTATTTGGGTTTATATGTTAACAAAATTTATAATAACCCTATCAATAGAGCAACAAGGTTTGAATATGCTTATGTTGAATTTGCAAATAAAGACTATTGGTAACATATGTATGAGATTGTTGGTACAATGGATCCAAAATGTATAATTATGTATTATTGATTAAGCTTCAACTCTTATAATTAGAATAAAAGAAGATGTTTTGAAAGAATGTTTAGAATGTAATTTAGACACTTTGGATTAACATAAGGGTTTATTCATTCAAAAGATTGTTAATATTGGGATGATTACATTATTTTAGATTACTTTAAAATATGAAAAAACCTTGTAAAAGGAAGGGATAACAGAATTTGCATTCTGTTGTTTGTATTCAAAAGAAGACATTTTCACTTATGGTTAGAAAACATTGGTATGATGTTATCTATAACTTAGTTGTATAAGTCAAAAGGGAGTATTCATAAATAGTTGGGTTAGAGATTTATGATTCATAGACCTGAAGCAGTAATAGGGGAAGTATACCCTAAACTGGAATGATAAAAATAATATAAATTATTTTAATGGGATCGATCCTCAATAAATAAGAGGTTTCATCAAGAAAGTTATCTGAAATGCCATAAGAACAAAAGTCTTAACACTACACTTAAGAAGTTTAGGAGAACGAATAAGCTAGAATTGTGATTCAGACTTATCGTGACACAAAAATAAGTCGGAAAGTACACAACTTAGATCCTGAAGTTAAATTAACATTTAGCAAGTAATTCCCTAAGAAACAAGATCTCTCGAATGCACAAGGATAAACTAGTTCAATTCAATAAAAGGAAACATTTCAATTGTCTCCACGATCACCTGATAAGGAAAGTGATTGTGATTGGTAAGATATATATGGAGATCATTGCTTTACATTAAGTGATGGTCATGTAGCTTAACATTGATTATTTTAATTTTTGTTTTTTTATTTCTTTATTTCTTTATTTCTGTAATGTCAATAAGTAGAAAAATAGAAAATGAATACAATCATTGTATTTACAAAATGATCTTTATATTAGCAAGGAGATGTGTTAAAGCTATTACAGGAGGTAAAAGTAAATATATAAATTCTAGAATAAGTAGATTATTAGAACTTTGCTGCATTGATAGGAAAATAATTTGGTATATTAACTAAATTAGAGGAAGAGAGATTTATTCTATTTAAATTTTCTGATTCTTTATAAGAATTAACATAGTTACTTGGATTGAATGGTATAAATTAAAATATTATAGAGTAAAATCATGATATCATAAAAAATAATTAATAAAAATATAAAATTTAAATACAGTAATAATCAAAAAGAATAGAACCAATTAAGAAAAATTTTAATCCTATAAAGAATATATCTAAATCCATTGATGTCAAATAAGTTGAGATTCCAAAATTATAAAGTGATTTAAGAGAAATGAACAAGGATAATTCTAATATCAAAGAAATAAAAGAAGTCAATTAAAATATTATTAGAAATTCCTTTTTTATTTAGAGAAAATCAATATCGACAGAAAATGGATATTATAAGACATTGGAATAAAAAGAGAAAGAATTCTTAGATAGATTTAAATATGGATAAAATGATCACTGATTCAATTTTAATTTATTTTATGATATAAAACTATTTAATTAAATAATATTCATGCTTAACCAATTAAAATAGTGTCTTCAGAATATTCTTAATCCTCTTCTGTTTATTCATCATAAAGCATTCCCAACATCTTTCTCTTTCTAATTATTTATCTTTCTATAGGTTAATTCTTTATTTTGAATTCCATCAATTAATCATACATATCATAACTACAATCAATATCTTCAGAAATCCACTAGAATTTTATTTATAAATAACAATTACCAAAATATTATCATTACTTACTATGTTCAATTTAAATTTCATTTTCTAATCATATACTCTTAAACTTTTAAACTCCTTCCAAATATTAGTCAATTTAACAGTTTCATCACAAACATAAATAGGATCACCTTAGAACATACATTCTGTATACACTTTTGGACAACTCCTATAAGTAGGTTCATATAGTTTTGCAACCTTAACAGTTAATTCAATTTATTTAGGAAAGAAGGATTTGTCATTCAACATTTATATTTAAAGATTATTGCCAAATAATTAGAAAGATTCCATTCCCATTATTAATGTATCATCTAAATATGTTCCCTTTTAAACCAGAGCTTTGAATATGGCAATTAAGAGTTACTTGCTATTTCTGTATCATTAAGTGTAGTCGAACTCATATCTTAAGCTAGAATATAGCAGATATACACATATTAAAATGTAGATTCAACTTGTATAGTCAAATTTTAATTATCAAAATAAGAGTATAATTTTAGCATAGGTTTCTTACCTCCATACTTAAAGAAACCAGCAAATCCAGAAATGAACACTGAATGTTGCATAGGAGAAGTATAAATTTATTCTAATGTTACTTAAGCTTTCTCTTATAATGGAAAACATCCAGAATCATAAGTATCTCCTCCAAATGCATACCATGTATATAATACTGATTTAATACAGCTTTTTGAGCAGACTACTTGGATTGTGAATCCTAATAACATCTAGATTCTTTATTACCTGTTGTGTTTACTTTCATTAAATCAACATGGATGTCTAAGGCAAAATCAGAGAACTACATTTCATTAGTTTAATTATTCAAAATGAAGATTACTTATGGTACATATGCTTTGTAAACATTTAAGAATTTTATATGTGTTATTGTGTCTTTTTCACAAGCTAAACCTCCAGCTCCAATTAGTAACTAACCATTTTCCAATATAGGATATCCATATACTAGAATCACTAATTGAAGTAGCAAAACGTACATTTATAAATTAATAAACATTACAATATTACAATATATAATTTTTAATATTCCCTTTGCTTTTATAAATATATCATACAATATATTAATTGCTAATTCTCGGATGCTTGCAGGAAAAGAAGAAAAGCCACCTCGACTTACAAGAGTAATCTCACTTTCAAGCTTAGTCAAATCGCGGTAATCTTGAGAGCGAATAACTGCCTGATTATTTAAGAAGCACCTTCTCTGACACCTTCAAAATGAAAGAGCCACCCAAAGTCGAAAAAGGAAAGAAGATCTTACCTCAATATGCTTTTGGCAATTCTCTCGAATCACCTTCCTTCTTTCGTAATCCCAACACTTTGATTTGTAGGGAAAGCTATGATAATCCATTCCTAAAAGTCAGAGCTAAACCTCATAGTAAATGGGAAACTCTGCGAAGTAGCACTCTCAACAATTTTGAATTTTATAATGTTTCTGAATAAAAATTTGCTAATCTTCCAAATAAAGGATACAAAAATGTTAAATTAGTAAAGTAATATCTTTATCATTTATTTATAGTACTGTAACTAACTAAGTACATTATGTATAGACTCCTCAAATTAAAAGAGAAGAACCTACTTTTCAACTTGCCTATAGAACATTATAATAGAAGACAGGTCTTTTTGGCAGAAAGAATGGTATATATCATATATAGATTTTGATAGAATTATTTACAGATTTCATTGAAAAGAATGATAATCAAAATGTTTATGGCCATTTGAATGATAGACAAAGACCAAAAGGACGTTTGAGAGATGTTAAGAATTTCAGTTTCACACCATAAGAATTCTAAATTTATAAAAAAAGGGCTAGTCATTATCTTAATTCGAGTCCTAGCAAAGGATTATAAAAATCAGATGTGCCAATCTTCAATTATAATTAATAGAAAAAAGATTAATAAGTTGAAAGGTATTATTCAAGAGATTAAAGGTATAAATATATTTTAAATTTGATAGTTATCTCAATTCACTTAACAATTCGATTATTGTAACTTAAATAGACAAACAATTAAAAAGAAAGAAATAAGATAGATATAAGTATTAATATATATAAACATATACAAAGTGCTGATTTAAAGATATTGGATTATCGAGAAAATGATATTGAATTGATTGACAAATTTGAAGAACATTTAGAGTTTGAAAAATTATATGGAAATTGATTATTTAAATTTAGAATACAATCTATAATTCATCTTATTTATAAAATTATATAAGTGAATATAATGAAAATACTAATTGAATATATAAAAAAAATAATACATTATCTCTGATGAATTTAGGTTTATAAAATATTTAATGATTTTTGAGTGAAGATGTTCTTATAATTTTATAAAGTTTCTTTATTTTAATATAAATGTTAATTATATTGATATAAGATAATAAAGAGAGTTTTGATTTAAATAAAGAATCTAAATTATCTTAGTATAGGATAAAATAGAATGATTGGAAAAGTCTTAAATATATAATTAAGCTATTTTTCATAAATTAATTAAATGATCGGTGGAGTGCAATCAAGACTGAGAAAATTGGACATTTATCGTAAATTACCAGCTGATCTAACAGAGCCAACTACAGCTGGTGCATTAATTTCAGTTATCAGTACTATTGTGATAGTTGTACTATTTATCACAGAATTACAAGTAATCCTTATTAGAATATTTTGTTTATAGGCATATATTGAAGTTGATAATAGTAGTGAGATGTTTGTTGATATAAATAGAGGTGGTGAATAAATTCGAGTTAACTTGGATATAGAATTTCATAAATTTCCTTGTGATATTCTATCTTTGGATGTTTAAGATATAATGGGATCTCATGTTGTTAATGTTGAAGGTAGATTAATAAAAAAGAGAATAAAGAATGGATAGATAATTTCTGAAGAAGTTCATTCAAATCATGAAGGACACGATCATCATGGTTAATAATCAATAGATTTTGTGCGAATAGAATAAGCATTTAAAGAAAAGGAAGGATGTTAAATTGCAGGTTATATTATAGTAAACAAAGTACCAGGTAATGAAGATGAGTAAATTGGTTAGGTAATTTCCATGTTTCAGCTCATGCTTTTGGTGGAATTTTACATTAAGTATTTTAAAGAAGTTAGATACATACATTAGATTTATCACATACAATTAATCATATTTCATTTGGAGAAGAAGATGACTTAATAAAAATAAAGAAATAATTTTAAAAAGGAGTTCTTAATCCACTTGATAATACTAAGAAGATTGCTTAACCATAAGGAGGAACTGGAATGATGTTTTAATATTATATATCTGTTGTACCAACAACCTATATTGATGTATAAGGCAATGAATATTATGTGCATTAATTTACTGCCAATAGTAATGAAGTATAAACTGATCATCTTCCAGCAGTTTATTTTAGGTATAATAACTAGAATAATTAGGTATGATCTATCTCCAGTAACTGTTAAATTCTTGTAATATAGAGAAAGTTTTTTGCATTTTTTGGTTTAGATATGTGCTATTCTTGGAGGAGTATTTACAATTGCTAGCATAGTTGATGGAATGATTCATAAATCAGTTGTTGCATTACTTAAAAAGTATGAGATGGGTAAATTGAGTTGAAATATATAAATTATAATATGTTTATAAAGGTATATTAAATTTTTAGATATTGTAAAAATATATTTGGTTAATATAAAATAAATTAGATTCACATTATATATAATTATAAAAAATTAATAATTCATGATCTAAAAATTAAATAATTAATATAAATATATATATTTAGTTTAATATGAAATTAATTTATGAGATATTATATTACTATTAAACACAAATTCTTAATATTATATTCAATTAATCTATTACTAATAGTTAAATAATTGATATAAATCAAATAAGAATTATATTTAACTTAATTGTTAAAATTTCTATCCTCAAAAAAAATACTTAGTGATATAATATTAATAAATTAATTTTAAGTTAAAGATTCAATCACTTAAATATTTTAACATTATTGATATCATTAACAAAATGATCTTACAAAAAGAAATGTAATTTATTTCAAAATTGAATAATTCATTAAATAATAAGAAAAACTCAAGTTTTATTTTTTGAAAAAAATATCTATATTTTCCTTTTGTTATATTCGTAATTATGCATAATTGCCATTGCCTACATAGCTGAATCTAACTCTTAATAACGGATGAGACATTTGTTTTTGTTTTTTTCTTCACAAAATATTCTTAAATTTATATTAAATATAATTAATTACTTAATTTTCTCTATTTATCCAAATTTAGAAAAAGTATCATAAATAATACCTTCTTCACAGAATTCCTTTTTTAAATTTGTTAACATAATTTATTAAGAAGGTGATACCAAATATTTGAAATTATTATCTTTATATCTAAATGATGCCTCATTTCCTAAATAAAATTCTTCCTCTTCTGTATTCTTAGGTAATTAACCTTCTTCACAATTTCTAAAGAAAATAAATTCATAATTAGAAGGATACACCTAGAATAATTATTATTTAAATTACTTTTAATTTTTAACCAAAAAGTGTTGGATTTCCTTCATTGAAATTAGTCAATAAAAATTTAACACTAACTTCAGTTGAATATTCAATTAAGACATTACATTTAGTCTTAAAGTAAATCATCTTTTAGATGTTACCAAAAGTACTAAATATATTATAAATCATAGTCATGGATGTTTATTTTGGATCAAACCAATTGGCATAAAGTACCTTTGTAATCAATTTTTCTAGTTAAAAATAATAATTGGATATACTTTATGGAAGAATTTCAGATTAAAAGATCTATTTCTCAACTTGTATATTATTAGGTAATTGTTATGATGTAGAAATACGTTATCCTGGTGAGAACTGAAAAAGTTAAGTTAAATTGTCACCCATACATTTTACAAATTGATTGGACCTTTTTAAGAAATAAATCATAATTTTTTTACAATTCTTCTTATTTATCTTCTGTAGCTTCTTCCTATGAATCATAATCAGATGCACCATCTGCTTTATCAAAGTTCAAAGCTTCTGCAAATTATGTTGGTATAGGAGGCATTCCAGTTTAAGGAGGCAATATTTAAGAATGAGGGAGCCATTTACTTATTGGATCAGTCTTTGGTAACTCAGTTGAATGCACTATACCTTAAACTTGTTAGGCAGTGTAGTCTCTTAATAAGGATAATGAATCTACATCTTGCATATTGGTTTCTAGCTTGGAAGTCAAGACCCTTACGATTAGACTCATAAACTAATATTGAAAGTCCATGCATGATTGTATTATTTAATTGAAGTGCATTTAAAGCAGATCGGACACTATCGAATTGAACTAAAGCTTTCCAAATTGGCTTATTTCTCTCAAAGATGAGTATCTATATATAATAAGAGGTCTTACTTTTTCGATTGTACCAAATTGAATGAAATTTTGATAGACATGAGTCACTGTTATATTGATGAAGTCTGGGTTTTGTATACAGATCAACACAACAGAGGAATTAGCCATTTTAAATAACTAAATATTTTATAAGATTATATTGTTTTAATGTGAATAAGAAATATAAATTTCAATAATGATTATAATTACATTGAACATAGACATTCTTTACTCAAACTTAATATTTTATATATATTTGTTCTAAAGTTATTATATATTATTATTTATATTTTTCTTTATATAAACATATCTAATTATGCCACCGAAAGCTAAAAAGATTGATCCTGAATTATAAGCTGTAATAAATTATTATAATAAATTAGAAATAATTTGAATAATGGAAAGAAAGTGATGAATACAGAATCTGGTCAGAGTTATAAATAATATATAAATCCATGGAAAATAACATATCTGAAACTTCTAAAGATTTGACAGGCAATTGGCAAGTAAAATATTATTTTATAGATTACCTTTCATATAGATTTATCATGATAAATTACTTGAAGTATGTTAGACATTCAAATGCAAATCAAAAATAAAATAAATTGAACATGCACATATAAGAAGTGCATTCTTTGCAGTTGAGGATGTTGAAATAAATAAAACAGTATAGAAACAATATTTAGATGGATTTTATTATTCAGTTGAGAAATAAGATAAAGATAGAGCTAAACATGTAAAGGAATTATTTGCTAAAATTGCTAGAAGTATATATATATGAATTATTTATTTATATAGCATTGGAGGATCATAAATTTTTTGATATTAATGCAGAAAATTATATAGCAGAGAGGAAAGCATTTGTAGGTCTATTGAATGATTTTTTGAAAAAACTTCCAATTCTAATTAAATCAAGTCATAAAGTCATTGAAGAAAAACTTATGCTTGTTTTAGGACCTTTAAGAGCATTATTAGAAATTAATAAAAAAATGATGTTCTTTGATCTTGTTAATACTTCAAGTCAAGCAAGATAAACAAAGGATTTCATATTAAAAGTTATTTATATTTATATAAAATTAGGCTGATGTTGAATAATATTGTATATGTTTACAAGAAGCTTAGAGATTATTATTGGAATCAAAAGCTATTTTATGCAATCCAAATGTTAAATTGATTTTTAATAAATTGGGATATGAAGGATGGTAATAAAATAAGATTGAGTCTTTTTATTTAACTCCATTATAAGATGCTTTTGATAAAATGAGAAACAATTTACTTTGTTTAATGTTAAAAGGAATTAATTATTATAAAGCACCTTTAATGGAAAATACAGTAAGAATTTTGATAAATAATAGCAATTTGTTGAGGATGTAAAGGAATTGATTGATGCAGAATTGATTGCTGAACATCTTATGGGTACAGCATTGAAAAGAGATTAATTAAATTTTACATTTAAGGTTTTAAGTGTTATCTATAATTCTAATGCATAAGCAAAAGAGTTTCTTATTAAAAGAGATGATAATTGTATTAAAGGAAGTATTCCAAAATTAATAACATATCATACAATATTATATATGAGAGCATGGAAGGATAGAAAAATAGCAGATGAATTAAAAGAATAAAAATTATAATAAAAAACATAACCTTTAGCATAATCAAATTTATTTGAAGCTTAATCTGCTATGTCAGCCATGTCACCAGATAAAAAGAGATAAGTTGATGATGATTTAAGGAAAAAAGAAGAAGAGAATATGAAAATTTAAGATAAAATAGATTTTGAAAAGTATGGTAGATATTGGATTTGGGAATATTATGCTCAAGATTAAATGAAAGCTAATTTTGAAGAATGTGTTGAATTAATTAGACATATAAATAAAGCTGTTTAATAAGATATAGAAGATGTCATTATTAAAGAGGGAATGGTTCCAAAGTATGTTTATATAATTATTTTAGAAATCGTCCACGTTAAGTATAATAGAATGATCCAAGTTAGATGTTCAATAAATTGTAAGAAAAAGATAATGCAAATGTTTATGTTATTTAAAGGAGACCACCAGAATTATGGAATTATCCTAAAATTGTAGAGGAAGAACATGAATTTAGAGCTATTGCTAAACCTAGAGATTGTTATAAAGATGGAAGAATTTAAGTATTGGAAGGAAAGATGGAATAATTGAGTTCACATTTGGAAAATAATAAACCTTAAAGTTGGAATGAATTAATTCATAGAGTGATAGATGCATTAAGCAATTAATATAATAAGAAACCTAGTGCAATTGAACCAGGAAAATGATATTAAATATAAACTCATTATATAGAAAAGAAATCAGATGGAAAGCCTTTAATATTATTTATTTTTGGTTTTTATCTAATCTAAGGTTTCTTAACTTTTTTAAAAATATCTTTTAATTATTAAGTATTTAATAAAAGTAAATCCAAAATATTATTATTATTCTTCTATGACTCGCATTATTAGAATATTTTATTTTATTATCCCAATCTATTAGGTGTCTTAAATTAATTTAAGTCTTCAAATTTGACTTCTCTTGTTGTTCTAGTAGTTTTAATTTGAATAAAATCGTTCAGATCTGAATTAATTTATATTGTTGTTAATTAACTAGGTTTTCTAATAAGTTATTTAGGTTCTGAATCAAGAGATAATTATTATATTCGAGTTATTCTTTTATTTTTAAGATCAAGTAATTTATTATGTTTTTCTGAAATATCATTAACAGTAGTATGTATATTTGAAGTAATAGTTTAATGTTTAAAGGATTTTGGAGTATTTGGAATAGATTTAAGATTTTTAGTTATTATATTGTCTTCTCTTAATAATAGTGTTTTATTAGATTTTTACTTAGATATAGTTTGTTATTATTTGAAGTTCATTTGTTAATAATAATATAATTAATATCATATAATAGATCATCAAACATAATCATAAAAATGTTGAAGCAGATCTAATAATTCAATGTCACCATTTAAACACTTTAAAGTAATGACTCTTGCTCTTTCTTATAAAGCCTCTGAACCAGGAGGTATTAGAAAATCAACATTTGTGGATTAATGAGGATTCAAAGTTTGGAAAGCTTCTAGAGTAAGAGTTGTGGAATGACTAATAAAATATATAAATAATAAATAAATACTATGATTATTGAAATTGAAATTCACAACCAAAAAATAAATATAGTAATATGCATCCTATTGAATATATGTCAGTCTTATCAGTAAATAATGGCATTTCTTCTTCAATGACTTATTTGGCCATATATTTTATATCTAAATATTCTTTATCAAATTATAGATCAAAATCAATAAGCAAAGGTAAATGTGTTTCTCCATCAATAAGTATGTTATTAGGATGTAAATTACAAAAGATTATTTCATGTTAATGTAAATAATAAATAGCATCTATAATTTATACTGCTATATGCCATTTCTCTTTTGTTGAAATCTTATTCTTTTATAAGAAAGTTCTTAAATTATAATCATATTTATATGTTATGATACGTATCTATCCACTTAAATCTTATTCTTAAAGATCATCTATATTATATCCAATTATAGTTCTAATATTTTAATGTTCTAAATTAGTAAACTTTTTAATATATTTAAAATATTAGTTAATCTGATCATAATTCATATAAGCCAATGTTTTTATAGATATAACTTATCCTTAATATTTTCCTAAACTTAATTACCCATCTCGATTACTTTTACTAATAAATTAAACTTCAGAAATATCTTCAAATTATATCAAATTTAATTTAGTATATCTAATTTTATTCTCTAAATCAATAAATCTTGATTTCTACATTTGTTTCTCTTCTAATTATGGTAAAATTTAAGGTCCTTAAATTGTTCTATCGAAATTTACTCTCTTATTTCCACTATTAACATAAATACTTTAAGTTTATTTAATTGCATCTATACCCTTCTTTTCTGGAGATTAATTAACGAATGATCTTCTCAATTCAATTTGACTTTATTATAATACTTAAAAGTTGCCTCTAGAATAATCCAATTATTGTACTCTCTTCTAATCAAACATTGCTTAAATCTATTTGTTTTTAAATGTTATCTTATCTCTTTACTTATCTAATCTTCTTCGAATTGAATAAAATTATAATGTCCTAACTTACTTAAAAGTTAAAACATTTCTATCATAATATTGTTTACATTCTTCAAATAGATTTTAATCAAGCAATTTTGTATATCCATCATGGGTTTGATGATGTAATTCCAACTTAGCTTAATAGAACATATAAACAAACATAATATATGGGGTTTCTGGCCATGGATTTTTAAGTAGTTCTTTTGCCTTACACAATAAACAATTCTTTGATTTATCTTTTTGTCTTCTACCTAATATATATAGACTAATCAATGAATTTTATGATGCAACATATTGGATATCTTCTTCTGATAATTCACTATCCTTTAATACTTTAGCTCGTTTTTAGAATATTAATATCCTATGAACAACATATTGAGTTCCTCTTGTATATAATTATTCAATCACTTCAGCATAAGGTTATGGTCTATGAAGAAAACTCAATTCGAAAACTATTTAACGTATAGAATTTAAATGTGAACCATCAATCATCCCATAAAGGGAAATATTATATAAACACTATCTTACTGTTAATATTGAATACATACCTGATTTAAGAAAGGTTCTGGATTTACCAATTAACATTATTTATAAATGATATCTGGAAATTTATCAGGATTCTTTGTTTATTAAGTGAATTATTTGATAAGAATTGGATAAGCATGTATTTTAGCACCCATTTATTCATAATTTTATAAAAGAGAATCATAATGTTGTTATGATTCATTTTCTCTGAAAAGATAAAGTGCTTAAAGAAAGTTGCTTAATTGATTTAAAGGTAGATCTGGAGTAGGTGCTAATTCTTATATAGCTTCATTGTATTTTTCACATTCAACCTTTTTGTTTTGATGTTTGATTTCATAAATCAAATCAATAAGTAAATAATAGAGACATTTACAACTAAAATTTAATAACGATTATTATATACAAAGATGCCAAGATCTTATTCTTATTTTTATTATAATATTGCTCTAATTGATGTGCACATAAGGGATCAGCATAGTATTTAATACCATATAGATAGTGAGATATTGCTTGTTACATATTAGGTTAAACTTGAAATCCAATTTCAAGACAATAACCTTGAAGAAAACATCTATACAAAATTGTTATATGTTATATACATAAGTCCAGTTTAACGATTTAATTTTTTCTCTTTGTCCAAGAGTGTTAAATTGTCAGTAATTTAAGTTTTTAGTAATGTACTTACAAATTCTTTGATTTATGGTTCCATAACTTTAATAAAATTTATTATTGAATTAATAAAATCAAATATTCTTTTTAGTTTTTTCACCTTTTTTTGGTTTTAAAATAGAAGTTAATTTCTCTTCATTAACCTTTTATTCAATGACTAATTCTTTTAATGTTGAAGCTGGATCTTTACTAACCATTACTTATTGAAAATTAGATTAAATGCTTTAACTATACTTTTTTAAATCATATCCAATAACAGATAGTTTATTTTTAAGTAAATGTGAAGATTAATCTAATCCATTATCCATTTCTAATATTTCTCTATAAACTTTTAATGCATATTCTCTTTCCTTTTTTACATTTTGATCTATTAATTTTTGAAATTAGAACATATCTTCATCAATCATTTTTTTCTTTCTCAACAGAATTTCTGAATCAAACAAGGCCTTTCTATCTAAATCTATGTATTCCATTCTCTCCATTGAAATAAAGGTTTTCTTGAGGAAACTGAATTTCCCTTCTGTAATTTAGATACCTCCAAAAACATCAGCATAATGAACCATTTTATAAACCATATATCTACAATATTAATCTTATGATAATTAATTCTCATAAGCTTCTTCTCTTATCATAGGTACAAAATCAGAAGATGCTCTTGCAATTTCTCCATTCAATATTAGAATTTCTATTCTTGCTTAATCAAATTCTGGATATTTAGAATCAAATGAGTGTTTGAATTCATAATGTTATAATTCATAGTTCTTGTTTGAATTGAAATTTTGAATATATAAGATTTGTGACCAAATTGGATCAATTTTTCTTTTCATCATCAAAATTGTAAATTCCATATCTGTCATCACTTGCATGTTGTCTATTATAATTCAATTATACTATCAATATATTTGATTATCACAGCAAGAGAATCAGGAGGTCTTCTTTCGTTCATGAACTGTTTTGTTTATTGAAATGTTGGTTTTTAGATAAATTTTATGAAACCTTCACTTTCATCATAATATGCAATAAACTTAATTTCTCCTTCATTACAAACACATGTTTCTGGTATTCTAATTCTAACACTTCTAGTTAATTTATTTGGAGCTTGTAATTTACGTAAAAGCAATCCTAAATCTTTATCTTGAATTTATTAAATTGGTTTTTGAGTAGGTACTCTTTTTGGTATAATCTCTTCTCCATGTGTAATAGCAAATTCACAAGGATCACAATCACAAGAGAAATGATCTCTTGCATTTTAAGGAAAGGTTAACATATTTTTTTATAATTAATTAATTTTTATTATTCTCATATTCTTTAATCAATAAGTTTAGTTTTAATAGGTTTGTTTACAATTTACAATAAATTATATAAATCTATTAATAAGTTAAGAAGAGAATATAAAATTATTGGATACTAATACAATTTGATTATATGATTTATTATTTATAAAATAATACTAAAAATCACAATTCAAGAAATTCTTTAAATTTCAGTGAATTGCCATTATTAATAATAAAATATGCCTGCTTAAAAAATAATTATACGATCATCTAGTTCTAATAAAAACTCTAATTCATCAAAAGGGTTTAATTAAACATAATCAAAAGTATAATGAAAATTTATAAAAGGTTTTTGAGAAATTAGTGAATCATCAAAAAAATCGATATAGTCAAGATGATGACAAATACTAATAATATTTTGATCATCTTGGAGGTAATTGATAATTTTTACTAAAATAGGATAATGTTTGTGTACATTATGTAATTGTGGTAAACATCATTGTAATGGAAAAAATTGTCTAAACAAACCAAATCTTCATCTTAATAAATCTATATATTAATAAGAATTTGTGTAAAAAATTCCTGATAAATGTTCAAATTATAACTAAAACTTATACTTAAACCCTAAATAAGAAGGGGATATAAAAAGAGTTACAACTTATAAAGTATATTGATAATAATAAAAAATAGCATGATTATCCAGGATATTTATCTAATGTACAATTACAAAAAGGACCTAAATCAAATAATACAAATCTTGGATCTTTTTCAGGAATGTCTACATATAATAATATGTTTAAAAATTGGGGAGTTGGTGATACACCATAATTGATGCCTTAAAATAATCCAACCATAATTTAAAATCTTCCATTTTCAGGAAGAAGCAATTATAGAGATTAATTTTAAGAATTTTATGTTGAACCTGTTAAAAGTACAAAAGGACTCTATTAATAAAAGTAATTCATATCTATTAATAAATTTAGATCACCTTTATCACCACCAGATATCAAATTTACTGCAACTTCTATAGCTAAATCTTCATATCTACCAATTGAAACTGAAAGATCTCAGCAATTACAAACTAAAAAACTTCAATTATAACCACTAAATCCATCATACAGAGGATAATATAATACAATGTATTGCAAAGAATTTGATTCTAAATTTCCAAGACCTTGTCCTGCTAAAGAAGTTCTTGATGAAGTTGAAAAATAAATTTGATGCTTATAGTAATATATTTTGAAAATATATTTATAATGTCAAAATAAGCAAATCGTCTGCCTGATTTAGAAAATAATAGTTTTAGAGATTCTAAATAAATCCAAGAATTGAGAAAGAAATTAGATGAATAAAAAGAAACCTTAAAAGAACTAGTAAGCTTAGTCAAAGAATCTAAAACTGAATCTTTAAAACCTAAATTTAATCCTTAATTTAGATTGGCTAAATCTGAATAAGATTAAATTACATTTGAATTATTAGAAGAAGTGAAAACTTTAAGAAGATAAATAAATAATATTGAATCTGGACCTAAAAGCAATCATATTTAAAATCCTATTATAATACCTCAATATCTACCTACACCCTAATAACCTTTATTATAACCTATGCCTCCTTATATGTATATGAATCCTTATTTTCAAATGCCTTCAAATTTGATGTATTAGAAATCTTAGAATCAAGCACCTAAAAAAAAAGTAGATCCTTATAAAAAGTTGGTTCTAAAGATCTTATAAAAAGGGGAGAGAGAAAATCATAGAAGTAGAAGAGATTCAAATTATAGTGATTATTCAGAAGATTATAATGATAGACCAGATTCTAGACCACATAGACATCGTTCACATAGGGATAGATATTAGGATAAAGGTCGTGATTTATCATATTAAAATAAAACAAGTAAAGGATCTCTGCATGATAGTTATGTGAGCAAATATACTAGATCATCAGTTAAAATAAAAACAAAGAAACCTAAAGTATTTACAGAGGAGGAGAAATTACAATTGAAAAGAAAGTTAAGTGGAGCATTTTGGTTTATAAGAATTGGATTGGTTTTAAAAAAGTATTTAAGAAGAGTTTGGTTAAATAGAAGATAATAATATTATGAAAATGAAGCATAATAATTAATAGATAAATTTGATTATGAATTTGTAATTAATATATAAAATTTAGATAGAACCATAAAGAAGTATTCATATTACTTGTTGTTGAATGTAATAAAAATAGATTATTTAATAAAAATTGGAATATTTTTGATAATAGAGATATTGAATAAAAATCTAAAATAGTTTTTTAAATATTAACTATTTTAATTAAGAAAATACCATTTTTAACAAAGAATTCATTTAGTGTAGAGCATAAATAATTTGTAAAGAAAATATCATCTCAAGGAGGATTCTTATTACCAGGACATCCTAAATTTGTAACTGATAGAGTATATTTAAGACCAAATGTTACTATTGGGTAATAATGTAATATATATAGAGATAAATAAATGTTGAAGTAAGCAAAATGATTTAAATGGATTATGTATATATATAGGTTATTGTTCAAAGAGTATTACTTATTCATGAATGGTATTCATAATTCAATAAAATACCTAATCATAAAGAAGCAATTAAAATATTAGTTTCAGTTTTACATTAATTATATATTGATTAATTTAGTAATCTAAAAGTTTATGAAAATAATGATGCTATTTATAATGTAATTATAATTTATTATATTAATAGAAATAATAAGTAGTATTTTGTGATTTTACATAATTCAATTATGTAGATGTTGCAATTACTATTGATGATAAACACTAGAAATATGAAGTGACAACTAATTGTTGCATATTAGGATTGGCTAATAAGGAAGATATGCAATAATTATATGATCAACCTGGTTATAAAGATTTATAAGCTATGTTCAAAGATTATTGTGATTATTTTTATTCATAAATTAACTTTTGAATTTTTATTAGAATTTCAGATAGTTCTTGCATACGTAATCATAATAATTAAATTATAATAGTGATGAAATTATTAGACGACAATTTAGACTCTAACAGCACTGATATTTACTATGAATCAAATAGTCGATATTTCTAATTAACACTATTTTTAGGAGCTTTGGTTTCTAATATAATGTTTGGATTTTCATTATCTCCAATCACAAAAGAAATTTCAACTATTTATGGAGTATCCTAAACGTAAAACATATGATAGAGAACTTAGGTGGCTCTAATTGTTAAGTGTGAGCTTTACCCTATTCTCAGCAATAATGATCATTCCAGGAAATATTTTAAGCGAAAAATACGGAATATAATATAATATCAAATTGGGTATATATGGCATAAAATAATTAAGGTTGTCTTCTAACATTTATTGGATCACTAATGGCTTTGCTAGTTAATTATTCATTCTGGTGGCTTTATTTTGGAGAATTAGTATCTTTGGTTGGATTTCCTTTCCGTTTGATTTCTGCATCCAAATTTACAGCCAATTGGTTTTATCCAAAAAATAGGATTATTATTATGGTTATTATTGCTCTTCTATTTAATTCAAGTACAGGTATATCAATAAAAATACCATTATTTATATTTGGTGATTATGATGTGGAATAAGATGCCTTAATTGATTATTCTGAAGGTAGAACATATGTCTTTTAATTAATGGCATTTTTAGCAGGAATTATGTTTATAACAACAGTTCCAACATTATTTTTCTTTAAGGCTAAACCCAAACATCCTCCCTCATATAGTGCATCTGAAGTATATAATAATTTATAAATTATAAGCAATGTATTAGAGAGAATTATACAAAAGCAGCAAAAATGTTAATAAAAAATTCTGATTATTTAAAATTGGCTTTTGCTTTTTCATTAATATTGGGACCTGTCCTATTACTCACAGTGCAAATGGAATTTGTAGTTAAACCATTTGGGTATAATTTAGAATAAATATCAAATGTAATTCTTGTAGGAGTAATAGCAGGATTATTAGGAGATGTAGTAGTTGGATCAACTGTAAAAAAGTTAGGAAAATATAAAATAGTATTATAAATATGTAATGCTACTACTACTTTTTTTTATGGATTCCTTATATTAAGTCTTGTTCTAAAAATTCATTGGTTATTTTATATATGCTATTTCTTTGTTTGTTTTTGTTCAAGTATTTTAGCATTGACATTTGAATTTTCATGTGAAATTAGTTTTCCTGTTAGTGAAACATCTACTATAGCATATTTAGGATTGATTGGAAATGGATTTAACTTTTTATAAGCTATTCCTGAAATTCTTATACTTTCAGTAAATATATTTTATGAATTTTAGATTGGTAAAGAAAGTACTTCAATTATTACTTTGATAATAATGTTTGGAATTGGATTATTTGGCAATTTTGTTTCCTACTCTATCAATGAAAAGTTAAAGAGACAATAAGTAGATAATCTTCATGATACGAAGTAAAATTTAGATTCATAATGTGATACTGATTGATTTAAATTGTACATAAATATATTAATTGTTTTAAATATCTTTATATTATTATTGTATTACAATTTTATTATAAATTAAATGAGATTATATATATAAATATTATAATGATTTACTCATATTATAATACATCCAAATCTCAACTTAATTTGAGTGAAGAAAGTGAAATATTGAATGATTTTAGATAGAGTTTTCGTTTTGCATATAAATGAATCACTCTCTATTTACAGATTGATGGAGTTGTTTATGACTTATATTCTTATTAAGAGACTTCTGGTATTATTATCTTCCTTTTTAGATGAGGTTCTGGTGTATTTAACATTTTACGTTCAACATTCTTACGAACCAATTCCTTTAAACTAATTACATTATGTTTTAATTCTTTCTTTTGAGGTTATTCATCTCTTATTTCAGGGATTGTTGAAATCCTTGAAACTCCAATACTTCGAGTTGGTTGTCTATTAGAGTTTGAGATCTTATATTTTTTCATTAAAGGTTACCCTTCAATAATTAAAATCATAAAATAATGAATAAATATTAGTCCTTGTAAAAATATTTCCCATATTAATAGTTCTAATCCTGCTTATGAACCAATTCAAACACCAGCAACAACGTATTTTTAGACTCATATTTTAGAAAATACGATGTAGTTTTTTCATCTTAGATCTAAAACACTAATTCCAATGAAAATATCGATTAACTAAAATAAGAATCTAATCAAAATAATGCCATAAGATAAAGTGCTTAATTTGGTAATGAAGTTAGACATAGTGCCAGAAGTTCATTAAGTGAAAAGGAATTGAGAGACATCGTAAAACATAAACGATATGTTGCTTGTCAAATATTTTGAATCCATAAATGAAATGATTAAATACATATAATCTGATTTGATAGACTAAACTCGATGCAAGTTTTTCTCATTTTTATTTCTACTAACTGAGACTAAAATTATATAAATATTTTCAATGATAAATATCATTCTTATTCTAAAGTGCAAATTAACAAGTTATTAAGAGACTAAATATAATAAGAGAGACCATTAAATTTATGAAAATTGTACTTTTTAACAAATTTATCAAATTTACATGTTTTTATGTATGAGAATAATTTCATGAAAAATAATATAAATACAAATAAAATATATAATAGCTTTTTGTAATTCAATTTTTAGCTAAACTTTTATAATATGCTTACTTAAGTATTGACCACTAATCATAATCATTAACAATTTTATCTACATCAAAATCATCAAATTCTGACTATGATAAACTTAATTCTTTTAATTAATGTTAAAATCCATCTGGTAATGTCTCAAATTCCATGCTATCAATTGAATATAATTCTACAACAGGTGTCAAAGCAATCAAACTAACCAATGCTAATTTATCTTTCTTATATCTATTAGTAGCTATTATTTCTTGTTGAGTTAGAAGACTTGATCCTCCAAAAAAATCTCCTACTTCTAAGCTTTTGATATCAATATGAATATTCATTTCCATAAAGGGATGACTATTTTTATTTGTCCTTAAGATTTTACCACAATGATCAATATTTTTACTAGTTTTTACAATTGAACTTTCTTCTGAAAAATCGTATAAATCTATTTAATTAGATTATGTTAAGTAATTATATAATTCTCTTTATTTTCTAGTACAAATAGTTACTTTAATTCTTCCTGACTTTACAAAATAACAATGTCTAATTTCTTATTTGGCTGATATAATTAAATCTCCAAATTTATATTCATGATAATGTAAAATTGCAGCCAAAGGTCTTAAATCTTTATTAAATCCTAAAATCTTAATCCTTTATAATAGTTCAATCTTTTCTCTCATTTCTTCATCAATTGCATAAGTTAATACATTATCATATATTTCTCTACTAATTTCAATTACAACAGACTTCTCTTATGAATATATTTCACTCTTAACATATTATTATAAATTTGCTTCTGACAAATTATTCATTTTCTTAATATCCTCTATTTTTTTTTCAATTAATAAATTATCAACATTTATATGGTATCCATCATAAATTGATCTAATAACCATTCTACCTAAAATTTCTTGATCTTTGTTAAAAGAAGTCATAACAACCTTGCATGATCCCAAAACTATAACAAATACTTTATCACAATTAATCTCGTTGGATAATACAAGTTCATCAGGCTAATATTCTCTTAATTAACATTACTGGATAATAATTTTTCTTATGATTTCATTAAATCTTGATAAAAATTTGTTTTTTTAAAAGATAGGTTCCAATTTTTATATATCTCTATACATAGGTTATTTAGATAATTCTCTTTTTAATACTAATACCTCGTCATTATTTATTCTATTATTTATTGTCCTTTAATTATTCTTCATTACAATACCTTTGCTAAATTTTACTCTACTATCTTTACGAGTCTCACTTTATTATGAAATATTTTTTGATTTCACTGCCTACATTTCAAAGAAAGTCTCGAATAAAGATTCCCATCTTTTATCCCATTCTTAATGTAAACTTGGATAACCCAAACATTCTTATTCAAGGATGGGATCTTTTTTAATAGGTTGAAGTTAGAATGTTTCTTCACATATAGAATCTAATTTCTTTTTTGTAATTGGAGAAGATACACTTTCTTCAAATGAGGATTTATGTAATATTTTTCTTCCAGTCACAGATTATCTTTTAATAATATAAGCCATTTTTAAATCAAAAGGAATTTCATTATGCTATGTTTTTTATCTTCTTCTTTATTATATAAGATATGTATATTCTATATCTCTTTTTGCTTTTAAATATTATTAATGTGTTTATGGTAATAATTGTTCTCTATTCCTTTTTTTAGATGGTTCAAATTGACTGACTTCAGGGTAATTATGTTCAGTCTTTGCTCTCTTTGATCTAGATTGTAAAGTCTTTCTAGTGGTTGATTGTGTAGAAGGAGTGTCGATTTATTTCATTTAAATAACACTCTTTTTTCTCAACGTATTCATTAATAAACAAAATATAAAAAACTAATATTAGAAATACATAGTAACTTTAAAATTAAGAATATTTGTATAAAATTATGAATTAATATATAAATATTTTCTCTCTATCTTCTAATAATATTAAATGAATTCAGAATATCTAAATTAAAATAGTATTTAAATCAACTTTTCAAATTCATTTCATTTCTATTTATATTAAATGTAATATTTTTATACAAAAGATATTGATATCAATTATATTTTTATATTATTATAGTTATTAATATATGATAATATAGAAGTAGTAATCTTGATAAAAATAAATTTTATTAGACTTTCAGATACAAATCTAAAATCTATCTAATGTTCATCTAAAAGTTTTTCTTTAGAAAATAGGAACCTTTTCATACTATAATAAGTTCCTCTTTTTTCATATTTGAATGAAATCTAAAATGATTTTCTTGATATTAAGAAATGATAAATAATATGAATCAACTTTTATATTTTAATGATATACAAGAGATGTAATTTTATGCTAAAAGAAATCAACTATCATTATTTGTATACAAGAAGGCAATTTATGATCTGACTGATTTCATAACACAACATCCTGGAGGTTAGATGGAAATTAGACAATATGAAAATTAGGATGTCTCCAATATTTTATTTCAGAAATCTATTCACAAGCACAAACCTTATGTGATTGCAACATTATAAAATTACTTAATTGGATATATAGAAAGACGTAATGAGCCAGTAGTTCGACTAAAATCATCTTAGTTGATAATTGAAAAGACAAGAAAAATATTACAAGACAGCACTATACCTCAATAATAATGTGAGGATATTCCAGAAGATTGCTCAATTGAAGAGATGCCTATTCTTCAGACAAACAAAAAACTATTTCATTCTTAAAAATCAATTTAAATATAGAAATGAATTTAGACATTGTAATATGAATTAATTTATTATCATTTCAATATACTAAAATATTTATCTATTAAAAATATATATTAAACAAAATATCAATACTCTTTTTTATATTCCATTATTAACACAATATAAAGAATTTTTATTAAAATATAAAAAATTATATTATTACTGAGTTAATAATTGTGTTTTATCTCAGTATGAATAATAATATACAAAGAATGAACATAACATAAAGAAAATTAGGGTTCAAAATTCTTCATGATTAACAGAAAAACCTTCAAAATTCTCTTCTGTTTGTGCTACTTAAGACTATGGGGTTTCAAGAATCTTTTTAGGAACTGAAACATCTGTTTTTGGTTGAGTTTGAAGATGAGTTATTCCTAAAAGTGGGGATTTAATTCTTAAATTAGCAATGTCATCCCAATTTATATTCTGAAGAAAAGCATGATCTTTAATATCTTAGATGGATTTATAACCTTAACTTAATTTCTGGAATTACCTAGTCTTAAATTTGGATCTTTATTCAACAATTTTAATATAATATCTTAGGACTCTTCGTTTATATAATCTGGAAATTCAATAGTACCTTCCTTTATTTGTTTTTCAATATTTAGAATATTGTTTGAATTGTCTATAAAGGGTGTTCTTCCTGTCAACATTTCATAGATAAAGATTCCTAAACACCACCAATCTACAGTATGATTATGTCCAGAATTGTTTATTATTTCAGGTGCCAGATATTCAGGTGTACCAGCCATCTGAACTTATGATAAGTTTTTATTTAAGTACTGTAAAGAATTTCATATTATCTGATTCGTATTTCTTAGACAATCCAAAATCGGTTAATTTTAGATGGCCATCATCAGTTACTAAAACGTTTTCTGGTTTCAAATCTCTATATATCACTTTAAGTTTATCATGCATATATTCAAGACCTAGTAATACTTCTGCTGTGCAAAATTAAGCTTGATATAATGACAATCTTTTTTGCGGTTATCTATTAATTATCTTTAATAGTTATCCACCATTTACTAATCTTTTATGTAAAATGTATATAAATACTCCATGACTAAATATAGTTTATGTTCAGTTTGAAAAGAGTATTATAATCTGATCACAAATGGATTGTTACTATATTCTAACACGTTTTTTTCTAACATTGTATGTTCTACCAATCCATAATTTATAATGTCTTATTTCTTGATAACCTTCATAGCATATTCTCTTTGATTGTTTTTCATTCTGACTTTAAGTACTTTACCAAATTAACCCTTAAATTAAAACATTATAAAACCCTCCCAATCTCTCCTTAGCTTAAAAATTCTCTTAAACTAATCTTTCCTCCATCTGTATCTTGTAAAGCTTAACTTATGCCACTCTCAATTTTTTTAATTCTTTTTACAGATGAATTATGGGTTTCTTCTTAATTGAAACAATTCCCCATATTTAATAAAAAATTAAATCCTTTTTTAAAATATGTCTCAAAAGTTCAAAGTCAGAAAGCTCAGAGAATAAAAGCCAGAAGATCTCTTAAAGGATTTAGAAAAACTCAAAGGTGAACTCATTCAATTGAGAACAGTTAAAGTTTCAGCAGGTAATGCTTAAAAACTTGGCAGAATTGGAGTAAGATCATAATTAATATAATTTAGCTTGTTAGAAAGAGAATTGCAAAATATTTAACAGTCATCAATGAATAAAGAAGAAATTAAGTTAAATCAACTACAAAGAATGCTTCAAATCTACCTGTTGATCTTAGAGGAAAAAAAACAAGAGCAATTAGATAAAGATTAACTAGAAGTGAGAGAGGTAAAGTTTAGCATAATATATTTCTAGCCCAAAAGACCGTAAGATAATGGAAGAGATAAAATAATTTCCCTTTGAGAAAGTTTGCTTTAAAGGAGTGATTCAATTATATTATTAATAGTACATTATTCAATGTTGACAAAAAATATTTATTAATTAAGCATTTCATATAATATATCTTTTGATTCCTATAATATTGTTGTTTACTTATCAAATCTCATTTATATATTGTTGTTAGTATAATTATATTTAAATATTTAAATATTCATCTAAGTGATGCTTTCTTTATTAATTAGAAACATAAAAGTAATCAATCACAGATAAATCTTAAATTATCTCAATAAAAAATAAATTATTTTAAATCTATATACAATATCCATAAATTAAAATAATATATATAATAGAGGAATATCATAAATTCAAATTTATTACTTCAACCATATTATTTAAACATAATAGAGAAATATATTTTTTTCTCCAAATTATTATTATTTCTATATTTATTAAATAATAAAGAAGATATTTCTTAGTTCTTTCCGTTGAGACCATTTTGAAGAAATAAATGATTAATTTATGAGTAAATAGAAGTATATATCTTTATTATAGGTAGAAGATTTATAAATGAAGGATGAAATGGAAAATGAGAATGTAACAAATCAAATATTTGAAACCCTATTTCTAATCGAAATAATTCTAAAGAACTTATTTTTTAAATATAACATCTTTACAGTTATATTTTTTATTGCCTTTCTTTAAATTAAGAAGTAAGGATGATTTTAGAAAAATTTAAATAAATCATTCCTTTTTACCTAGTTTTGATTAATTATTTGAACAATGTATTGTTTTTGAAAATAATATTCAAATTACAATCATTATAATTTTTAATTTCTATAAGAACGTAATTAAGTTTTATATTCTTATTATTAGGATCCTGACAGTATACTATTTGGATATTTAATATATATAATAACATTTTGTAATAAAATGATCATTATGTAATCAAACTATTGAATCACAAGTACTTAATAAATATTTCATTCTTAATTAATCTAAATATTTAATTATAATAAAAATGATTATTAATTTTTAGAGAAAGGCACTGAAAAGCCTCAAAAAGGTGGATATTTTTTCATAGCCTGTTCAATTATTGATAAAATAAGAGGAGGGACATAAAACCTTATTTGGAGCCTGTCTAACTTTGGCATTGATCTCTTTTTTCATTTACCTACTTATTGTTAATTTATATACTTTGGGTCAAAGAAATAATCCAACTTCACTAACAACTGAGGTCTATCATGCATAACCAGAATAATTCAAATTTAACGAATAAAATTTTACCTTAACATTCGCTATTTAATCACCAAATTATGCTACATATATAGATGAATCAGTTTATGTTGTAGAAGCCCAAATTACAACCAAAACAACTAAAATGTATTATATTTAATTCAATTTTTAGTGTTGATAATCAAAAAGTTGATGAATGGACTTCATAAGATCTTCCTTTAACTTCCTGTACTCCAGAACTCATTCGGTAAGTTGAATTATCAGAATATTTTTCTCATTTAAATTTACCAACTAATTACTGTATTGATTGGAATAAAATCAATGAGATAAATATAGAAGGCACCTTTGATTCTTCAGCTTATAGTTTTATATTATTCTAATTTAAAATGTGCAATGAATAAACAAAAAAAACAAAAGAATGTAAACCTAGAGATGAAATTAAATAATTGTTAGAATAAAACTATTTTTCTCTTTAAATGTCTTCATATGTTATAGATGTAAAAAATGAAGAGTAACCTTTTATATCTAAAGGTGAAGATATTTTCACTACAATATCTAGTAAGATTTTTAAAGAAATTTCATTTTATATGTAGCCAATAACAGTATTTACAGATCTAGGTCTTATAACTGAAGATTACTAAATTCAAAAAACCTTAAGATATAAAAGACATACAGAAATGATTGATTTAAATGAGAGTGACTTAATAATGAATGTTGTAATACGATTAGATTAAATTGAATAATAATATTATAGAAGCTACACTAAAATTCAAATTATTCTAAGTTAAATGGGAGGACTTTGGTAAGTATTTTTTACTATAGCCTTTCTTATATAGAAACCTATAAATATGCTATCATATTATGTTCGAATTTTGAATTCATTATTTGAATTTGAGCAAGAAAAGAAGAAGAAAACTACAATTTAAAGAGATGAAGAATAAAATCAAGAAGGATAACAAGAATTAATGACAAGAAAATAATTATAATCTACTAGAGAAGGATTATTTGTTGAAAATAAAAAAAAAGCATTTTAACGATTATAATCTATAAAAATAAAGAAGAAACAGATGGAAGTTATAGATTCTCTAGTAGTAGATCCTCAATCTAAAGAAGAAGCTAAGTAATAATTAACTAAAGCTATATCATTTTCTATTAAATAATATTTTCAGAGCATTTAAAAAAAGTTAAAAATGAAATGGACTGATTACTTGTATTTCATAAGTTGTTTTGTTAAGTAAATTATATATATTTCATTTAGTTCCAAAAATTATAAAAGTCTTCAAATTGAATATTCGGTTAAAAAAATTATAAAGTAAATGGATATTTTATATATTATGAAGAAATTGCAGGAAATAGATAAATTGAAAATGATCTTATTAACTGAATCTCAGATTAAAGTTTTTGATTATCTTTAAAAACCTACAATTCCATTAGATCCAAATTCTAAATAATTTAACATAAATTAACATTATTATTCGATATTAAAACCTATGAAAAGTGACTTTTAGAGAGCTGTAGATGCCTAAAATGCTTTTAAAGAAATAGTAGAAAATTTAGATAATCCAATCAATGTGAGATTACTAAATTCTATAGATAAAACAATAGTAGATTTATTAAAAATGAGAAAGAATACTTTAGACTTAATATCAATAGATGATGTCTGTATTAGTGAATAAGGATAAGAAAGAAATGCTGTTTTTACAATTGATATAAAATAGAAACATTCCTCATTAGCAAATTGTAAATCTGAAACAAATTGCAAATCTGAAGCAAAATTTTGATGAATATACATAAAAATACATAAGTAGATAAATTTAGTAAAATCATCCCTTTTTCTTTTTAGAATTACTCGGAATAATACTCATACAACAAAATCCTTCTCCTCTATCTGGTTGATCAAGTATTTATTTTTTATTTTTTTAAATTGTTGTTCTTGGAATTATTTCAGATACTTATTTAGAATCAATTTGAATTGTGCCAACACCACTTTATGTATATCGGGCAAATAGACTTTATTTTTCTTTCTCTTCAGATTTTTAATTATAATTAATTCTGGCGATTTCTTAAGTAATATTGCTGATAGTCTCATTTACTGTTTTAATATTTTCTTAAATTTCTTAAATTTCAATTAAAATTTATTGTTCCTATTATTAACTAATTATATTATAGACTTTTACATATTTTCATGTTTTTCTTGTAATGCTTATTTTTCTTTCTCTTTAATCTATTTTTCCTCCACTAACTTACGATATTATTGGCTTAATTAAAGGCTTTCCTAATTACATTAATCCTATCTATCTTCTGCTTCTTTAATATTTTATTTAGCTTATTGCTCTTTTTTCTCATATTCTTTTTAGCCCTTTTCAATTGTATATTTAATTGTTTATTCTTAAGATAACAAATCTTTAAATTAACTATTAACATTATCCAAAGTATTTTGTAATTCTTAATACTAATCTTTCAATTCCTATTCTTTTTTTTAATGCTGAATTTTTATAGAATTATTTATACCTTTGACATAATTTTTTAAAATAGAATTGCATCTTCACATTCTTTACATATTTTACCAATTTTATCATCAATTAAAGGATCTTTTCGTTTTTTTACTATATGAGTTTTGCAAACATAATTTAAACAAAATATACTATAAAGGGTATTAAAAATAAATACCAAAATGCTTTAGATTTTAAAATTCCTTATAAAGAAGCTGGACATTATGGACAATTAACTTAATTTGCTTTTTTATCCTTCTTACGGCGATCTCTTTGTTCTATTGTTAAAGTGTAAAACATTTTTATAAAAATAATTATTAAATTTTTTAATAATATATTATAAATATAGAAAAAGATGAGAAACAGAGAAAAAATAAAGAAATCTTTAGAGATTTAATTTTCAAAGATATTTTGAGTTTTGATTAATATTTAGTTTAATTAGAAATTTTTCAAATAAGAAATTTTATTAAATTATATTAATGATAAATAATCCACTTAGAAAAGCACTTATTTAATTCTTTTGTCCTTTGGGATTAAGAGGTTCTATATACAGTTTCTCTAACACCAACAGGTTTAGATCACAATCATCAAGATCTTAATTTTAAGGATCATACCATTCAAGGTCTCATATATCATTTGGTGAATTTGCTCGACACTGTGATACATTAAAGTAAGAGTAACAAAATGAGATAAATAAATAATTAAAACTCATACCTGTTGCACCTACAGATGATGTTATTAATTTTATAAAAGCAAACAAAATTCATGGGAAAGTTTTTAATATTGCCTAAGATTTCAATTTTCTACCTTAAAATCTTTAGGAAGCTTTAAAAGCAAGAAACATAACATCTCCTTCTTCAATTCAACAAGCAATAATGCCATTAATTTTTGATGGCCATGATGTAATAGCAATAGCTGAAACAGGATCAGGCAAAACACTTGCCTATGCTTTACCTGGAATCATGCATATGCAAGCATAACCACCTATCAATGGTCCAAGAATTTTGGTTTTAGCTCCAACTAGAGAACTAGCCTAACAAATTTAAACATAATATGATCTATTTGCAAAAACTTGTTGTTTATATGGAGGTGTTCCTAAACCTAATTAATATGTTAGTTTATTAGGAAAATCTAATAGATTTGCAAGGCCAGAAACTCCAAAAATAATAATTGCTACTCCAGGTCGATTGTTAGATTTTATAAAAGATGGATTACCTTTGAAATCAATTACTTAAGTAGTTTTGGATGAGGCAGATAGAATGCTTGATATGGGTTTTGAAGATTAAATTAGAGATGTATTGAAAGAAGTCAGAAAAGATAGATAAACATTATTTTTTAGTGCAACATGGCCTTAAGAAGTTTAAAGATTGGCAAATAGTTTATGTAGTCAAGATCCAATTTTCTTATAATTAGGAGAGAGAGGGTTATCTGTTAATAAGAATATTACTTAAAGTGTAATAATTGCTGGTGGAAATAAGTTTGAATAATTAATTGAATATTTCAATCAAATAAAAGATAAAAAGGTTTTGGTGTTTTGTTAAAAGAAAATAGACACATAAAAGCTTGAATATAGATTATCATAACATGGTATTAATGCTAGATATTTACATGGAGATTTAAAATAAAATTAAAGAGATTACATTATGTAAGATTTTAGAAATGGAAAAGTTAGTTGTTTAATTACAACTAATTTAGCCTCAAGAGGATTAGATGTTTCAGATGTAGATATTGTGGTAATCTTTATATATAAATATTTAGATTAATTATGATTTCCCTGAAAATATTGAAGATTATATCCATAGAATTGGTAGAACTGGTAGAGCTGGCAAAAAGGGAGAGGCTTTAAGCTTTATAGAACCAAGAGATTTAAATTATAAACTCAAAGATGATCTCATCAAAGTTTTTAAATAATCATCTTAAGAGATTCCATTACAATTATTGAAACTCAAGGTGTATTGATAAATTGTTTTCATGTTGTTTAATTAAATTATCAATATTGCTCAACTTGATTTATAGACTATTCTATACATTCACACTTAATTATAGAACATTTATTTTTAGGTTTATAAATTTCAATGTACATCAATTAACCAAATCCTATTTACTTTTTTGTTCCTTATTATTTTCCATACCAATTCAATTCTTCCGCTTTATAAGAAATACCCAAGACTGAACTCTATTAGGAGAGTGAAAAAGATCAAACTATACCTTCTAAAGATGAATATCATACTAACGCTAGTGGAATTGTTAGAGGAAAAGGATAATTATGGACTTAAAAAGAAATAAATAATCTAATTTCTTATTATAAAAAGTACAAAGGAAATTGGAAACAAATCATCATACATCTCAAAGGTAGAAATATCTCATAATGTTCTCAAAAATACAGAAAATTATAAGATCAAGAAAAAAGAACAAAAAAGAAATGGACTTCAAGTGAAGATCAAATCTTAATAGAAGCTTATAAAGAATTTGGAAAATAATGGATAAAAATAAGTGAAAGTACATATATTAGTAATTTTTTAGGATTACCTGGTCGAACTTCAAAATAAGTGCGTGATAGATATGTGAATTAAATAGACCCATCAATTACACATGATGAATGGTAATAAGAGGAAGATAAAATCATTTTAGAAGAATATAATAAAGGAGGAGCTAGATGGGCTGTAATTGCTAAATTGCTTAAAAATAGATCGGTAATATAAAAATTCTATTTTTAGGAAAATTAAGTTAAGAATCGTTTTTATTACACACTTCTAAAAAAATACTAGGGTGAACAACACCCATACTTAAAAGTTTAATAATGAGAGTCTTAAGTTGATTATTAAGTTTGATTATTTAATTTTACAAAACATATATAATTCTTTTCTTCATTAAACTTGTTATTTATATAAATTTTCAATTTATTTAGCAAACACTTATTTGGCAATATGTCTTTACAATTTTAAAGTGGAAGTGAGACATCCTAAATTTTATAATGGTTAAGGTTCTAAATAGATTAATTTTGTCTAATTTTATTTTTAATAAATTACAATTTCTAATGAATTAAGTTAATTTTATTTTCCAAATGCCTCAATATTTTGTTTAAATAAACTAATTATCTTTTGATTTTAACATAACTCTTCAAATCCTCCTTGAATTTACATTAAATTTGCTTATTTCTATATATAATCATATTAAGGGACTATAATTGCTACAATTTAATTTTATAGAGAGTCTCCATAAACAAAACTTTCTGCTACTCCTTAAACTCTATTGTAAATTGACTCAATTTTCTCTGGTGCAATATACTCCCCTTGAGATAATTTGAAAATATTTTTCTTTCGATCAATAATTTTTACACCTCCTTATTCAGTAATCATTCCAATATCACCTGTATGTAACCATCCTTCTGAATCCAATGCTTCTGCTGTTTTTTATGGATCCTTATAATAACCTACAAAAACACCAGGTCCTCTTAAACATATTTCACCTCTGGAAATAGCCAATTTTTCCTCTTTTTCTCCCTTATGAATTGTTACAATATCATTGGCAGTATAATTCATTTCAGGAACATCTACTAATTTAAATTCAGTATTAGCTGCTGGTCCACCTAAATGTGAGGATATTGGATCCCATCTAGCTGTTGAAAATGAGAGAGCAGATGATTCAGTTTAGCCATAACCTTCTAAAATAGGACAACAAACAGCAATCTTTAAAAAATCGATTACATCTTATTAAATTGGTGCAGATCCAGTGACCATTAATCTACATCTACCTCCAAATAATTATTTTACTCCTTCAAAAACCTTATCATATATAGAATTTGTGTATGTAGCTTATGATCTTAGACTTGATAATTTAGATTTTATAGCCTAATCAAGAAATGCTTTTTTTAAACATGTTACCTCTGCCATTTTAGCTTTAATTCCATCATAGAATTTATTGTAAAGCCTAGGTACTGATACAAAAATAGTAGGTCTTAATTTTAAAATATCTTCTTTTAATAAATTTGGATCACCTCTATAAAATCTAGAAATTTAAATATGTAAATACCCTATTTATGCTCCAACATATAACAATGATATTACTATTAATCTCTCCATAACATGAGGTAATGGCAAATAGGATAGATGAACATCATTCTCATTTATTTATGCATCTGTAACTTATGTACTGGCTACTGCAGACACAAAATTGGCATGTGTTATCAAAGCCCCCTTTGGATTCCCAGTAGTTCCAGAAGTATAACAGATTGTATAAATAGTTTCTGGATAAATTTAAGCTAGTGGTTAAATTTGAGATTTGCCATTTTATACAACATCTTCATATCTAAATAATTTATAGCCTTTATTTTTCAATTCCTAATTTGCACAGATAGTATTACTCTTTCTAGCTCCTCAGTAAGTTAATCAAATAAAACCAAATTTTATAATTTGTATTTTTCCTTACATTTTAGTAATGATTTTGTTGCATCAGCACTTAAGAACATAGTTTCAATATTTGTCTGACCTAAAATGAATGGAATTGAATCAGGACCTAGATATCAATATAAACTAATTTTACCCAAAGTATCATAAAAAGGAACCATAGTATATCCATAGAGAATATTTGCAATATCAAGGATCACCCATTCTCTTCTATTTTTGCCAAAAACTCCTATCAACTTCATTTTATAATTCATATATTCATTAACTTCATTTGCCAGACCCCATGTTTTAATACTAAATTATCTTTAATTCTTAGGTACCCACTGCCTAAATAAATAGCTTCTTCTTAAACTTATGAATAAGTCATGAAAGAGAAATCATTTCCAATAAAAGAACCTAAGCATTATTTGACAGCATATTTATCTGCACTCTTCAAAAATAAATCTTACAAATTCATAACTCCTTGTTCAGGAATGGTGAGTAATTAATTAGTATATTTCACATTTCTTCTAATTTCAGATTATCCTTGTTTAGCTTCCTAAACCTTAGTCGAATATGACATAAAAGGAGAAATATTGGATACTTGACAACCCATTAGATTAAATAAATAAAATTTATGCACTCATAATAATCAAAATTATTAGTAAAATATATGTTAGAATTTTTAAGTGTTAAATTACTGTATATTTAAAACACACAATGAACATAAATCAATCAACTTCTTCCATCTTTGATTTTGTGGCTTCAGTGTTGGCATCTTCTTTTTTCTAAGAAAAATATAAATTATTAATAATACCTCTAATTATGGAAGTTTTTCATCTTCTTCTTCAATACCAGCATCATCAATGGATAAACCGAGTTTGATCATTTTGTGGATTCTGTTAGCGAAGTGAGTTGGGTCATCAAGACTGAATCCAGAAGTGAGAAGAGCTGTTTCATAAAGTAACCAAATGAGATCTTTAACTGTTTTATCACTCTTATCTTTATCTGATTTCTTCTTTAATTCAGTAAGAATTGGGTGATTGGCATTGATTTCTAATGTCTTCTTTGACATCATATAGCTGCTCATTGATGGATCTCTCAAAGCTTAAGCCTTCATGATTCTTTCCATATTGGCAGACCATCCATATTCTCCTGTAACCAAAACACATGGTGATAAATCTAATCTTTATCCTAATTAGACTTTTTCAACCTTGTCTCCCAAGATTTCCTTGATCAATTTACATAATCCTTCAAATGCTGATTTTTATTCTTCGAATTTCTTCTTTTCATCTTCAGTTTAATCTAAATCTAAGCCTTCCTTGGTGCAATTCTTTAATTTCTTTCCATCAAATTCCTTCAATTATTAGATGACATATTCATCAATTGGGTCAATCATATAAAGGACTTCATAATCCTTCTTTTTCAAAGCTTCAACAAATGGTGATGCAGCAACTGAAGCTTTAGATTCTCCTGTAATGAAGAAGATATCCTTTTATCCTTCCTTCATTCTTCCAACATAATCTTTAAGTGAAATTAATTCTTCACCACTCTTTGATGTATGGAATCTGAGGAATTCACTCAATTTGGTTCTATTGGCTGAATCTTCATGGATACCTAATTTGAGATTCTTTGAGAATTATTCATAGAATTTCTTATAATCTTCAGCATTTTCACAGATTTCTGTGATCATTTCAATGCATTTCTTGGTAATGTTCTTCTTAATGACTTTCAAGATCTTGTTATGTTACAAGAATTCTCTTGAAATATTTAAGGGTAAGTCTTCAGAATCAACAACTCCCTTAACAAATCCCAAATATTCAGGGATCAATTCTTCACAGTCATCCATAATGAATACTCTTCTGACATATAATTTGATATTGTTCTTCTTCTTCTTTGTTTCGAATAAATCGAATGGTGCTCTCTTTGGAATGAAGAGAACTGCCTTGAATTCCAAACCTCCTTCAACTGAGAATTATTTGACTGACAAATGTTCTTCCCAATCATTGGTCAATTATTTATAGAAGTTAGCATATTCTTCTTTGGTGACTTCTTCTTATTTCTTCATCCATAAAGGCTTGTTCTTATTAACTTATTCGAATTCAGTACTGACTTCCTTGATCTTCTTCTTCTTCTTTTCAGCCTTATCTTTTTCTTCTTAGACTTCACCTTCTTCAGCTTTCTTTTCCTTATTTTCATCTTCATCATCACTGACTTCCTTTTCTGTTGTCTTTTCAATTTATAATTCAATTGGGAATCCAATGAATTCTGAATGTTTCTTAACCAAATCCTTGATTCTCTTTTCTTCTAAGAATTCTAAGTTATCTTATTTCATTTGTAAGATGATGATTGAACCTCTTGTCAATTAGACTGGGTTTTCAGAATCATCAAAGACAAAGAATGTACCACCAGCTTATGATTCCCATCTGTATTATTATTCACCAACAGCCTTTGAGATGACAACAACCTTATCAGCAACCAAATAAGCAGAGTAGAAACCGACACCAAATTGTCCAATCATAGAAATATCAGCTCCTGAACTCAAAGCTTCCATGAAGGCCTTGGTACCTGACTTTGCAATAGTACCCAAGTTGTTGATCATTTCATCTCTTGTCATACCAATACCTGTATCCTAAATGGTCAAAGTATTGTTATTCTTGTCTGGGATGATTTTGATCTTGAAATTTGGTTCAACGTTCAAGCCAGCACTGTCTGGGTCTGTAATAGACTTATATCTAATTTTATCTAAAGCATCTGAAGCATTAGAGATCAATTCTCTCAAGAAAATTTCTTTGTTTGAATAGAATGTGTTGATAATTAAACCCATCAATTGTTGGATATCTGCATTGAAGTGGAATTACTCTTCTTTCTTTTACTCTGTTGCCATTATTTAATTTTAAACTTAAAATTTATCTGTGAATCGAACTTAATTTATACTCAAATTTTACTTCTAGAAGTTTCGAATTAAAATAAAAAATTTTTTATTTCCATTTTTTAATTTCTTTAAATTTATTTAAATTTCTTTTCGAAAAAATACATCTATTAAATTCAAGTTATAATTTTGTTAATTCCACATAAATTTAATTATTACATTCTATCTATATGAAAGATTAACAAAATGATTTTTTTGTTTAAAAATTCATTAAATATAGCTATAAGGACTAATAAATAATTAAAACAATAGAAATGTGATAAAATTCATCTATATGATTAAATTAAATTAAGTTCATTTATATATTTATAATATGATTTCACTTCTTTTAAGAATTAATTACTACATTTAATAGTATTTTTTACTAATTAAGTTATGATTATGTATAAAATAGAATATCTATTTAATAACATAGAGATTTTAAAGTGTAAAAATATATAATTTGAATAATTGTACATCAATTTAAATGATATGAGAGTATAAATAAGATAATTAGTGTAGATTGTTGTAAAAGAAGGTTGTCTGAATTATTAATAAAAAGATTTAAATAAAAAATCAAATTTTTATCAGGAATGGCAGCTAATAAGTTTTGGAAAAAGACAGAAGTAAATCATTTGTTTGATTATAAGTTATCTAATTTGGAATAATAAGTTGGTGTTGCATTGACTTAAATTGAACAATCAATAGCTGATGCTAAGAATCTTAAACTTTCATCAGTAGTTGATTATACAGCTAAAATTAATGCCAAGAAGCAAGTTTATTTGGTATATATTCCTCATCCTTGCTTATCCGTTTTCAATAAGGTTAGGTACTCTAAATCTGAAAATAAAAATAGCTCAAAATTATTACCAGAATTAGAAAAGAGACTTAAAGCAACAATTCTTGTTGTTGCCAAAAGAACAATTGAAAGTAAATGGGTCAAGAGTCACAGATCATAAACAAGACCAAATTCAAGAACACTCACCTCAGTATATGATGCAATTCTTGAAGACCTTGTTGCACCAACATTCATTTTAGGTAGAAGAACAAGAGTTAGAGTTGATGGCACTAAATTCTATAGAATGTAAAGATTAGTAAATAATTAAAGCTTCTTGGATGAATAAGACAAAGCAGAATTAGAGCCTAGACTTGATGCCGTCAAAGCTGTCTATAAATTATTAACAACTAGAGATTTAGAATTTGAATTTAGAAGAGATGATGTTTTCTATTAAAAAAGAGGAGCAAGCAAGAAAGTCTAAAGAAAATAATGAGCAATAATATTTAAGTACAATACAATAAATACATGAAATAACAATATATTTCTATTTCTTTTGGCATCATTCCTATAAGAATGAAAATAAATAGAATAAACTCACAAATTATCACAATTAATTATTTTAGTTAATAAAATAACCTTTTCTTCTTTTTATTATCTACTAATTCAGTATGAACCTTCTAGTCATAGAAATACAATAAATAAGAATTAATACAATTAAATTTGGTATATTGACTAATACTAAACTATATATGTTAGTATTGAATAATTTTGTATATATTTTTTAATATTTGATATATATATATATATATCAATAATCTAGCATATAAATTGGATAATATTTAATATTAAAAATATAATTAAGATCCATTGATCATTTTCTTATACTTTAATTATTAGATTAATTGATTAATAGATTAAATTAAAATATAATTACTAAATTAAAACAATCTTGAATAATTAGTACTCTTATTATGTTAAAAATTTATATCTTAAATTGTAAATAATTTTATTACAAATCTATTATTTCTTAGAATATAACTAGATTTGTTAAATTACTCTAAATTATTTAATTAAATAATGCAAATCTTTAATTTATTACATATCTCTATTGATTAAATATAAATTACTAATATTATCCAATTGATATACTCAATTTTTATATAAAATTATAATTGCTTGAGTAATCCTATTTATATTCAAAAGGAATCCTCAATAGTTTAACTAATCTTATTTAATTAAGTTAAACTATTGTTATGTATTTTCTTTATTAAAAAAAAAATAAATATTTCAAGGTTTTTTTAAATGAGCCACATGAAAATATTAATATAAATACTAATAACTGAATTTAATGATTAAAGTTGTGGAACCTTTAAAGCTAACCATAAATGAGCTTTACCTACTCATTAAAAATACTATTGGCTAGAAGAATTATCTCATTTTTAGATTTTTCTAATAAATATTGAATTTCCGTTTTGCAAGTTATTTTTTTATAATTTTTGTTTTTCATTTAATATTATAATAAATTAAAACTTTTGATAAAATATTAAAATGATATTTAGAGTTGAGAAAGATAAAAATAAATGGAGCTAATATCATCAGAATCAATCAATACTAGGAGGTTCATTATATTGTATTTAATTTTTCCTTTTTTATGTTCTCGCAGATAATTTTTATTAATCAATAAATTTGGACAATTTAAATATAGCTTAAACTTCAGGACCTAACTTCTTAATTAATTGTTTATTGATAATATTCTCTTATTAATCTTAAAGAATTTCATCATATGCCTAATTTATTATTAGAATTAACTTTACATTATATATATCCTAATACAATTAAGCATCTCCTCTTAAATGCATTCCTCTTTGAGAAGGTAATCTATTTTCGTATTTATTTTATTGTTTTTGATTAGACCTTGATAGATATT